ATCCGTCCATATACTGGACCAGATCACCGTTGGTAATTTGATTCGATTCACAAGTGATTCCCCACTTCTCCACCGGTGTAGTGATCAATTCCTTGCCGTGCTGAGAATTGATCAGTGCCCTTTCTCAATTCATGAAGCTCAGAAGGAGGAGGGCTGCCGAAGTGGTAAGTGTTCCAAAACTGCGTAATTAAACCCTTTATCGTTTCGATTACTATCTTTGTCTGTGCATTTTCGTCTCTATGTACTTTCTAGACTACTCTTTAGTTTTCGAGAACTATCGCTATTCATAGGCTGTATTGTTGAGCTGTTCATAGGCTTATCTGTTTCTGAAGTTTTGGTGTTTGTTTATCGGTATAATCTTCAACCCTTGACTAATTCCTTTGATTGGTTTATTGAGTTCTTAAGCCAAACCTTGACTATTTGGTTTTCTGTTCCTGAATCTTTTATTCCATTTGATGGCTGTGTTAACCATTTTTTTCATTCGTTTGTATCAGCCTCCCAAAATCAAAGCTTTCATCAATAGTGTCACTGCTGTTCCGCTCGAGCAAATACAAGAACCCCTTCAACGTTTTCGCTGGGAATTCGATAAGGTACCTTAGAATCCACTTTGTGACGCTGTTTCTTTTTCTTCTGTCTACTCTCGGTTTGATTTATGTCTGTTTTTCCTTTACATAGGGCGACTTTCATCACTGGGTGGACCTCTTCAATCATTTTGACACTTATTTTGAGAAGCACATAAAAGGAAGGAAGGATCTGCAGATTGAGGAAAACTTTGAGGAGTCGGTTCCTTCTTTCCCCAAGGATGCTGTTCTTCAAATTCTCCGAGTTATCAGAGTTGTTTTAGAGAATTGCACAAACAAACATTTTCATAGTTCCTATGAGGTAAATTCCGTGCCACATTCTTTAGTTGCCTAGCTTCTTTCTAACTGGTCTCACAGTATACCAATCGTTTACTAATGTTTAACTCATATTCTGTGTTAGATTTCTGGTAGTTCCTCTAGATATGTCGCTTTATATGCTTATTGTTCAAAATGTGTACCCGAATAATTCTCACACACTTGTTCCTTCATAACTGCAGCAGCATCTTTCTCTCCTGCTAGCATCAACTGATGCAGATGTCGTTGAAGCCTGTCTGCAGACGTTGGCTGCCTTTTTGAAGAGGCAAATTGGAAAATACTCCATAAGAGATGCTTCTCTAAATTCAAAACTTTTTTCCCTTGCGCAAGGCTGGGGGGGAAAAGAGGAAGGTCTTGGCTTGGCATCGTGTGCCACAGAAAACAGTTGTGATCAGGTTTCTCACCAGCTAGGTTGTACTCTTCATTTTGAGTTTTATGCTTCTAATGAATCATCAAGTGAGCTTCCCGGCGGTTTACAAGTTATCCATGTACCTGATGTCAGCATGCGTGCAGAGTCTGACCTGGAACTACTGAACAAATTAGTCACTGATCACAATGTTCCTCCCAGTTTAAGATTCGCGTTGTTGACCAGATTGAGATTTGCAAGGGCGTTCTCATCTTTGGCTACCCGGCAGCAGTATACATGCATTCGCTTATATGCTTTCATTGTTTTGGTTCAAGCAAGTGGTGACACAGAGAATGTTGTTTCTTTCTTTAATGGCGAGCCCGAGTTTGTAAATGAGTTAGTTACGCTGTTAAGCTGTGAGGATACTGTTCCAGAGAAAATAAGGATCCTATGCTTGCTTTCCTTGGTTGCACTATCGCAAGATCGAACCCGGCAGCCGGCTGTTTTAACTGCAGTCACCTCTGGAGGGCATCGTGGTTTGCTATCTGGCCTAATGCAGAGAGCAATTGATTCTGTTATTTGTAATACTTCTAAGTGGTCTCTGGCTTTTGCGGAAGCCTTGTTATCCCTTGTTACAGTCCTTGTTTCATCATCATCTGGGTGTTCAGCCATGCGAGAAGCTGGTCTAATTCCGACCCTTGTGCCTCTCATCAAAGATAGAGATCCCCAGCACTTGCATTTGGTCAGTACTGCTGTGCATATATTAGAAGCCTTCATGGATTACAGCAACCCAGCTGCTGCTTTGTTTAGAGATTTGGGTGGCTTAGATGATACTATCTTTCGGTTGAAACTGGAAGTCTCTCGTACTGAAGATGATGTGAAAGAAACAAGTTGCAGTTCAGATAGTGTTGGGAGGGAATCAGATGTTGTTGGTGGCTCTCTTAATCAGCCTGATACTGAACAGCTTCCCTATTCCGAAGCATTAGTTTCGTATCACAGGAAATTGTTGTTAAAAGCCTTGCTACGTGCAATATCTCTTGGAACTTATGCTCCTGGTAACACTAACCTCTATGGTTCCGAGGAGAGCTTGCTGCCTGAATGCTTATGCATAATCTTCCGGAGAGCAAAAGATTTCGGGGGTGGAGTGTTCTCGCTTGCTGCCACTGTCATGAGTGATCTCATTCATAAAGACCCCACTTGTTTCAATGCTTTAGATTCGGCTGGTCTAACTTCTGCCTTCCTTGATGCTATATCTGATGATATCATCTGCTCTGCAGAAGCCATAACATGCATTCCACAGTGTCTGGATGCCCTGTGTCTCAACAATAGCGGTCTCCAAGCTGTAAAGGACCGAAATGCATTGAGGTGTTTCGTGAAAATATTTACTTCTGCATCTTATCTGCGGGCTCTTACTGGCGATACTCCTGGTTCTTTGTCAAGTGGGCTTGATGAACTCTTAAGACACCAATCTTCGTTGCGCACTTATGGAGTCGATATGTTCATTGAAATCCTCAATTCGATGTTGATTATGGGATCTGGGATGGAGGCCTCCACTTCTATGTCAACAGATGTGCCTACAGATGCTGCAACCGTTCCTATGGAAATTGATTCTGATGAGAAGAGCTTGGCCGTTTCGGATGAGGCACAACCATCTTCTGATACTACTCCAGCAAACATTGAGCAGTTTCTTCCAGATTGTGTGTCTAATGTTGCTCGTCTCTTTGAAACAGTTCTTCAGAATGCGGAAGTATGTTCCCTGTTTGTTGAGAAAAAAGGAATTGATGCTGTTTTGAAGCTATTCTCTTTGCCTCTTATGCCTCTGTCAACCCCTCTTGGTCAAAGTTTTTCTGTCGCTTTTAAGAACTTCTCCCCTCAGCATTCGGCTAGTCTAGCCCGGATAGTGTGCTCCTACTTAAGAGAACATCTGAAGTACACAAATGAGCTTTTGGTTTCCATTGAAGGCGCTCAGCTTCTTAAATTAGAGTCTGAGATCCAGACAAAGATTTTGAAATCTCTTTCCTGCCTAGAAGGCGTGTTGTCCCTCTCTAACTTTTTGTTGAAAGGAACAGCTTCAGTTATTTCGGAACTGAGTGCTGCTGATGCTGATGTACTGAAAGAACTTGGTCTAACATATAAGCAAATGATATGGCAGATGGCTTTGTGTAGTGATGCCAAAGAAGATGAAAAAAAGAGTGTTGATCGAGGACCTGATAATTCAGTTTCAGCATCATCTAGTGTTGAAAGAGAGATTGATGAAGATTCAAGCAACGCTCCTGCAGTTAGATACACTAACCCTGTAGCCACTAGAAGCAGTAACCCTCAGTCTATTTGGGTTGGGGATCGTGAATTTCTCTTTGTTGTGCGTTCTGGCGAAGGTACCCATGGTCGTACACGACATGCAATAGCCAGAATGAGGGGTGGGAGGACTCGTCGACACCTGGAGTCTTTCAATTTTGATTCTGAGATTCCTTCTGATCTACCAGAAACGTCATCTTCCCATGAGCTGAAAAAGAAAAGCCCCGAAGTTCTCATTGTTGAAATTTTAAACAAGCTGAATTGTACACTACGTTTTTTTTTCACAGCCCTTGTGAAAGGATTTACCTCCTCTAATCGTCGCAGAATTGATGGAGCATCATTGAGTTCAGCATCTAAGACGCTTGGTACTGCCCTAGCTAAAGCATTTCTCGAAGCTCTTAACTTCCAGGGCTATGGTGCTACTGCTGGGCATGATATCTCTCTGTCAGTAAAGTGCCGGTACCTTGGAAAAGTGGTAGATGACATCACTTCCCTGACATTTGATACTCGAAGGAGGGTCTGTTTTCCAGCTATGGTGAATAGTTTTTATGTCCAAGGAACCTTTAAGGAACTTCTCACCACATTTGAAGCTACAAGCCAGTTGCTTTGGACAGTGCCGTTTTCTATTCCTGCATCTGGTACTGAGAATGAGAAGCCAGGTGAAAGGAATATATGGTCTCACAGTATGTGGCTGGTAGATACTCTGCAAAACTATTGCCGAGCACTGGACTATTTTGTTAACTCGACATTTCTGTTATCTCCAGCCTCCGCTTCTCAAACTCAGCTTCTTGTCCAGCAAGCTTCAGTTGGTTTGTCGATTGGACTTTTCCCTGTACCAAGTGAACCTGAGGCTTTCGTGCGAAATCTGCAGTCTCAGGTTTTAGATGTCATACTACCTGTATGGAACCACCCTATGTTTCCTGATTGCAACCCTAGTTTTGTGGCTTCAGTTACATCCCTTGTTACACATATATACTCTGGTGTTGTGGACGCTAGGCAAAATGAGAGTGGGAGTGGGGTTGACCGAGGTACAAACCAAAGAGCCTTGCCTCTACAGCCTGACGAAACCATTGTTGGTATGATTGTTGAAATGGGATTTTCTAGGTCAAGAGCGGAAGACGCCTTACGAAGAGTTGGAACAAACAGTGTTGAAATGGCCATGGAGTGGTTGTTCTCCCATCCTGAAGATCCTGTGCAGGAAGATGACGATCTTGCTCAAGCACTTGCACTATCTCTTGGAAATTTATCTGAAACTCCAAAACTTGATGATACAGAAAAGCCTGTAGATATTCCGCAGGAAGAAGCAGAGCCGAAAGAACCATCTGTTGATGAAGTTATTGCTGCATCGGTGAAGTTATTTCAAAGTGATGATTCTATGGCCTTCCCACTGATGGATTTGTTTGTGACACTCTGTAGCCGAAACAAAGGGGAAGATCGCCCGAAAATTGTGTCGTATCTTATTCAGCAACTGAAGCTCGTACAACTTGATTTCTCCAAGGATACTGGTGCGTTGACTATGATTCCACACATTTTAGCATTGGTTCTCTCAGAGGATGATAACACACGAGAAATTGCTGCATTAAATGGTATTGTGACCGTAGCGATTGATATCTTGACGGATTTCAAGCTTAAGAGTACATCTGAAAATGAGATTCTGGCTCCAAAATGCATTAGTGCTTTGCTTCTTATCTTGAGCATGATCCTGCAGTCACGGACAAAAGTCTCCTCCGAATATGTGGAAGGAAATAAAAGTGGATCTTTGGAGCCGACCGAGTCTCCTCTAGACTCAGCAGCAGCTTTAAAGAAAGCGTTATCTACAGATGCTGCTAAAGGAGAGTCAAACGTGGCTTTGGAATCGATTTTTGGAAATTCTACAGGCTACCTGACCATGGAAGAAGGTCAAAAAGCGCTACTAATTGCCTGTGGCCTCATAAAGCAGCATGTTCCAGCAATTATCATGCAGGCTGTCCTTCACTTATGTGCTCGTCTGACGAAAACACATGCTTTAGCTGTACAGTTTCTGGAAAATGGAGGCTTATCTTCACTTTTTAGTCTTCCGAAAAAATGTTTTTTCCCTGGGTATGACACTGTTGTATCTGTTATTGTACGACATCTCGTTGAAGATCCTCAAACTCTCCAAATTGCTATGGAATCAGAAATACGACAGACCTTGAGTGGGAAGAGGCATATAGGTAGGGTATTACCTCGGACATTCTTGACAACAATGGCACCTGTAATTTCTAGAGATCCGGTGGTTTTTATGAAAGCTGTGGCTTCTACTTGTCAGCTGGAGTCCTCAGGAGGGAGGGAATTTGTGATCCTGTCAAAGGAAAAAGAGAAGCCAAAAGTTTCAGGCAGTGAACACGGATTCTCTTTGAATGAACCCCTTGCAATATCCGAAAATAAGCTTCATGATGGGTCAGGAAAATGTTCAAAAAGCCACAGAAGAGTCCCTGCTAACTTTATTCAAGTAATTGATCAGCTTATTGACATTGTCTTGAGTTTTCCTAAGGTGAAGAGGCCGGACGATGATGAAACCAGTTTAATTTCGATGGAGGTTGATGAGCCGACAACTAAAGTGAAGGGTAAGTCAATAGTCGGGGAACTGGCGAAAGCAGAACTTGGATCTGAAAAATCTGAAGAATTGGCCAGGGTAACATTTATCTTGAAGTTGTTGAGTGATATTGTTCTCATGTACTTGCATGGCACCAGTGTCATACTGAGACGGGATACAGAAATATCTCACCTTCGGGGATCTAATCTACCTGATGATTCACCTGGCTATGGAGGGTTAATTTACCATGTCATTCATCGATTACTTCCTATATCTCTCGAGAAGTTTGTTGGGCCTGAAGAATGGAAGGAGAAATTGTCTGAAAAGGCTTCCTGGTTTCTTGTCGTGTTGTGCAGCCGTTCCAGTGAAGGACGTAAAAGAATAATAAATGAGCTTTCGAAGGTTTTATCCGTGTTTGCTTCCTTGGGAAGGAGTTCTACTAAAAGTGTTCTGTTACCCGATAAAAGAGTTCTTGCTTTTGCTGACCTGGTTTATTCAATCCTGACGAAGAATTCATCTTCCAGCAACTTACCTGGGTGTGGTTTTTCACCTGAGGTTGCAAAGAGCATGATAGATGGTGGAACAATCCAGTGTCTGACCAGCATCCTTCACGTAATTGATCTCGACCACCCTGATGCTCCAAAGCTTGTCACTCTTATTCTCAAGTCTCTCGCGACACTGACGAGGGCTGCAAATGCTGCCGAGCAGCTAAAATCAGAAGGACCAAACGAGAAGAAGAGCACAGATTCTAATGAGAGACATGGCAGTCTTGGAACTTCAACTGAGGCAGAAGTTGATGGGCTGAATCGAAGTGATAGCAGTCTACAGCAAGTAACAGATGCATCGGCGAATGGACAGGAGCAGCCTCCAGTTTCCTCTCAACGCGAAGGTGAAAGGAGTTCTAGTCAAACCCAGGCTATGCCTCAGGAGATGAGGATAGAAGGCAATGAGACTATACTGCCTGAACCTATTCAGATGGATTTCATAGGAGAAGAGATTGAAGGTGATCAAATGGAAATGAGTTTTTATGTTGAAAATAGGGCCGATGATGATGTAGATGATGAGATGGAAGACGAAGGGGAGGATGATGAAGGAGATGATGAGGATGCAGAAGATGATGAGGATGCAGATTTAGTGGAAGATGGAGCCGGTGTTATGTCTCTTGCTGGAACTGATGTGGAAGACCCTGAAGATACTGGCCTTGGAGATGAATATCATGATGACATGATTGACGAAGACGAGGATGAGGATGATTTCCACGAGAATCGTGTAATAGAGGTGCGGTGGAGGGAAGCTCTTGATGGGCTGGATCACTTTCAGATTCTTGGGCGATCTGGTGGTGGAAATGGATTAATTGATGATATTACAGCTGAGCCGTTTGAAGGAGTTAATGTGGACGATCTGTTTGCTCTGCGGAGATCCTTGGGCTTCGAGCGTAGACGTCAAACAGGCAGAAATTCTTTTGATCGGTCTGGTTCTGAAGTACATGGTTTTCATCATCCGCTCTTCTCCAGAACTTTGCAAAACGGCAATACAGCCTCAGCTGCAGCAAGTGTTGGCAGCTATGACGTAGCACAATTTTACATGTTTGATACACCTGTTCTACCGTTTGATCAAGTAACAAGTAATCCATTCAGTGAACGTTTAGGAGGTGGTGGGGCACCTCCTCCTTTGACAGATTATTCTGTTGTGGGCATGGATTCATCAAGAAGAGGGGTTGGTGATAATCGGTGGACTGATATTGGTCAGCCTCAACCAAGTAGCCAATCTACTTCAATTGCCGAGTTGATTGAAGAACATTTTATTTCCAACTTGCGTGCTTCTGCTCCAGCAGATGCTGATGTAACGGCTGGAAGTTTCTCTCAAGGTCAAGCAAACCCAGCTTCTCCTGTCGTCCGAGATACAGGTACACCAAATGAGATTGACGGAATGGAAGTTGGGGAAGGTGACGAAGTACCCTTTGAGCAAGCAGACCTCGAAGCGGCCCATCTTGTCTCCACTGCCCAGGGTCAACCTGATACTTCCAGTATTCAAAATGATCCTGATTCTGTTACTGGGGCGCCTCTTCCAGTAGCTGATCCTGATTCTCATTTTCAACCAAGTGTAGATGTAGATATGAATAGTGATGGTGCAGAGGGAAATCAAAGTGTGGAACCTTCAGTTTTGGCCAGTGACAACAATGAGCTCTCATCCATGGAAGCTACACAAGAAGCGGGGAACGATGAACAAGTTGCTGAAGGTAGCTTGGACGGCGGGGCACATGAAGCGAATGCCATTGATCCTACATTTTTGGAGGCGCTCCCTGAAGATTTGCGAGCCGAAGTCCTTGCTTCTCAGCAAGCTCGGTCCGTTCAGCCTCCAACTTATGAACCACCTTCAGTAGACGACATAGATCCTGAATTTTTGGCAGCCCTTCCCCCAGATATCCAAACAGAAGTTCTTGCTCAACAAAGGGCACAAAGGATGGCCCAACAGTCCCAAGGACAGCCAGTTGACATGGATAACGCTTCAATTATTGCTACTTTACCTGCTGAATTACGTGAAGAGGTTTGCATCTCTCTACCTTTATTTTAATCAAGGTAATTTGGATCCGGAACTGGTTTTAACATCCTGAAGCATGCTACTTTCAGGTACTCTTAACATGTTCAGAAGCAGTTTTGGCAGCTTTACCTTCACCTTTGCTTGCGGAAGCGCAGATGCTAAGAGACCGAGCAATGAGTCACTATCAGGCTCGTAGTCTTTTTGGAAATAGCCACAGACTGAATAATCGAAGGAATGGTAACAATAGGCTGACGGGGATGGACAGGGGTGCTGGAATCACTATGGGTCAAAGGGCTGTTTCATCTTCTGCAGATGGCTTGAAACTAAAAGAGATCGAAGGAGACCCTCTTGTGAATGTTGATGCCTTGAAATCACTTATCCGGCTACTACGACTAGCACAGGTTAGAGGCATTCCTGTTTTTTTCCCAACCCTTTCTAATGGAAGTATCATAAGTATTGGTTTATGCTAATTTTCGCTTCTTACAATAATGTTTTTCTATGTATCAGCCCTTGGGAAAAGGCCTTCTGCATAGGCTTTTATTAAATCTATGTGCTCACAGTGTGACAAGAGCAAACTTGGTTCAACTTTTGCTGGATATGATTAGGCCAGAGATGGAAACATCACCCAGCAAGTTGGCGGGAACTAATCCTCAAAGACTCTATGGCTGTCAATCAAATGTTGTTTATGGACGATCCCAGCTGTTGAATGGTAGTAGTTCCTATCGAAGTTCTTTGTTTGCTATTCTGGCCAACTTCGAGAGCAACTTCTGACTTTCCTTTTTCCTAACACAGGTCTTCCTCCTCTAGTGTTCCGTCGGGTGCTTGAGGTTTTGACGTACTTGGCTACGAATCATCCGGCTGTTGCTGACATGTTGTTTTACTTCGATTCGTCACTGCTGTCCCAGTTGTCAAGCCCGAAACCTTCTGTGTGTGAGGGCAAGGGTAAGGAGAAAGTTACTCATGTGACAGACTCACGGGATCTGGAGATACCTCTGGTTGTCTTCCTAAAACTGCTCAACCGGCCTCAGCTTTTGCAGAGTACATCTCATCTCGCACTGGTATGTTTAGCATGATTTTCAGAATATGAGGCATCTTCTCGCTACATTCTCCAGATATTTGCGTTGAAGATTATTTTATGTCTATACACACGATTTGTGTTCTGTATGTTTCAGGTCATGGGTTTGCTGCAAGTAGTTGTGTACACAGCAGCATCAAGAATTGAGGGATGGTCTCCATCATCAGTCGTACCTGAGAAATTAGAAAACAAACCCATTGGTGAAGAAGCTTCAAGTGAAACACGAAAAGATGCTGAATCTGAGTTAGTGGATGAAGCTGAGATATCTGATGCAAGAAGGAAGAATCGTGCTGACATATATAACATATTCTTGCAGTTGCCACAGTCCGAACTCTGCAATCTTTGTATTCTTCTTGGTTATGAAGGGTAAATGACTCCCTCCTTTCTTCCGTTCAATGTTTTCCTGAGTTTACGCTTTCTTCTTATTTCTATGTATGTAGTGGTCTACACAACATATGTCTTCCTGACTCGCATGTTTCAATACCTTAATAGGTTATCGGATAAAATTTACTCGTTAGCGGGAGAGGTACTCAAAAAGCTGGCCGCCGTGGATGTTGCTCATCGCAAGTTCTTCACGAAAGAGCTTTCAGAACTGGCAAGTGGTTTAAGTGCCTCAATTGTCCGTGAACTGGCAACACTGAGCAATACACAGAAGATGAGTCACAGTACTGGTTCCATGGCGGGTGCTTCAATTCTCCGTGTTCTACAGGTGCTTAGCTCACTAACTTCCTCTGTTGATGATAGCAATGCGGGAACTGAAAGGGAAACAGAAGAGGAGGAACAAAACATTATGCAGAGACTAAACTTGGCATTAGAGCCCCTGTGGCAAGAACTTAGCCAGTGTATCAGCATTACTGAGTCGCAGCTGGATAATACTGCAGCTGATACAGCCGTGCCTAACGTGAACTCCGGAGATCATGTCCTAGGGATTTCTCCTCCGTCCCCACTTTCTCCAGGAACTCAGAGGCTCCTACCTCTGATTGAGGCTTTCTTTGTTCTCTGTGAGAAAACTCAAACTCCACCAATACTACAGCAGGATCATGGGAATGTGACAGCGGGAGAAGTAAAAGAGTCTGTTCTTAGTTCATCATCTAAAACCAGCGTAGATTCTCAGAAAAAAACAGATGGCTCTGTTACATTTTCAAAGTTTGCGGACAAGCATAGGCGACTTTTGAATTCTTTTGTTAGGCAAAATCCGAGTTTACTGGAGAAGTCCCTTTCAATAATGCTCAAGGCACCAAGGCTGATTGATTTTGACAACAAGAAAGCGTACTTCAGGTCAAGGATAAGGCACCAACATGGTCGACAGATTTCTGGGCCATTGCGTATTAGTGTCCGCCGCGCTTATGTGTTGGAAGATTCATACAACCAGTTACGTATGCGCTCCCCACAGGATCTGAAAGGACGTCTGAATGTGCAGTTTCAAGGTGAGGAAGGTATTGATGCCGGTGGTCTTACAAGAGAATGGTATCAGTTATTGTCAAGAGTTATATTTGACAAAGGAGCATTGCTGTTCACTACCGTTGGAAATGATGCCACCTTCCAGCCGAATCCCAACTCTGCTTACCAAACTGAGCATCTATCATACTTCAAATTTGTTGGTCGCATGGTAATATCAGGACCTCGTCATTTCAGTGACCCAAATGTTATTGTTTGTTTTGTTTTGGGGGCCTGGCTGAATTTTTGTGTGATGATCACTGCAGGTGGCGAAGGCGTTGTTTGATGGGCAGCTTTTGGATGTCTATTTCACTCGTTCTTTCTATAAACACATACTTGGTGTGAAGGTAACCTATCATGACATTGAGGCAGTGGATCCTGATTACTACAAGAATTTGAAGTGGCTGCTAGAGGTTCGTGGACCTAGTCTTAATTTACCTTTCTCTTATCAAAAGCTCATTTACCACGGTGCCTTTTAGAGACTTATCTTTGTCCCTTTTCTCTGTTCATTCAGAATGATTTGAGCGACATACTGGACCTAACATTTAGTATGGAGGCAGATGAGGAAACACACATTCTTTACGAAAAGGCTGAGGTGTGTGATAATAGATATTTGTTTCTCTGCTCATTATCTATCCCAAAGGGCCTTCTTACCATATTGAATTGATTATTTTATCTTTACTTGAAAAGGTGACGGACTATGAGCTTAAACCTGGAGGAAGAAATATACGGGTCACAGAAGAAACAAAACACGAATATGTTGATCTTGTGGCCGGCCACAAGCTTACCAATGCTATTCGGCCTCAAATCAATGCCTTCCTCGAAGGCTTTAATGAGTTGATACCTCGTGAGCTCGTATCCATTTTCAACGACAAAGAGCTTGAGCTCCTAATCAGCGGTTTGCCTGAGATTGATTGTAAGTTGGATACTATTGTTCAGTATTGTTGCATGAATTTGCTTTTTGCATTGAGTTATGATATAACAGTAAGTATCATGTTATTTCAGTTGATGATCTTAAAGCCAATACCGAGTATACCAGCTACACGGCAGGATCCCCTGTAATTCATTGGTTCTGGGAGGTCGTTAAAGCTTTTAGCAAAGAAGACATGGCTAGATTTCTTCAATTCGTCACCGGAACGTCAAAGGTAAGCAAATACATGTCCTGATAATATGTACTCTGGTCTCTTTCTCTTTCTCTTTTGTGTGTTGACAAGTGGTGTTTCTGGTTTTTCAGGTTCCTTTGGAAGGTTTCAAGGCTCTGCAAGGCATTTCTGGCCCTCAAAGGTTACAAATCCACAAAGCATATGGAGCTCCGGAGAGGCTGCCATCAGCTCATACATGGTAAGAAATCATTACAAAACCTTTTTTCATATTTGAATGGTTGTTTTGTTTATCTCCCTCTTGAGTTGATTCTCATTTGGTTACATGTGTTGTTTGCAGTTTTAACCAGTTAGACCTCCCAGAGTATCAATCTAAGGAACAACTTCAGGAACGCTTGCTACTTGCCATTCACGAAGCCAGTGAAGGTTTCGGCTTTGCTTGAACCAAAGCTTGTTCATATATTTTTAGTATTAATTTAGGGTTTCTGTTTCTCTCTTTTTGGATTTTGTAAAGCAAAAATCTTTAAAATTGTTGCAAACTTTCTAAACATTAGACTATTTTTAAGTAAGCGTAATGAAATCAGGAAATCACAAAGGAACATATTTGGGTGATTCGATACCCTTTTTTTCTGAAAATTAGTAGTTGGTATAATTATTTGTTTTCTCATAAAAACGCGACAAAGGTGCAGGCAGATAAAGCTAAAACAACTGATTTAACGGTCACGCTCATTGGCATCTTCCCTTTGTCTTTCCTTATGACCATACCTTCGTATAACGGCCAGTTTATTACAACAAGCAGCCCTGCTATCACAAACTGCAAACTCATTCTCTGAAACTCTCCACCGTCTCTAAAAGTGACCAGTCTCATGACTGCGGCGGCGAAGCACAAGAGATTGAGCGTCCCGAGTGTTCCGAGGAGGACAAACATCGGAGACTCCACTCCAAACTCCATTACTTCTCTCTCGTATCTCTCTGCTGCTTCTTCTTCTGCTACTTTCGCTGTGATCACAAACGCAGACTCCGATACCCCAAGTTTCTTCAGAATTGTGTCGATGAATCCGAAAAGAAACGAGCTTGTTCTTCTATAAAGCCACATCCTTTGCTCATTCCACCATCCTCGGAACGTCCCTCCGCACCACAAGAACTCGGCGAGGCTATATGCATTAACTGCGACAGTCACGTATCCAAACGGGATAAACCACCAGCTCCATACCTGGATTCAAACACCAGAAAAAAAGCGGATTGGTTTTTGCCCGATTAATACCAAAACATAAACTGGAAAAAGCTATTTATTACCTTTGGAAACAGAGGAATGCCTTTGAAGAGACAGAGAGAAGCCAAAACAGAGTAAACAAGCACAGGTACTGAACTTGGAGCCCAAAACAGGAAGCAACAGTAACCAAGTATCAGTCCTAATCTGATCTTTCCTTGTCCATACCAAACCGGACTATACTCGGAAAGCAGAATCTGAAATTCTCCTTCCGACCATCTCCTCCACTGCACAAGCATCTGGTGTAAGTTGGTCGGTGCTACCCCTACAAAAGCTTTACTCTTGGGGTTCAAGTATGCTGATTTCCATCCTCGGCACTGAATTGCTAAACCGGTTATTACATCCTCTACCGCGCAACCATATTTCAGACCCATCTGCCATGGAAACAGAACCCGGTTTAGGTCCGGTATAAGAAGCATTTGAAAGGTATTAATCACAGCCTTACCTCCTTTCCCCATTGAGAGTTTTCATCATAAGTAGAGCTTGCGAGAGCCTTGATCATCTCAGGCTCTGTAATTTCTTCAATTTCCTCAAACTCTTCTTCTTCCTCTCCATACTTTCTCCCACAGATGACATCTCTTCTGTGAAAGCAACCAGTCCCAACGTATATCGGTCCTCCATTTCCATCCATTCCGTGTAACTCCACCTTTTCATTATTTAGTATTCACATCCCAAAACCTTAAGAGTTAGTTAAAAGCAGAATCAATATATCAAAAATCCAGAATCAACATATGTTGTGTTTTCTGCGGTCTCTCTCTCTCCGGGACTTACATTCTTTCCTGGTCGCATCATGCTTCCATACAAATCATTCCTCGTAATGTTCTCAAAGCACTGCGGAAACTGCACGAAAGCAATCTCTTTGCCCTCTTTCTCATCAAGGAGGATGCAGAGTGCGTCGCGTGCTGACTTTGAGTTGTTTGAATACATATCACAGTCCAGGTTTAGTATGAATCTTCCACACGTGATCTTCGATGACACCCTTATCTGTCAGAGAAACAACAACAACCCTAATCAAAACAGTATCCTACAATTGGAGAATCATAATGCCTTGTCGAACAAGCAAAACGTTACCAATGCGTTCATGGATCCAGCCTTGAAGTTGTGATGATGCTGAGGTCTCTTCTCTCTCGATAGATACACCAATGTTGGTACTGTTACTCTTTTCTCCTTTCTTCCGTCTACCAAAATCTGACGAGACCAAACCCAAAAAAAAAGTAAAATTCAGTTGTTTCGATTGCTAAAAAAGCAATTACTTACTTGAAGAATGGTTCCATGGTTTCTGCGAGTAGCATCAGAGTCCCACTGGGAAAACCCGTCACCGTACTTCAAACGCGCCTCCTCGGGTATTCGTCGGAGTCTCGCAGCCGTTTCAATCCTCTCCGCCATTTCTCTATACAGCTGAGCAACTTCCTCTGCTGCAGAATTAAGACCAGTTGCCGTGGAAGACAAGTAAGCCGCCGGAGATCTCGGCTCAACGTTGAATTTCTTACAGAACGGAACCCAAACTTTAGCAAACTCAGCTGCCTCCGCGAGAGCAAAGAACGTGAGCTCAGAGCCACCGTCATCAGAGAGATATACGGCGAGTTTCTCCGGTGGATAATCGAGAGCCGCAACAGATAAGACTGTGTTAACGACCATCAACGGTGGCTCAATCTCAGGATCCGCCGTGCAAACGAAAACGTCGAGCCTCGGAAGATGGTTACCATATCTCCGAGAGAGTCTACCGATGAAGGTGAGTCGCCAAACCGGATTCCACCGGAGAGCTTGTGTGAATACCCAATACAAACCGAACCAAATCTCCAAGACTAGCATAAATCCAACCAAACCGGTCCGGTTCTCATCAGTCTCCAACGGTACGGTCACTCTGTAGAACCAAATCCAACAGATACAAAAGAAAACCGAGGCAGAGAAAACCCGGAACGCTATCACTCTTCCGGTTTTCCTCCTGGTGACAGTAAGCGGTTCGCCTTCGTAACCCGGTCCAAACCGGTCGTCTTCTTTTCTCATATTCTTTTTTTCTCTGTTGTGTTGGCAATTGGTAATGGTAAAGATAAGAGAAGAAGCGTCTCTTGGTTGGTTGGTATATGACTATATGTAGAGAGATTAGAGATTTGTGGTTGTTGTAACTTTTGGACATTTTCATAAGACGTCATTAGAGCCGTCAGCAAGTATGTTCCTTTTTTCGGATAGCGTTGTCAATAATTAAGATGAGACAGCGAGACTATCAAAGAGACAAAGAGTGACAGCTTGATTGAAGATAATGTTTCTTAGACTATAGCAAATGGTTGGTGATTTTAATTAGTCAAAAGAGTAACAAAAAGTAAATTTCAGTTTCTTAGGGAGTGATGAATCAAATCAAGAAGCACCATGAACGCGTATCACTCAATGATATTGCCGAGATCTTGGTTTCGTTATTGGGGATAGTCATTATATATTGTACATAGTTTATGGCCATTATTTGAATGCATTGACTCTTTTGTTTTCCTTTTCTTACATAAATGCGATACAGGTACACGCTGATAAAGCAAAGACAACTGATTTAACTGTCACGCTCATTGGCATCTTCCCTTTGTCTTGCCTCAACAACATACCTTGGTACAAAGGCCAGTTTATAGCCACATTTAGTCCTGTTATCACAAACTGCAAACCCATTGTCTGAAAATCTCCACCGTCTCTGAAAGTCATCAGTCTCATAACTGCGGCGGCGAAGCAGAAGAGATTGAGCATCCCGAGTGTTCCCAGGAGGACAAACATCGGAGACTCCACTCCAAACTCCATTACCTCTTTCTCGTATCTCTCTGCTGCCTCTTCTTCTGCTACTTTCGCTGTGATCACAAACGCAGACTCCGATACCCCAAGTTTCTTCAGAATCGTGTCGATGAATCCGAAAATAAATGAGCTTGTTCTTCTATAAAGCCACATCCTTTGCTCATTCCACCATCCCCGGAACGTCCCTCCGCACCACAAGAACTCGGCTAGGCTATACGCATTCACTGCTACAGTCACGTATCCAAACGGGATAAACCACGAGCTCCAGACCTGGACTCAAACACCAGAAACGGTTTAATATCCAAAAAAGAAGAAAAACAGAGGAAAGCTGTTTATTATTACCTTTGGAAACAGAGGAATGCCTTTGAGGAGACAGAGACAAGTCAAAACAGAGTAAACAAGCAGAGGTACTGAACTTGGAGCCCAAAGGCAATAGCAACAATAACCAAGTATCAGTCCCAAACCGATCTTCCCTTGGCCATACCAAACCGGACTATACTCTGAGAGCAGAATCTGAAAGTCTCCTTCCGACCATCTCCTCTGCTGCACAAGCATCTGATGTAAATTGGTCGGTGCTACCCCAACAAAAGCTTTCTTCTTTGGGGTCAGGTACGCCGATTTCCATCCACGACACTGAATTGCTAAACCGGTTATTACATCCTCTACCGGGCAACCATATTTCAAACCCATCTGCCATTGAAACAAAACCCCCGGTTTACTTGCGGTACAAGAACCCATAGGCAGAATAATAAGTATTAAGTCTAGTGATCACAGCCTTACCTCTTTTCCCCATAAAGAGTTTTCATCATAAGTGCAGCTCGCGAGACCCTTAATCATCTCAGGCTCTGAAACTTCTTGAATTTCCTCGAATTCTTTTTCTTCCACTCCATAGTTTCTTCCACAGATGACATCTCTTCTGTGAAAGCAGCCAGTCCCAACGTATAACGGTCCGCCATTTCCATCAAGTCCATTAAACTCCACCTTTTTGCCACATCCCAACACACACAAAGATTAGTTAACACATATGTTGTGTTTTCTGCGGTCTCACTCCCTCTGACTATCAATAAAACTTACATCAGCTATTACTAGCATGGTGCTTCCATACAAATCATTCCTTGTAACGTTATTATAACACTGCGGAAACTGCACGAAAGCAATCTCTTTGCCCTCTTTCTCATCAAGGAGGATGCAGAGTGCGTCGCGTGCTGACTTTGAGTTGTTTGAATACATATCACAGTCCAGGTTTAGTATGAATTTCCCACACGTGATCTTTGATGACACCCTTATCTGTCACAGAAACAACAACAACCCTAATCAAAACGGTGTCCTACAATTGGAGAATCAGAATGCCTTGTGGAACAAGCAACCGTTACCAATGCGTTCATGGATCCAGCCTTGAAGTTGTGATGATGCTGAGGTCTCTTCTCTCTCGATAGATACACCAATGTTGGTACTGTCACTGTTTTATCTTTTCTTCCGTCTACCAAAATCTGATGAGACCAAACAAAAACAAGTCAAATTCAGTTGTTTCGATTGCTGCAACTACAGAACTATAACATAGCTAAAAAGCTATTACTTACTTGAAGAATGGTTCCATGGTTTCTTTGAGTAGCGTCAGAATCCCACTGCGAAAACCCATCACCGTACTTCAACCGCGCCTCTTCTGGTACTCGCCTGAGTTTCGTCGCCGTTTCAATCCTTGCCGCCATTTCTCTATACAGCTCAGCCACCTCCGCAGCAGCAGCAGCAGAGTCCAGACCGTTTGCCTTGGAAGACAAGTAAGCCGCAGGAGATCTCGGCTCAACGTTGAATTTCTTACAGAACGGAACCCAAACTTTAGCAAACTCAGCTGCCTCCGCGAGAGCATAGAACGTGAGCTCAGAGCCACCGTCGTCCGAGAGATACACGGCGAGTTTGTCAGGCGGGTAATCGAGAGCCGCCACAGATAGGACTGTGTTGACCACCATCAACGGCGGCTCAATCACCGGATCCGCCGTGCAGACGAAAACGTCGAGCCTTGGGAGATCGCTTCCGTAGCTACGGGAGAGTCTATCGGCGAAGGTGAGTCGGGAAACCGGATTCCACCGGAGAGATTGTATGATTACCCAATACAAACCGAACCAAATCTCCAAACTAAGCATAACCAACCAGATTAATCGAGCGAAACCGGTCCGGTTCTCATCAATCTCTACCGGTACGGTGAATCGGTAGAACCAAATCCAGCAGATACACCCGAAAACAGAGGCCGCGAAAACCCGGAAGGCAATCACTCCTCCGGTTCTCCTCCTGGTCACAAACAGCGGTTCACGGTGTCCCTCATGAACCGGAGTGAACCGGTCCTCTTCCTTGCCCATTTTTCTTCTTTAATGTCCTCTCTTAGTCTCTTAGGCGGCTCCAAGACAAGAGATGTGCCTCTCGTAGGCTAGAGAGCCTTATGTAGAGATTAGATTAGTGGAGAAAGCTGCTGCAGCTTTTGGACATAATAGTCAAAAAGGAACGTGGATCCCGAAGTCTTCGCTGACGTCATTGGAACCGTCAGCAACTATGTTCGTTTTTCAGACAAATGGTGACAGGTAAGGTAAGAGCCGTCAAGGATGAAGGTTAATCTTATCAAGAAAGATTATAAAAAAGCCAACTTGACTTGTATCTCTCGTCTTTAATAATGCAAAAATCTGTTGGCACTTGGCCGTCTCAACAACATTAGATTATATATAAAGTTGAAGCTGATGTTTTCTTTGACCTTATAGCACATGGTTGGTGATAAATTAATCAAAGACGACTTCATTTCAGTTTCATATTCTTGGGATAACCGAATCAAATCATGAACGCGGATGACTCATCATGTTGCAGAGATATGTAGAATCAAGAGGTATGCTCATTATGTTAAAACAGGGAAAATATGAAGCAGAGCAGAGCAAGAAGAAGCCTCTCTGTTTTGCAAATGGATTATGTAAATAGAAATATATATATATATATATATATATATATATTAATTAATTGGATCATAAGATCCGTTCCGTGGAAATGGCGTTTATCTTCTTCTTCTCTGTTTTAAGCAAAAGCTGCATCTAGCTGATGCAAGTAGAACTAGTAATACAATCTTGACAAGTAATAAAGGTGCTTCTTTATCTTAAATACTTTGCTCATAATCTTGAAACTTGCAACAGCCAGAGAAAATTCCGGTTTGTTGATCATCTTTTATCATATCACACCTTGTGGTCGTTTCCAAGCTTCTGGAACTCAGATTCTAAGGTATCAAAGATCTTGGTGCCTTCGGTGTCTGGCTCAGGGAACATAACGTGGACTGAACCATGCCTACTGATGGGTGCACCAGGTCCTTTAATTAGGCCCTGTTGCTGCTTGACGACATAATTGTAAAGCTCTTGGTGGAAAGAGTGATCCAAAGAGAAACAGTTGTCTACTGTTCCATTGGAGATATGCCTCCCAGATCCAGACCCTTCTCTTCTACAGAAATGTGGGAGAGACTCGTAGTCCATTATCTGCATAATAGAAACAAAAAAGGTTAAAACTTTCAATCTTGTTGAGCAATTGAATGATGCTGTGAGTCTGAGTCTGAGTCTGACCTTTAGCAACTCATCTCTCCCGCAGCCTTTGAGAACTTGAATCTTCTTCTTTGTTCTCTCTTGCAGGAGAGGCTTTATGGTTTTCCAACAAGCAGAAAATATGTATGGGACATTGACAATATAATATGTCTCCGTCTTCTCTGGGTAGTTTAAATCATCTATTGTGGTTATTGCAGTCATTAACTGCACAAACAAAAGAAAAGAAAACAGTCAAACACCACGTAATCAGTAAAACAACACTGACAGAATGTGATAATCGTTATTACCTTTATTTGACTTAAAGCTGAAAGCTTTAAACCAGACATATCCAACACTTTCAAACAAGTGCAGATTGGTCGTCCTTGTTTCTTTGTAGCAGATGGCTACATAACAAGAAAACCACATTACTTATAAGCTTATGTCTTAGAGAAGGAGAAGGAAGAGAAAAAGATCAAAACCAAATAGAGTTGTGTTGCTTACCAACACAACACGATCCCGGTACTCATTCATCTGAATGTGAGACTGTACATAGTAATGAACCTAAAAAGGAAGGATGAGAAAGCAATGGTCAGAGTTTCAAACTTAGAATCAAGTCTTTGAGTAAAACAGTGAAAATGGGAGTCTTACGGAGGCTTTGTCATATGTGCTAAGCCCCACACCAATGGCAATGACAGGGAGACCCTAAAGGTTGATGATTTTAACAAAGTTAGTTTTGATGTGCTTGTTAAAAGTCAAAAGACAAAAGAGGCTCAAAAATGTAGTACCTCTTTTGAATAACCAGACACGCCAATAAGCTGAGAGTCTCTGATTGCTCTGTACAGATCAACAGGAACGATGGGTTTCTTGCAAAACAAATCAATTGCCGGATTAGATATTTAAAAAAAGGGTCCACAGAAGTAGGATAAGAAAAAAAAAAACAGAGGAGCTCACAGTTAGAATCTTGTCAATCTCGTTTTGAGTCCTCCACTCCAAACATTCCAGCAACTGTAACACTTGGAATCATTAGTTTAAGCCCTCAAAAAAAGCTTATATTATAATTTATAAGAAAGCAGAGAATTATTGAAACCATTTTATGAGCTTTCTGGACATTCCAATCCCTCGCTTTGAGAAAGCGTAACAAAGTCTCTGTTGGATACCCTTGATGAATCATCTGCACCATAACAACTTAACAAGTCAGCCTTTTGTAAATCCAATCCACCATTCTTCTTCTCAAGATCAGTCAATGTTGTAACTTCAACTCCATAGATCCAAACATTGCATGAAAACCGGATCTTTTCAATCACTAAATGCAAGAGAGAAACATATAGATCCAAATCATTGAAACCAATAAACCGATGCCGATCATTTACACATGACACGAGATTGGTTCCAATAGAACACACCCACACAAAAAAAAAAAAAAAAAAAAAAAGAGTTTTCGGTTTGCTCAGAACCCTATTTATAGAAAAATGAATCCCAAAATACCAATCTTCGGTTCAATGAGCAAAGAGTTGGAGTTGAATCTTTGTGAGCATCTAGAGAGAGCAAGTAAATTACTAACCCGATACGACTCTCTCAGTGATTCATCAACTGTCAATACCAGAAAACAAAAAGAGAGTGAGATTAGGAGATTAGCTCAAAGTTTTAGGATTTCGTCGGCGATCTTCGAACAAAGCAAAGCTTAATACATGAAAACAAAACACACCATCTTCCATCAATATACGTAATTGCTTGATTGCTTCATCACTAGCCATGCCCATTTTCTTTCTCCCTCTCTCTCTCTCTAGAGATCTCAGCTCAGATGTTAAGAAAATAAAAAGCTGAATTTTCGGGCAAAAGTTTCTGCGCGAAATCTAAAGAGGGTAAATCTGCGATCTTTACGGACAATAGTTCCTCAGAGGAAGTGAGATAATTAAAGAAATTAAGAAAAAAAAAAAAGATTTTTAATATGGAGCGAAGAAAATCTTTTAGAGAGAGAAATGGAGTTCTCTCTTCTTAAAGCATTCTTCTCCAGTGAGTTTAGAAAAATATCATCTCAACAAGTTCTCTCTTGTAATAAAGAGAAGAGAAAGAGATTTTAGATTTTAAACATTTACGAATTTCGAGCATGCTCTTCTTTTTTTTTTCTTTTTTTTGAAAGAAAAATAATTGAAAATGTTCTTGATTTTTATTAGGAAAATCTCCACTCAAAATCCACCACCATCCATGAAAAGTCAAAGCGAGAATCTAAAATTTAGCCGTAATACATTTTCACTTTATTTTCCTCAAACTTTACTTATTTTCTTCTCATTTTCTTTGATTATTTGATTCTAGTAATATTCTGTCTTAATGACATTTGCATGCTTCAAACATTAGTTAAAACTATCAAAGAATCTAATTCTTTCGAATTTTGATTGTCGATATTCAATAATCGTATGTCATCTCATCTTGTTTCAGTAGAGAAACTAATTTTTTAAAATATAGTTGGCTACTTGGCTTGAGCATGTAACAAAAAGAGAATAAGATGCGTGCACCATACAACGATTCCATCAAGTAAATAACAAAACTCATTATTTTAAAAAAATAAAATAAGTGAGATTCAACTAAAATAAAGAAACATAAATGTCCATCGTCATGTGTTAGTTCTCCTCATTCAATCACAAAATTAAGACACCCATATGACACATGCATCGTCAACCTCTTCCTCACCTTTTTCTCTCTTTTATTTTATTTTCTCCTGTCGGTTTCATGTAAAACAAAAATAAAATTATCATTTAGATGCTCTCAAATTATATTTCCAAATTCCGCTTTTTTCTTTCTTTTCAAAGTGCTCCCAAGATTGGACCTAACATCTGGCATAAGGAATATCTCTTATACCGTTCAAAAAAAGATAGTACAGTATTCTCCAATATTCATGCTTACTTTTGTCATGTGCATGCATGTTATGGTTGATAGGTTTTTTTATATAAATTCACTTGAAGGTAAATTTGGTACGTAGAGAGATTTTTGCTTGTAGTGATTGATTTTCACAATGGACAGATATTAATTCTGTAACGGAGACAAAAGTAAGCACAGAGACGATATCCAAATGCCATGGCAAGAAGAATCCAAACTTCTTCAAGACCTCCTTTCAGAATTACTGTGTCGAATGATGATGAGCTCTGCAATGTCCTGCATCCTCCATTGCTTCCACATTCGTAAAGCTGCTCCCCTGAATACTGAGCTTTGAGCAGTAGTCTAAAGCCGTAGTGCATGAACGACAAATACTTCAACCATTGCATAAACTTTGGTATGTGCTGCATATATAAATATACACAACATATTATAATAATTTATATATGCATGAGTCACTCAAATATTACATGATCATATGACTTAACAGTATTTAATTAGGGAGTCTCAAACTATATTTAAGAAAAAAAAATGTTGAGTCAAGTACCTGAACATAATAGCCTCCTGTGAGAAGAAACAACATAAGCACCAAAGAAGCAATCATACCAGCTCTCTTTATGCTCAACACTGAAGCTCCTAAGAACTCTCCTGCTCCCTGAAAAGTGAAAACGCATAACAAATTAAAACCTACTTAATCAAGGCTTTAAAAGTAAAGAAGAATTAAATAGTGTCGCTTACTTGGCTTGTAATGGCTATCAATAGTATTGTCAACAATGTGAAGAAGAAGCAAGGGACTGTTCTCTTGAAATCAGCCATGAAATAGACAATGATGATGAAGAACGTTGGGTAGATAACATGTGCCACCATGTCACATAGTGTGCTACATATGTAATACACACTTAACCTATACATGTCTGCTTTTCTTTCTTTCACTAGATAGATTTTCTCAAAGGGGAACACATAGACTGCTCCGAACATTGACGAAGATGTCCAAAAGATGCAGATATAAAACATCAAACCCACCTGCAAATGTTTTAAAATTAATTAAGGAGTCCTGTTTTTATAATGTTATGATCAAGTTTTTGTTCAAAACACTTACTTGGTCTCTCAGATGTGCTTCTGTGTCTATCTTTGATTTCCACCAGAGAAGACCCAACAAGACAGCAACTCCAAGTGATTGAACTAGTCTGAGCTGATCAAAGTAATCTCTACGCCTCTCTCTGTATGTTCTTCTGAAAATGATAACGAACTGATCCCACCATGAAAGTGTCCATTCTTTCTTCACTTGAATCGCTATTTGAAGATGCTCTGCTGCTTTTCTCTTTCTATGGTTCTCTTCTTTCTCTCTCGGCTCCAACTCTGTCTTATACTTTACTTCTAGGTACTGTAAGACATGACAACATAGGATCCATCAGCTGATCAATCTATAATGTAGTAGTACCTAAGCTTAAGACTTAGGACTAATTTGATCCTTACATTCAATATCGCTTCCTCAGAACCAGGGTGGTCGGTTTTCGCAGCCAATAATTCGTCTGGTAAGCTGATATCTGCCACTTGTCCGGTCGCTAAGTCCAGCAAGAACTCAGCAGGATTCATTGCAATTTCAGGAAAGATTCTCAAAGATGAGAAGTAATCCATAGATTCTCTTGCATTGCCGTAGAACACAGGGTACCCTTCTGAGATCAACAGAAGCTTATCAAACATGTGAAACATTCTGCTTGATGGTTGATGGATCGTCGTAATCACAGTCCTTCCTGCCTGCAAAAACACACAAAATTAGCATTTATAATAAATCATATTTTTGATATGTAACTGAGAGCGAGAACCTTAGCAACGCCTTGAAGAATCTGAAGAAGATTAGTAGCAGAAGTGGAATCAAGTCCAGAAGTTGGCTCATCAAGAAGCAACAGAGAAGGATCAACAAGAATCTCATAAGCAATACTCGTTCTTTTCCTTTCTCCACCAGAGATTCCACTCACAAAACTACCTCCAACTCTCGTGTGACGACACTTTTCAAGCCCTAACTCTTTGACAATCGTCTCTACTTTAGCATACTTCTGCTGCTTGCTCATCCTCCTTGGAAGTCTCAAAAACGCAGTGAACACTAAAGTCTCTTCCACGGTAAGTTGTGGCAGTAACACATCGTCTTGTGTCACAAAACCAATCCTGAAATTCAAAAAGGAAACTAATGATCATAATCAAGAACAGAGTAATTCTATAAAAATGGTTTTTTGGTGTTATAGCTAACCTTCTTTTAACAGCTTGAGTGTAAGGAATGTCGTTGTAAGTGACATTTCCTTTGACGTTATCCGTCAATCTACCTCCAATTATCTTCAGCAGAGTGGTTTTGCCGCTACCTGATGGACCCATAAGGGCAAGAATCTCACCTGGACCGGTACTTCCGGTTATTCCCTTCAAAATGTGCTTGTACCGGTCTGGATCCGGTTTAAGATGTGCAGCCACTCTAGATACCACTGAGCTAGCTTTACTGTTTCTTACCTTATACTCCACATCTTCAAACTGCTCAATTTTTCAAAAAATTAGCCATAAGATGTTCATTAGATTTCTTGTGGATAAAGAAACTCAAACAAGAGAGTGAGAGAGAGAGAGAGAGAGAGAGAGAGAGACCTTGAGAAATATGGGGAGAGGTTTGTCTTGATGAGGATAAAGAGAAGAAGAGGAAGAAGAAACAACGCATTCTTCTTCGTCTATGTCGATCTCGGATGAGTATCTGTTTCTGAGATAAGCTTGAGACATGAAGTCTATGTTGTGATCAACGATTCCATTACTTATTGAAATCTGCATATTCCCCATTACAGGGTTAATGCCTTCAACTTCTTCTGTGGATCTTCTGATGTCCATTTTTGTTTCTTTTTCTTCCTTTGATGCAAGAAATTGATATGAATATATGGTTGTGTTATATAAGTGAAGCAAAGTGGATCAACTACAACAAACCTGAAACTTTTCTTAATTCTTTCTGTGTTTGTCTGGTACACCACAAACTTTGAGTGCCTTTTAGAAAGAAAAATAACATTTTTCATGAATTTAGTTTCCTAAAAAATGATAATATTTTACCGTTATTTATCATCACTAGCCAAGTAGCAACTTCATGTTAAACGGTGTCGTATGAAAGGATAGTTGACAAAACACGACGAGTGTTCTTTTCTTCTTCCGTCGTTCGTCTTTGAACAGAAACAACGTTGAGGAGAAGGAAATGATGGACGAATCGGGGGATATATTGATGAAGACGTTGATGGAATCTGGGGTTTTGATCCCCGGAGATTTCTCTTCTGTTGGTGAATTGTCTTCCGAAGCTTTGGTATCGATCTGTGCTCAGTTGCTTAATCTCATCGACCCATCGGCGTCGTTTTGCGTTGAGCTCCCTGATTCTCTCCCCGATAGGTTTAGGATCTGCACCGATATCGCTCATTCTGTGAAGAGCCTAGGCTACATCGGCGACATGAGTTATTACAAGGTATCGTGATCGGAGAATCTAAGAATTGAAAATGAAATTGAGAATTCGTTTAGCCCTACGGCTCATATGTGCGCATTTCTGGTCGTAAGTGAGTATTTATAGAATGATGGATATTTTCTTGCTGGGGGAGAAACTAGATTTTGGTTTCTAATGTTGAATCATATACATTTATCGTCTTGGATTAAAGGAAATGACTTTAGATTAGATGTGGGGATCATAACAATTGATTGCGAAGGAACGTGTTCGTCTTTCGAATATGAATTAGCAATGAAGCATTGTTCTCAGTTCTTTGCTGTGTGGCTTTTCTTATTTGTGTGAAATGATGCTGAAACAGATTCTATGTGTTGCTTGCGGCAGTTTCTGCATCCATCTCAAGATGACTCGTATAGGTTGGTTAGATTCTTGGTTGAGAGGCTTTCCGAGAAAAACGAAGGAATCAAAACTTCTCCTTCTGGTGATATAGCTAGCAAGCCAATGGCCGAGACTTTCAGAGATATTTCAGATGACAAAATGGTGAAGGAGGACAATGATGAGACTTTTGACATGCATATACAGAAGGTTGAAGCTGTCCTCAAAGATCTTACAATGACTACTGAGATCTCTCGTTCACCAGACTCTCTTGCCAAAAATGCTTCCACCAGTGTTGATCTCTTCTCCCTAAAGACAGATGACCCTGTTACTGGTGAACCATCAGATTTTTCATTGAGACAGCCATCTGGACATGAAGAAAATTCTTCTCAAGACCCGTCTGAGGTATTGTTTCTATTGCTTATTGTAACCTCATCTCCTTTTTCTGTATGTAGGCATATGGTTGAACTTTTAGATAACAATAGGATATCAAACCAGTTTTATGAATGTTGAAAGCTTAACCATTATCATTTTTATGCTTTGTAGACAACTTATGAGACTGTTGAGTTACAGAAACAACATGATTTACTCTTGGAGGAACTAGAATCGGGATATTCAGAGCTCTGCAGTCTGGACAGTGATCTAGAGCTGTTGAAGATGGCTGAGGAGAGGTTATTGGATGACAAACAGCTGGGTGGGTCATATCTCGAACAGCTTAATCAACAACTAGTGGTCAAAAGGTGTAATATAGTGGATCTTAAAAAGCAGTGGTATGGTCACTACTCTATTATCTACATGTTGAAAGCATACATGCATTCATTTTTATTGACAACCACAGGATATGATCCTTACGTATATCATGTCTTCCTTCAGGGACGATGAAAGGCTGACTTTGGAAACTAAAAAGCTACGTCTCTTGGACCAAATTCATGTGGTGGAACCAGAGGCTAAAGAGAAAGTCCATAAGTTGAGAAAGACTCAACTGGATTTACAATCGCTCTCATCAGAAATTCAAAAGAGGTAACCAGAGGACTCCTACTACATTTACCTACACTGTTTGTGATTTTGTGCTTCTGATTGCTATTAATATCGTGTTTTATGGGCGTTGGTGTTGTTCCCTTGACTCTCGTACCATATTAATGTGTTAACTTTTTTCCTACAGGGAAGATGAAAGGTATAACCTATGCACTGAGCTTGAGAAGCAACCAAAAGCAGCGTCTCGGAAATCTTATATCCATGGGATTAAAGAAATAACAAAGAATAGCCGTAAACTGGACACTGATATACAGAGGATTTCAGGGGAGACCAGGGAGATACAGTTAGAGAGTAACTCAATCCAAGAACGCCTGCACCGATCGTATGCTGTTGTGGATGAAATGGTTACAAGGTATGAGCTTTTTGTGACATGTTTGCACCGACTGGTCAGATATACACCAAATAATGTTGCTCAGCCTAATCTACTGTGCTGATGAGAATGGTTTTTCTTTGATCCGGGCAGGGAAGTGAAAAAGGACCCAGCCGTACGACAGGTGTATAAGCTAGTGACGAGTATCCACGGTATTTTCGAGCAGATCTCCGAAAAAGTCCTCATGGCTGATCGGTTAAGAAGAGAAGCAGTCGACTATGAGAAGAAGCTAGGGTCCATCACAGCTCGAGGCATGAGCCTGGAGAAATTACAAGCCGATCTCAATGCTATCAGGAAAGAGAACGAAAGTCTCGAGCAATAACTTATTCAATGTGGCTGAAGAAATACCAAAAGACGCAATACATCTGCTAATGTGCTTTCAAATTTGGACCACTATTTGTTTTTAGGATGGAGAGAGTTTATTTTTTCTTGACTTATAAAGAGAACCAAAAGCTGATAAGTCGCATCCAAAATATGTTTGTAAAAGCTAGGGAATACAGACAAAAGAGGCAATTATCAGTACATAAAACTATTCAATAGGGATCTTCTTCCCAAACATTCTTTATATTTTTGTCTAGATTGTCTCACAACAAAAAATATGGCAACAAGGGTTGGCTGCTTTGAAGCACATCTTCTTCCCTCTTGTTTCCTAAGTATTTACACCAAAAATTCCAGACCTTAACACCTCTTTTACACGATTGAGGTGTATCTTTATAGCTGCTTCACCCTTGGCCTAACAGTTGTTGAGCCAATTCGTTAGAGCATTTTGAGGTTGCTGCTGATAAGCAATGTGCGGGTGTCCGATTGGTTCAGGCATAGTAGTGGTGGTGTGTGGCGGTGGCGGTAAGGTCTGATATGTAGTTGAAGCAGCGGCCATAGGCTGTGATGGTTGGTGCATTCCAATGACTCCACTCTGACCAGCCTGCACGACTGGGAAACCAAGCGGCTGTCTCTGCAGGGCTAGGTTGTACAATGGATTCAACTGCAGGTTGCCAAGTCCCTGGCCAATCCAAGCAGCTGCACTTTCAGTCTACAACAATAATATCATGTGGACCACCGTTAATTACATAGTCAGCAACTATAACAATGAAAGGATAGAACAGCAAAAGAAACTGACCATAGGTGAAGTCATTTCTGCAGTATGGACAGAGTTTAAGGCGGTCGCAGATGGGATGTGGGTGGCAACTATGGAAGAAGCTTGTGGGGATGGGTCTGTGGTAGGAGGGTTCTCAGCATCGCTTAATGGTGTTATATGGGTAGGTGCAGCTAGAGCAGCTCCTGGTGGAAAATAAGACTGCTGAGGAATCCCATTTGCGCCTAAGTACTGGTGAATGTATGGTGGTGGTGGCATGTAAAATTGTGGGTAATAGGGACCGTATGGGAAGTAACTGGGAGGGTATTGTTGCCTATAGAGATGAGCTGCTGCTGCTATGGAGAACTGATCTTGCGGATATGATATAGCTGGAGCACTAGAACTTCCAGGCTGCAAATTTGAGAACGCTGTTATCAGGGAAAATATCAAACAGATAAAAGGATTGTGTTCAGTGCATGTATATAGATGCCACGTGCCTGAGCCACTGCCGTTTCTGTGTTTATGGGTAGGCCTAATGCTGAGAAGGAAGGGACCAGACCAAAAACACCGAGTGGGGCTTCTTGACCATAAGCAATTCGATGAGTTTGTGGGTTCAACAAAGTTATCTCCCTAACTTCATCTTCTACAGATGGCACAATGTGATCTGAGTGCCGCACTAGCTCAGCTCCAGGTGCAGAATTTGAATCCGATGATGGTCCGTCTCTGCACAATAAGTTACGGTAATGAGATTGGTAATAACTAACACTGGGAACAGTATGTTGGTATAGAGATTGCAGTAGATCAGTAAGTAAAGCAGAGAATATGTAGAGTCAAAGTATCTCAGTCACAAACCTAGCAGAAGCAAACCCAGGAATACCATTGCTAGTGGGAGAAGAATCTCCCTCATCATCCCCTGTCCCGTGAGATGACTCAAAATTTGAGTCACCACCACTAGCACCATTGTTAGAAGATGCCTCTATCACAAAGTTGGAATCAAAACTGCCAAACGTCAGAGCAGTTTGCAGCACTTCGTCACCCTGAAGGTGGAATGGAAATATTACATGCGACCGTTCGCCAACATCTGGCTTGCGAACAAGTGACTGAGCTTTGGCTTTATTGCATGCAGTATCATTTCCGATGACTGTTAAAAAACGAAAAAGAAGTGACTCAATCAAATAACAGACCATATTTGCTGCACCATTACTGACTTAACTAGACGACCAGAGAATAAACTTAAAGCTACTTCAAGGCAAACTAAAACTTCATAAATAAATAAAGCTGACATACCTGTATCTGACTGGCTGCTACTGCAGCGAGAAGCAAAAAACAAAGAAGGTTCCTGCCGGGTGAAAGTAGATGATTGCAACTCTGCTGGCTGGTTGTTCACAACAGGTTGTGAGATCTGAGCAGAAGTAACATCTTGTACATGGTTTTGCACAACAGCAACTGATGCAGGAGCAGCAACTGGTTCTGAGACTGCTTTAGACGTCTCTGGCTCAACACCACCCTCAGAGGAAGAAGTAGACTTGGCAGGAGGATTTTTCTCTGCAAGTCCCTTGGCCACAGTAGCAGTAGCAGTGGAATCATCTTCAACTTTAGGATTGCCTACTCCATTCGGAACACTGGTAGGACCAGAAACCCTGCAAAAGGTACTCTTTTAATCTTTAACAACTTGATAACTAACTGAAGATAATCGGAGAGACACAAAAGGATGATGATATGCAAGAATACCTTATTGCACGCGGTACTGTGAGGTTTCTTGCTTTGTTAGTGGCAGGAAGAGAAGTTCTAGGACCTCCTGTTACATGATTAGCTCCACTCTCCCTTTTAAAAGATGCGCCTCTTCCATTGCCTGCATCTGAATGTCAACAAAGAGCTTAAAGCAGGGAAGAGAAGTAACGATTGTCTGTCATTCAATGGCATCAATAAGATCAAATAAAGCACGTACCATGATAATTGTTGCTAGAAGCATAGTTCCTCCGACCACTTCTGCCACTTGCTTGGTTAATTGGCACTACATTCTGCAGACAATAGTAACCATTTGAGATGAGGAAAGCCATAGGAGCTAGTGATGAACAAAGTATATGGATTGACTGATAAGTGATTTCAAAAATCAAAACATAACCAAATTAGAAAAGACGAAAGAAACAAAAGTGCAAATAAAGGATTCAACACTTGCCTCCTTCTTTTTCTCCCTCTTACTTTTCACTTCGTGAAATGTATCTGCAATGTTTCAAAAATTACAGTGAGAAACTACGAATGAAAAGTTGCACAGAAAACAACAACTTACAAGAGAAGAAGACAATTAAAACGAATTGGAACATAAAAATCTGCATATTATTTAACATTTTACCAAAAAAAAAAACTCTGCATATTCGAAACCAGGAAACAAAGATTCCAAATTCGAAAAAAAATCCAGGCGCTAAAGAGAAACTGGTAACACATGCAAACCATAAGCACATGACATGATCTTCCAGAACAGATGAAGGGTAAAATCAACAAACCCTATCGTACAGAGGAAATCGACCAAGGGCAGGAAATGCAAAGGAAAACCAAACCGAAAAGGGGCGGCGATTTTCTAAACCCTAAATGGAGAGAGAGATATAAGTGATTGATGAGTAGTAAGTAGAATAAATACCGAGAAAGAGGAGCTTCTGGGCGGTCTCGTGAGGATCATTGAAGGAGTCAGTGTAGACGGCGAAGATATCTTCGTCGGAGTGCTGTTTGCCGGTAATCTCACGGATACTCTGAATGGTTTTGCGGAGGTGGTGGGGAATCGAAACCCTAGAAGAGCCGCCATCGGCGTTAGTGTTCATGGTGGGAGGAGGAGAGAAGTGTGTAAGGTAAGGGGGAAAGAGAAGCGGGAGGAGAGAGAAAGGAAGCTCAACAAATTGAAAAATTGAAATTGGGACCTCCCTTGCAAATACACAACAACACACAAACAGAGAGTATGTCTTATGAGTCTATGTATTATTTACTCAAGTCTCTCCCCATCCCAGTAATGAATGTACAGTATATGTATACCGATTAAAATCCCACTAGGTCGGTAACTTCATTGTTGTGGTTTATTTGTATTTACAGCCTTTAATTTTTACGTATTTACTTTTAATTCAAGTCAACTTATTTATTCTCTCCGATTTTAGTAACGTGATGAATAGTTGTATAGTACAAAAAAATTGATCGTACAGGTATTTACATCCTTTACTTTTTACATCTTTACTTTTAATTGAGGTCAACTAATTTATCCTCTCCGATTTTAGTAACGTGATAAATAATTGTATGTATAAAAAATTTGATCGTACATCCTTTAATTTTTACATATTTACTCTTAATTCAGGTCAACTAATTTCTTTTCTCCAATTTTAGGAACGTGATGAATAGTTGTATAGTACAAAAAAATTGATCGTACTAGTATTTACATCCTTCAATTTTACATCTTTATTTTTACTTTTAGATCAACTATTTCTCTTCTCCGATTTTAGTAATGTGATGAATAGTTGTATAGTACTAATTTTTTGATCGTACAGAAAAGATTAGTACAAATACAAGTTGTACGACATAGTAGTACAGTGATTTTGTAAAATGATCATACAAAAACTCTAATTTTAACATTATAGAAAGTAGTACAATAACAGTTAATCCAACCAAAAAATATTAATAATATCTCAAAGAAGAAAAAACAAATTCTAAAATAAAATTCTAAAAATTACATATCATAATTTTAAAAAATAATAATAATTTACCAACATATTTAAATTTGATATGAAACTATATTAGAGAAATACCACTATATGAAATGAATTGTTTGAACTGATAAAGAAAAATGTGCAAAGAGAGACAGTTACGATGATGTGAGAGAGAAATGGGTGAGAGACGTATTGTACGTGTAGAGAAAGGAGAGAGTTATTAAGTGATTTTCTTCTTGTATTGATCTTAGTAATTATTACATATGCTTAACTCTATTTATAGAGGAAGATGAGGAAGTGGGTAAGTCGGCTAAAGAGGAGGCGGTTAAAGGAAAATGTTAAACAATTGACATAGGATAATTATCCTTTCTAACACTCCCCCTTAATTATCCGTCAATTATATACGGTCTCGTTAAAAAACCTATGTCATAGAAAAACCCAATGGGATAAAAACTATGACTTAGGAAAAAGAGTACCGCAGCATAATCTCCCCCTGGAAAAGATAGAATCTTTTCTTTTCACAAATTTTGTAGACGACGCATTCCGATACTGTGAACATGCTTCTTGAACACTGTAGTAGGAAGCGCCTTTGTAAAAAGATCGGCTGCATTGTCACTTGAACGAATATACTCGATGTCCACTTCTTGATTTTTCTGGAGTTCTTGAGTGTATGAGAAAAATCTTGGAGGAATATGCTTCGTTCTGTCACTCTTGATATAACCTTCTTTGAGTTGTGTGACACATGCAGAATTGTCTTCAAATATTTTTGTTGGCTCTTTTCTGTACTATTCCACTTGATTCTTGTATGTTGAGTCATAGACCGGAGCCACACACTCTCTACATGCTTCATGGAGAGCAATAGTTTCTGCATAATTTGAAGACGTTGCAACCAAAGTTTGCTTTTGCGAACGCCAGGAGACCGCGGTTCCACCAATTGTGAAAACATAACCTGTTTGTGATCTAGCTTTGTGTGGATCTGATAGATATCCTGCATCAGCAAAACCAACTAAAACACATTTTGAGTTTTTAGGATAAAATAATCCTAAATCAATTGATCCTTGAAGATAACGAAAAATATGTTTTATTCCATTCCAATGTCTGCGCGTAGGGGACGAACTATATCTTGCAAGCAGATTAGTAGCGAATGCTATATCTGGTCTAGTGCAATTTGCAAGATACATTAGTCCACCAATAGCGCTCATGTAAGGTACTTCAGGACCTAACACTTCCTCGTTATCCTCACAAGGACGGAATGGATCCTTTTCAACATCAAGAGATCTATTAACCATTGGAGTACTCAAAGGAGTTGCTTTGTCCATATAAAAGCGTTTTAACACTCTTTTAGTGTAATTTGACTGATGCACAAATATACCATCTTGGAAATGCTCTATCTGGAGCCCAAGACAAAACTTTGTCTTTCCAAGATCTTTCATTTCAAACTCTTCTTTCATATGAGTTCTTGCATCATCAATTTCCTTTTGAGTTCCAATCATGTTCAGGTCATCTACATATACAGCAATAATCACAAATCCTGAAGAGGATTTCTTAATGAATACGCAAGGGCATATCGCATTGTTGACGTAATCTTTACTCAACAAATATTCACTTAAGCGATTATACCACATGCGTCCGGACTGTTTTAGTCCATAAAGTGATCGCTGTAATCTGACCGAACAGATCTCCTTAGCCTTTGATTTCAAATCCTCAGGCATTTTTAATCCTTCTGGGATTTTCATATATATCTCATTTTCAAGAGATCCATATAGATATGCTGTCACAACATCCATGAGATACATTTCAAGATTTTGAGACGCTGCTAAGCTCATCAAAAATCTGAATGTTATGGCATCCATTACTGGGGAATATGTTTCTTCATAATCAATTCCCGGTCTTTGAGAAAAACCTTGAGCCACAAGTCGGGCTTTATATCTTGTGACCTCATTTTTCTCATTTCTTTTTCTTACAAAAACCCATTTGTGCCCGACGGGTTTTGTATTCTCAGGAGTTGTGACAATAGGTCCAAAAACACTTCTTTTATTGAGGGAGAGTAATTCAGCTTGGATGGCCATTTTCCATTTCTCCCAATCAGGTCTTTTGAGACACTCTGATATTGTTTCTGGATCTGGATCATCACTTTCATGATCAATTTCTTTGTATACAGAAAAAGAGAATATTCCATCATCATCTTCTATTTCATTTCTTGTCCATACTTTTCCATTTTGGGCGAAGTTGATGGAGATCTCAAATTTTTCTGTATCATGTTCGTCTTCTGGACGAATCTCTTTCTCTGGTTCTTCAAAAACCAGTTTGTTTATGTCTTCAGGACATATTTCTTTACTAGGTTCTTCTTGAACCTTCTCTCCCAAATTCTTTTTCTTTCGGGGATTTTTATTTTAGAGCCCATTGGCCTCCCCCTCTTTAATTGGACTTTGGGTGCATTTGCTATGCTTCCATCATTTTGTTCTTTAGGAACATCTATCTTGATGGAACGTTTGCAGCGGGTATATATGATTTAGTCACTCTTTTTGTATCTGTGAACGTCTGGTAATTGATTTGCCATATTTTGTAAATGTATAATTTTCTGAACTTCCAATTCGCGTTGTTTCATTGGGGATCAAAGTGTAACAAATTCGGTGTACACCATGTGAGGTCTTTTGGAACCTCTTTAATTCCTCCCCCTAACGCTGGAAATTCATCTTCATTAAAATGGCAATCGGAAAACATGCCGTAAACATATCACCAGTTTGAGGTTCAAGATACCGAATAATACTCGGTGACTTATACCCAACGTATATTCCCAATCTCCTTTGTGGCCCCATTTTTGTTCTTTGTGGCGGTGCAATCGGAACATAAACCGCACAACAAAAAACACGGAAATGGGATACGTTTGGCTCATGACCAATTGCTAATTGTAATGGGGAATATGCATTATATACACTTGAACGTATTTGGAGCAACACTGCAGCATGCAAAATAGCATAACCCCATACTGAAATCAGTGGCAGAGCTAGAAAGTTTTTTAACATGGGTCAAATTGATATCATTCATATGTTAGAGGGGCCAATGAACTAAATATGTATCATTTCATAGTTAAAATACCTATGATTTTTTTTTTTAATCCACAATGGGTCAAGTGACCCACCTCCCAATGAGCTAGCTCCGCCACTGACTGAAATTGGGAGTTTTGTTCTCATTATTAACGGTCTTGCAATAAGTTGCAACCGTTTAATCAAAGACTCAGCCATGCCATTTTGTGTATGAACATGGAACCGGATGCTCAACATCGATTCCCAATGACATGCAATAGTCATTAAAGGCTTGTGAAGTGAATTCACCAGCGTTATCTAATCTCACTTTCTTAATAGTATAATCAGGGAACTGTGCTCTCAACCTGATTATTTGGGCAATGAATCTTGCGAAAGCCGTATTTCGTGTTGTCAAAAGACACACATGTGACCATCTACTTGATGCGTCAATTAATACCATAAAGTATTGAAACGGTCCGCATGGTGGGTGAATAGGCCCACATATATCACCGTGTATTCTCTCTAAGAAACAAGGGATTCATTCCCAACTTTCGCTGGTGATGGCCGAGTTATGAGTTTTCCTTGAGAACATGCATTACATATGAACTCGCCCGTTTCTAAAATTTTCCCGTATTTCAACGGATGGCCATTTGAGTTTTGCACAATTTTTCTCATCATGACTGAACCTGGATGCCCTAGCCTTTCATGCCAGATTTTGAATGTACTAGTAAACTTCGGGTTTACTGTAACATATGATTCAGTCAGAGTAATATTTGTGCAATATAATCCGGAGGACATCATTTTCAATTCTTCCAATATTTGTCCCTCCGATTTGATGCAAAGGATTTCAATGCCATTCTTATTTATAGTCTCTATGTGATACCCATTTTTACGGATATCTTTGAAACTCAATAAGTTTCTGTAAGACTTGGGGGAATATAATGCATCATTTATTTCAAACTTTGTTCCCCTCTTGGCATTGAAAAACTGGCTCTTCCAGAGCCCAATATTATTTTTGCACCACCAGAAATGGTATTCACGCTTTCAACGGAATCTTTAATTTTGAGACCGGAGAAATATCTTTTATCTTTGAGTATTGTGTGCGTTGTAGCACTGTCTGCAAGACACATATCTCCATCACGAGTCTCAAATTTCGTCATTTCTGGATTTAACAAAGATGCATTAATAAGTATTAAACAATACAAAGCTTATATCACAAGATACAAAATACCACATTAAAAACTATTTTACAACAAAAAGATCAAACTTTTAGGTTATCTTATTCAGGAAGATAACTATGTATATCATGTCCTTTTAGTCGTCTGTTTTTCCGTTGATCTCTTCGGAGTCAACCAGAAAATCTGAAACATCAAGATGAGTATCATCGTTTAGGCCGTGAAAGGAAGGACCGGGTTCATTGGAGATGAAGTTAGTCTCACTTTCTTTCTCCTTTGCTTTTTGTGATTCCCGGTACAGATCGGCTAAGTGTCTGGGTGTACGACAAGTACGCTCCCAGTGATTTTTCATGCCGCATCTGTAGCAAACACTTTCTTTTTGCTTTTTAGAATCTCGGCCGTAATCATTTGCTCGAGATCTTTTATAGTTCCTTTCATTGTTAGACTCGTCGGGACGGTACTCTTTTCCTTGTCCCCGACCACGTCCACGGCCACGACCTCTGTTTCGACCATATCCACGTCCACGTCCTCGTCCATTATTTTGGCTGGACGATGCTACATTCGCTTCTGGGAATGGAGCAGCTCCAGTGGGACGAGTCTGATGGTTCATCATCACAAGCTCGTTATTCTGTTCTGCAACAAGGAGAACATCCATCAATTTTGAATAACGAGTATAGCCATTTGCCCGATATTGTTGTTGCAGGACTATATTTCCAGGGTGAAATGTGGAGAGCGTTTTTTCAATCATATCATAATCGCTCACATTTTCTCCACATAGCACCATCTTGGAAATTATTCTGAATAGCAGAATTATATTCAACAACACTTTTATAGTCCTGAAACCGGAGATATAGCCACTGGTATTTGGCTTTGGGCAAATCTATATATTTTTGATGGTCAAATCTTTCTTTCAAAGATTGCCAAAGATCCGCAGGATCTTCTTTAGTGATGTATTCATCTTTTAAACCATCGTGGATGTGATGAAGTAGAAAGATCATGGCTTTCGCCTTTTTCTCATCTGGCGTCTCTTTCGACTTGTCAATGGCATCAAGAAGCCCATTTCCTTTTAGATGCATTTTTGCACCTATTGCCCATGTCATATAATTGTTTCCAGAAATATCAAGGGCGGAAATTTCGAGCTTTGCCAAATTTGACATGATATCTGCATAGATCATAGATCAGTTCATTAAATATAAATTCAAATTCAAATTTGCACAATAAAAAAAAATGGGCATTATAACAGTATAAATTTAGCAGAAATTTAGATGGCAGAAAAGTAAATAGCGAAAAAGTAAATTACAGAAAAGTAAATATTCAGGGAAGAGGCAAAGCCTCTACTCCAAGAGGAGGTTTCACCATCAACTCTTATATGATCTAAGGTGACATGGTCTACCATATGATCATTTGCTCGGAGTAGGTACAACCTAGCATCCCGGCTTAAGAAATGATTTTTCGATTGTGGAGACAAAGCCTACCATAACAATCGGCTCGGAGAAGGCATAGCCTACCATCCCGGCATAGCATATAAACAATAAAAAATAGACAGAATATAAAAGCAATTCGTGCTGATAACGTGATATGAAACTAAACTAAACTGTACCACTATATTTGATATAGTGGATTGATTAAATAAAGAAAAGGAGAGAAGAGAGAGTTACGATGATGTGAGAGAGAGATGGGTGAGAGAGGTATTGTACGTGAGAGAAGGAGAGAGTTATTGAGTGATTTTCTTCTTGTATTGATCTTAGTAATTATTACATATGCTTAGTTCTATTTATAGAGGAAGATGAAGAGGTGGGTAAGTCGGCTAAAGAGGAGACGGTTAAAGGGAAAATGTTAAACAATTGACATAGGATAATTATCCTTTCGTAACAAAATTATAATATTTCTCTCTGTTTTTTAAATAAGGTTATTTTCGTCAAAATAAATTGATCTTGGTTACTCATTTTGTATTGGTTTGCTTATAGCTATGTTCTTAATTTGCTATCCCAATATTAGTGAGCTACTTCACCCTTTCTAAAATTTCATACTCCTATCCTATGTAATAACAATTGCTTAAATCCAGAATAATATCTCCACTGTCAAAATTATATTTACTTATAAGAAAAGGCATAATAACTGAAAGCTCTCATCATAATTACATGGGCCAGGGCTATTAGTGTGACTCCCTCCATTCGCCATGAAAGTGAAATAATCTTCAACCGAAGATTATAAAATTACAAAACCAATAATTTAATCTACGGCTATAACTTTAATCAGTCAGACCAAACGTTTAGAACTTTCAAAGTTCCACAAAACCCTCTAAACGAGATAGAGGCTTCTTCGTAAACACAGTTGAAAATATGTTCGGGTATACAAGTGTGTGTAAACAATCCGTATAACAGCTCAAAACCAAAATCATCAAGAAATCTAAAATTTCTAAGAAACCAAAAATCACCAGGCTTTGCTGATTCCCCGTTCACTCATCATCCGTGCCGAAATAGCGGTCTCCAAACTCTCCCATACCAGGAACAACTCGGAACTCGTCGTTTAAACCAAGTTCTATCTCAGAAGTCACAATCTTTATCCTCGGGAACCTTTTGCACACCACATTTACTCCTTGAGGTGCCTGAAGTCACACAAAGCCACACATTGTTACCAGCTTAAGTAGGCACAACGATAGGGAACTTTGGTTCTGTTGTGGCTTTCAACTTACAGAAATGAGATTGAGAAATATGAGGTTGGCTTCAGGTACGCCTTTGCTTATAAGCAGTCTTATCGCTTGCACCGCCGAGTTTCCTGCACACACGAAACATGATGCTGTTGTTATATACCTTTTCCCATGTTTTTGTCTTTTGCTCACCAATTCACAGAGCAATAATTCAGACCTGTCCCGAGGATCGGGTCCAGCAAAAGCACGTGCCTTTCCGAAATGTCTGAGGGGAGCTTCTCGTAGATAAGCTGCTGGTTCCCATTTGTTCAGAAACATTATCGAGAAAGCAGTTAGGACATGTGCTGAAACAGGCAAAGAACACAAACCTGTTGACCGTTGTCTCCTTCTCTGTGAATCAGAATCTTGCCAATCTTGATGCCTTTGCAGCATGCTCTCAGAGCATTCTCCATACTCTCACCACTGTAGCAAATTTTCAATGACTGAATCATTTGTATGTTCTTGACGATATCTATCAGTGTTGGTTACTTTACCTTCTGACAACCGAGACACCACACAGCCTCTTACAAAAGTCCACACCCGAATACACTGATCCTAAAATTACAAAAAAAAAAAAACAAAACAACAAAAATGAGTCTATAATCTTGATCTGGTTGGAGATTTCTCCTGCAGGAATGCACAAGATATAAATTTCTCCATTAGCTTACCTGTGGGAGTGACCACTTGCTTTTCTGTAAAGGGAAGGTGCCCAAGGCCATGCTCAACCACCAAACGAATCAATCGATCAGAGTAGAAGATGAAGTCATGCTTTGTGGTCTTACAGTCTCTGATTAGAGTGTGCATCCCACGTATCTGCAACCAACGGCTATTTGGGTCAATAAACAAGAAAAAACGATTGCACCTGACTAGATGAGAAATGGGGAATAAATAAGTAGAGACAAAAATAAACCTGAAAAGTTGATTGAATGACATAAAGATTTGGATATATTTTACAGAGATCATGTTGACCGAGCTTAGTACGGATGTGTTGCACAATCAAATCAATAGCAACATGATTGTCACCCCCACGTGGTATTATTATATCTGCGTACTTCTTTGTTGGGAGTATGAAATCCTCAAATGCTGGCTTCACAAACTTTGAGTACTGCAGAAAGAGAGTTTCCCAAAATCAAAACATAAAAAAAAGAAGAGTCAGCGCCAAATTCTAAACATTCCTGTGAGTCATATTGAAGAAAGTCTTTGCAGCCAAACCAACCTGGTCAAGAACAGTCGCTATATCTCTCCCTTTCTCAACAGTATCGCGTTTGATCCTTCTCGCTAAACGCACATCCGCATCTACATTGATAACGCCATGATGTAAAACAAGAGACCAAATCTACTACCAACATGAAGTATATACACTATGGATTTGGGAAAGACCTGCATCTACAAATATCTTCATGTTCATTAAATCTCGCACACGAGGGTCATGGAAAATGAGTATTCCTTCAAGGATTATAACATCAGAAGGATTGACCTGCGAATGTATTATAAACAGAGTCAGAGATGCGTGATTCTTAGATAGGCAATAAAGTAGAGATTCTAAGAAGAAGCTTCCTACCCTTCTAGGTGGAAAGACATTGTTCTTGTAACTTTTGAAGTCATAGTTTGGGATATCTACTGCTTGTCCTTTCCTTAACTTCTCCATGGAACTCAATAATTGCTCTGTATCGAAAGCGTCTACAAGACAAGGACCAAAAAGATTCATATTTACAAGCAAGCATATCAAAAGGCTAAGCGACACGCAACTTTCTGTATTACTAGATGAAAAGACCAAATAGTTCTTCACTTTTGAGAGACTTACTAACCAGGATGGTCAAAATTGTAATCATGAACTCTTACAAGCTCCTCTTCATTTACATTATGGTAGAAAGAATCCTGCAAATGAAGATCAACCTCAGTGCATAGAAAAACCATAACTGATATTGTTCACATTTGAAGTGCAAGACTCACCTGATTGACAACAACGGCTCTCTGATCATGCAGTTGCTGCATAATCATGTCGCAGACAGTTGTTTTACCGGATGCTGCTCCTCCGGCAACACCTGATTAGAACACACAAAAAAAGAGTCTACATTTCTGATTCTAAACCGTCTTCAAAGCAGGTAAGGTAAAAGTCCTCAGCGGCTCTCACCGATTACAAAAGGCTGGCCATGTTCTTCTTCCTCACCACTAGCAGAGGCAGATCCTTTCGGTGATCTAGTTGCATCTAAACCATCCGTTTGATACAATCCTGAAAAATGGACTTTTGTGGATGTTTCTATTGCATCCACAGCCGATTTAGTAGCCATTCCTACATCAAAAATATACTTTTTTACAAAAATCACATGACAAGGCCAATAAGGAAAACAGAGCCACCACCTTTTGTTTGTCACAATCCAGGAAGTAAACTAAGAACAAAAAGGAAACATACTTCTTCGCTTTCAGTCAAAAATTCCTCAAAACAAGAATCAAACTTTTTAGTCATTTAGATTCCACAAATGCCTTAAATCCCGTCTAAAGCACAAAAAAACAAGCAACAAAGTGAAAGCGTTCGCACGAATCATGATCGACCAGATTCGTCCCAAAATGTAACGCCGATCCTAAACGGAAAACACGAAAGGAAACCGTATTTTTTCAAAAATTAGAGAAAGAAAGGAAAGACAGAGATCAGCAGAGATGAAAAGCAGATACATAGATCAAATCCATGCAAAAACAAACGATGAACCAGAAGAAACATTCATTTGATTGATCATAACTTTCACAAGAAGAAGAACAAAAACTCACAAAATAAAAAAAGGATTCAATTAGCTGCGAGATCACCGGTTAGCTACAAAAAAGCTTCTCAGTTACAGATAAAGAATCCAATCATAAATAGCGATAGAGAGAGGGAGAGAGGGAGAGAGAGAGAGAGAGAGAGAGACACGAGCATTGCCTGTTAAACTCAATTCTCAGACAAAACAAAGTTACATATATACACATAAGTAACGTATATATATGCGGTGAGAGAGAAACGAGAGGATGCAGCGGCGGAGACGGATTTTTTTGCGAAAACCGGAAACTGGTTTTTTGCTGTTTACGATACTACCCTTCCCACTGAACGTAGTTCGAGCACTTGAACAGTGGCAATCCTTGTAAATTTATGTGTGTTTCGGTCCCTCAAAGTCTCGAGAGTGATCGAGGATCCACGTCAGCTCCGAATCGGACGTGGGTCCTACTTTAGAGAATGCAGCGACAGGCGGTGATAGGGTGTGGTCGAATACAATGTAACTGTCGAATTATGTCTTTTGGTTACTTGAAAATGAAAATATCTTTATTACTTATTTTTGCTACCCAAAGAAGGACTATTTTAGATAAATATTTATATTTTTGCTACCCAAAGAAGAACTATTTCAGATAAACTTTTTGCCCTTTTGTTTTTCATTTCCATTTCCATTTCCATTTCTATCCAGAACAGTTATAACTTATAACTTAATACATTTCCAAATTCTGCTTTTACCTGATTAGGCCTGAATTTTTAAAACCGTTTAATACTATAGTTCATCAATGTATAGACATTTTTCAAATTAGTATACATTTGTATTAGACTTGGGGTATTTTGATGCACTCAGAGTTTTGGATCCTCTTTTATATTTTTCTCACAAATGTGGGATTTTATTATTATATTTACAAATTGGAGGACGTTAACGCAATAAGACTTTTTTCCGGGAAAACAAGCCAATAAACGGCGACGTTTCTTATGGTTTCGAGGAACTCTGACACAGTAGCCATGTTTGCGTCTTCCATAAGATTAATCGTATCGGGAATCCACCGAACTCAAACCCTAAAATCGCCGGTAAATCCTCCGAGACTCATTATCTCCGTACCTAGATTGTTCCACTCTGAGTCGAATTCGCCGGGAACTGGACCAAGATCCGCTGGTTTCAGCGACAGTAGAATCGCGATGAGCAGCGTTGCGAAAACCGGGTCGGATTCAGGCGCGATCGAGAATCGGGCGAGCAGGATGAGGGAGAAGCTTCAGAAGGAGCTCGAACCGGTGGAATTGGTGATCGAGGATGTCTCGTATCAGCACGCCGGTCACGCCGGGATGAAAGGTAGAAGTGCCGACGAAGAGACGCATTTCAATGTGAAGATCGTCTCCAAGGGATTTGAAGGATTGAATCTGGTGAAGAGGCACAGGCTCGTCTACGAACTTCTTCAGGAGGAGCTGGATAGTGGATTACACGCTCTTTCCATCGTCTCCAAGACGCCATCGGAGATCAATCGTTAGGAGTCTCTCTCTCTCCATCAAATTCTTCCTTTTTACATACGCTTGAGTGTTTTGATGTTTGCTTTTGGATGGTATGTGTTCGAACAAATGCACTTGCTTTGAATTGAATTCGAGTTTTGGTTTCCTAGAATTCAAAACTACATTGTTCATAGCTTTGATGAAATGATCTAGTCCCCAGTTGTTATCTCTTATTTGAAAGGATGTGCAAGCCAGTCATATGAATTTGAGATGGAATAATGTCAAACCAAAGAAACCATACAAAATTACAAATGAAGCTTGGAGCCAATCAGCCAAGAGGAGTTGGTTTTTTCCATTTTTTATTTAGCCTGCCCCATTCAGAGTCTCCCATGGATGACAATGGCGTTTGCGTTTTCTTGTTTCTAGCGAAACGCCTTTTCCAATAGCCCCATTTTCCTTTTCCTATAAGCGAATCGTCATTTTCACTTTTTGATAGAATCTGAATCGTCCCTCGTCTTTAAGCTTATTCATCAACAGAGCGGCAACAATTTTGTTACTAAAATTTTGAAAAAATGGGAAAACAAAAACTAAAACTTTCCAAAATATCATCATCATCCATCACTGCAATGCAGCTCTCTGAGCTTAACAGAGATAGAGACCGTGATGAAGAAGTATGGGTCAAACACTATTCATCGGAACATCAGATACTTCTCGTCGGCGAAGGAGACTTCTCATTTTCTTCTAGTTTAGCCACTCGCTTCGGCTCTGCTTCCAATGTCACCGCTTCTTCTCTCGATTCATACGGTAACACTTGGTTTGCTTTAAGTTGTGAGAGTTTTCAGGGTCTTTTGACTCTTGATTTCCTTCTCGCTTGGCGGTGTGTTAGAGCTTTTATCTCACTTTCAGCAGAATCGAAATCGATTAACAGGAAGTTTTGCATTGTTCTTGTGGCCATCTCTGTTTATAGCTTATAAAACCGGTGAAAAGGTTGTAGCTTGAAGTCAAATTTCCTCTGTTGTTTGATGTCTCCTAATATAATTGAAGCAGATGCTGTGGTTAGAAAGTACAAGAAGGCAAGATCAAACCTTGAAACATTGAAGAGACTTGGAGCTTCCCTTTTACATGGAGTCGATGCAACCAAACTGCAACTACATCCTGATCTTCATTTCAGAAGATTCGACCGAGTCATCTTCAACTTCCCGCACGCCGGTTTCCACGGCAGAGAGTCTGATTCCAATCTTATTCAGTGAGTGCATGTTTTGACCCGCTGCTGCTACTTGTAGGGAATATGTTTAAAGATGTTCTTTGTCTGTTTTGCTGTAGGAAGCATAAGAAACTAGTGTTTGGGTTTTTCCACGGTGCAAGGCATATGCTAAGGGCTGATGGAGAAATTCATGTCTCTCACAAGAACAAGGCACCTTATTGTCACTGGAAGCTCGAGGAGCTCGCTAGCAAATGCTCTCTTGGTGTTGATTCGTTGTGTGGCTTTCGACAAGAAGGATTACCTTGGTTATGAGAACAAGAGAGGAGATGGGCCTAACTGTGACCAGCCTTTCCTTTTGGGAGATTGCTCTACTTTCAAGTTCAAAAGATTCTATCATTTACATGGCCGATTTCAAGACAGCTCCATGGATCATTGTCAAGAACAGCTCCTTGAATGCACAAAGCGGTTCAACAGAGTTTCGTCTGAAATCCATAATGGAGAATTGAGAAGAACCTTAACACGGACGAGCTTTCCTGCTCATCAGTCTTCTAAAGAATCATCAGAAAGACGCGGACTCGGACTGCCTAGTCGAGAACCATTCTTAGAAGGCTCTCTCCGCTTCAATGGAGTTTCTCATGGCATTTATAAGGGGAAAAAACGAAAAATGTTAACAAGGACCAGCTTTCATCATCCGTACACTGGAGAATCACGAGAAAGAAGCATGAGTAGACGCCAGAGCAACCTCAAAATCCGGTAAAATCATTGATACTTGCTTATATTATGAAAAACAAAGGCCGCTATATTGATATTCAAAATTTGCAGGTGAGGCGACTCATATGTCATATCCAAACAAGGCTCAAGGAGCTTCTGAGCATAACTTTGACACTTTGACAAGGTGAGTGAAAGTTGGACTCACTTTTATGATATTTTGGGTTAACTTTTTGGAGAATGTGTAGTAGAAGTGGCTTGCATTGTTGTGTGGATTGTAAAATGTTTGTGTGTTTAATTTTGGAAGGTAGGTGTTTTGAATACAAGTAGTTCCTTTAAATTCAATTTGACTTCTCGTTTTCTAGAATCCAAAACTAGTCGCCACTTAAAAAGCTAAACTTGGTCGATAGGAAATAAACTTTTATCAGGATGGGTTTTTTATCATGAAATCAACAAACCAAAAAGACTCATGAACCCTTAAGCTCCGGTTTAGCCTTTCAAGCACATTCATGTGTAAGCTAGGAGCCAAGAAGAGGGGACTAATCTAGAACGACTTGACCAAACGCTAGAAACAAAACGCTATTTTCAAAAGACCTTTTAATGGGCTTAAACCCAAAACTGTCTCAATCAGCGAGTACGATCGCCTCTTCTGGTTTGTTGCGTTAACCGAATCGTCATGTCCATTTCCATTTCCATTTTTCTGATAGGAAACTAAATCGTCACTCTCTGTCACTGTATACTGTATATCAACAGAGCGAAACAATAACGTTACTTTAATTTTTGAATAAAGAAAAAAAAAATCAAAATTTGCAAAAGTTCATTGATCACTCCAATGGCGACGAGGGAGCTCCCGGAGCTTACAAAAGACAGAGACGGTGACGATGTTGATGATGAAGAAGTATGGGTCACACACTATTCATCGAACCATCAGATACTTCTCGTCGGCGAAGGAGATTTCTCATTCTCTTCTAGTTTAGCCACTCGCTTCGGCTCTGCTTCCCATATCTGCGCTTCCTCTCTCGATTCTTACGGTAACACTTGCTTTCCATACATTCCGATGTGTCTTTAGGGTTTTGATTTCGTTTTCGCGCGGCGAGGTTTTAGGGTTTTTCTGTCTCAGTCAGTCGGAGACTCTAATATGTTTCAGTCTTGTGTGTGCGATGAATAATCGAAATCAATTTCTAGGGTAAAAGGATTGATTTTTCCAGTGTATAGCTTTGACTTGGATTTCCTTTCTCATATGGTAATCGAAGCAGATGCCGTGGTTAAAAAGTACGGCAAGGCAAGATCAAACCTTGAAGCTTTGAAGAAACTTGGAGCTTCCCTCTTACATGGAGTTGATGCAACCAAACTACAATTCCATCCTGATCTTCATTTTAGAAGATTTGATCGTATCATCTTCAACTTCCCACACGCCGGTTTCCACAGCAGCAAAGAGTCCGATTCTCATCTTATACAGTGAGTGAATGCTTTGGGATTTACTGATACTGTCAAAGCTGAGGCCTTTTGTGTAAAGGACTTATTGGTTCTGTTGCAGGAAGCATAGGGCTCTCTTGTTTGGGTTTTTCCATGGTGCAAGCCGTATGTTGAGGGCTGATGGTGAAATCCATGTCTCTCACAAGAACAAAGCACCTTTTTGTCACTGGAAGCTGGAAGAGCTCGCTAGCAAATGCTCTCTTGTGTTGAAACAATGTGTGGCCTTTGAGAAGAGCGAGTATCCTGGTTATGAGAATAAGAGGGGAGATGGGTCCAGATGTGACCAACCTTTCATTTTGGGAGATTGCAGCACTTTCAAGTTCAGATTCTCTCGTGTGGCTAAGGAGTTTTATGCAGAGAAGGTGAAATATAGAGAATCCAAGGAACAAGAATCAAAGTGTCCCCAAGTTTTTCCAAACAAGCATCCCCTCTCGCTTGATCTTTTGTATCCCCTCCATACGCAATTAGAAGGCGTTAGCCAAAGACCACTTTCCTTAGATCTTTTGGTTCAATCAAGACACAGAGCGCCTCCACTGGATCTCTCTTACTACCATGAACACAGACGTTCACAGTTTGAAGATGCGCTTAGAAGACCAGTATCATTTGGTCTTGAGAGAGACCATTTTCGGTTTCAAGACTACTCAATACAGCGGGACAGGCTCATGTTCACTGAAAGAAGCAGCTTCCAGTTTCAAGACTTTCCTTTTCAAGCTGGTCATCATCATAAAGAGCAATTTCTTGAATGCTCTAGCCGCTTCCATGGAGTTTCACATGGAATTTACAATGGGGAACAACAAAGAATGTTACCATGGACGAACTTTCCTCATCAGTACAGTGGAGAATCAGTAGAAAGACACCGCCTGCTTGGTCAAGACTTTCCGGTTCAAGCTACTCAGGAACCATTCTTCCAAGGCGCTAACCACTTCAATGGAGTTTCTCATGAAACTTATAACTGGGAACATGAAAGAATGTTAAGACGTACGACCTTTCCTCAGTGGTATCCTGGACAATCACCAGAAAGACGCCCCCTGCTTTGTCAAAACTTTCCGGTTCAAGCTAGTCAAGAGCCCTTCTTCAATCGCCCTAACCGCTTCAATGGAGATCCTCATGGAATTTATTACGGGGAAGAAGGAAGAATGTTGGGATGTACCAGCTTTCATCATCCGTACAATGGAGAATCATTAGAACGAAGCTTGAATGGACAAAGCAACTTCAACATTTACCCTCCACATCACTGGTAAGTCATTGATAGTTTGCTTATATTATGGTAACCAAAAGCTTGAAATTGATATGAAAATTTTCCAGGTGACTGATCTTCGAAGAACTTGTCAGGATAACTTCGATGGAAACAAGGAGACTGAAGGCTTGGACTCACTAACAAATCTGTAAGAATTGCAATTGGCTAAATTTAACCGGCGATGATCTCAGTATAAAGATGATAATTTTGGGTAATCTTTATGTAACTATCGAGTTTTTTGGAGAATGTGTAGTGGAAATGGTTGCAAAGTCTTACAACTTTCATTGTTTGGTCTTTAATCCTTTATATATAACTGTCTCTCCTGATATTTCCACTCTAAAGACACATAACTGGACCAGAGGTTTTGGGTATGACCGTATGACGCGCTTTTTATTTGCTTTTACTTAACTTGCATACTATTGTCTATACAGTAAACTTACAATATGATTTTTATAATCTCTTGTAGACTAATTACAAACGTAAGCTTAGCGAACAAGGCGACAATCACTAGCCTTGCGTCAGAAACTCTTGAATTTCAACTTCTAGTTAAATATTGGCAAAATGAAAGTGTCAAGCAAACTGCTAGGAAATTGATAGTGAACGTAAACATGAATAACAATATGTATTTTACAACCGGTAATGTTCAAAGAAATTTGCTAGCTTATGACCGAGTCAACGGTACCGCGTGAAAATGTACACATAAAATGATGATGCAATGGAATTGCTACGAAACACGTCCAAATTAGTTAATCGTTATATAATAGTTTTATGTCGATTAATTCTACAAGATTGTCTTATCACAAACAGAATATCCTTAATGATATAATATTACATAGTCAGATATATACATACACATTGCGTGTGGTCATTGTTTTTCTATATAATCTGACTGTCGAGGATAAACACTCATCAATCCCATATCGATTATTCACCTTATTACAGTAAAGCACCCAAGCAAATCTTGCCATCTCTCTCCTTAATCACAAACCCCATATCGGAATATCATCTCCGGTGGTATTTCTGTCCCGGGCAATATACCATGACGATGAGGGTAAGTGCCGTTATTCCTTTCTTTGTTAAGATTAGATATCTTGCGAAACAAGAAAGACATGCGTTAATGAGACTAGAGCTCGTGAGTTGAATTTCTATTTGTTGGTTCTCCTTCTCTCTTCAGCAACGGATAGTTCTGAAAATGGATATGAGTGTGAATGAGAAATCGATGAAGAAAGCTATGAAAATCGCATCTGGAGCACCAGGTAAAACATCTTTCCCAAGTAACTTGCAATCCAAGTTAGGTCGCGTGAAATTGTGAATCGTTTCAGTACCTTTGTTAACCTACGTGCGTGCAGGTGTGAGATCGGTCTCGATTCAGGGACAGAACGATCAGTTGGTTGTCTTGGGAGAAGGGATTGACACGGCGGAGCTCACACGAGAGCTCCGAAAGAAAGTTTGTCACACAACGATCGTCGCCGTTCAGGCAGCGCCGCCGCCTCCGCCACAGCAGCACCAGCAAACGCAGCAGCATTTTATGGGACATTACAACGAGATGGCTCCGGCAAGAAGATGCATCTGCGATATCCCAAATTCGGGTTTCTGCGGATTCTGTAGATCTATGAGTCACAATGATTACCAGATGATAGATCCGCCGTATCATCCTCCGGTGATCTATGGTGGTTACCGTAATGATCCTGATGGTTGCATAATCATGTGATGACTGATGTGACGCTTTCATTGATTTTTTTATTTGAGTTTTCTTCTTTTATAGTATTTTCTTACATTTCTGATCAGTTTTTGTCCAAATTTTCTGGTCGTTTAGTATTGTAAATACAATATTTTAAATTTGGTGGTGCTGTAAATGTTGTAACAGTGACAAAAAAAAAAAAAAAAAAAAAAAAAGATGCTTATGATTCGTGAAACAAAAAAAAGAAGAAAATGAAACCAGTATTCTCGATCAAGCTTTTTTTTTTCTTTCCCCGGCAATCTTCTCTATCGAAGTTATATATTCAAACATGAAATAAAAATTAAGAATTTGAGTTTTGTATTCCATTTTTCCTATTAATCAAGAAACTTGTAGCTTCCTTTCGTATAATCAAATGAAAAGGTGTAATGTTTTCTTCTTACAAATAAAACATTATTACAGTAAAACCTCTATAAAGTAATAACGATGGGATTCTAATATTTTATTACTTTAGCGAGATTATTAATTTATTGAAAGATAGTTAGACCAAAAACTTAATTTGGGACTCGAAAATTCTATTTATTTATTTTATAGAGTATTATTTTATAGAGGTTCTACTATATATTTTAAAGATTTTTTCTTTGTAATTTAATGAAGTCAAGTCAACGATTACCATATTTTAAAGACTTAGATTTGCTGACATCTCCAGTGACTGTATCATGGATAGAAGATGTCCGAATTCCATTATTGTTTTCAGATACAAAACAATCCTTCGAATTCTGTGGTATATTCAATCTGCCTCAAACGCGGGAAGGGATAATTGGTTTCAATCTGCTGGCTCGGAAGCAACAGGGCCCAGTAATAAGCCCATTATTCTATTAGCCCAACAAGTTAAGTTAACTCGTTTTCTGTTGGCAGCGCATATTTCCCGCCTATTTTTGAAGGGAATTCAGTTTTTCGTTTTCTGTTATTCCAACACGAAAACAAAATTACTAAAAACAAAAACAGAATTCTTCATCAACAACGAAAAATCGCTTTTTGACTTCAATTATTGTTCTGGATTTCAAATATAAATATCTCATCGTCATCAACCACAATCCTCAATCCAAACCCAATCATCAAAACTTCATCAAACCAAAACACAATCAATAATCCAAACACACAATCAATAATCAAAGATGAAGAACCAATTCGCCGGACTTCTCTTCCTCTCCATCATTCTCCTCTCCTCCGTCGCCGGAAATGCTGATTCAAACCTGATATCTGAGCTCTGCAAACATTGCGAAGACCCACAACTTTGTCTATCCAGCATAGAGGCGCGTCCCGAGTCAGGTGAATTCGCAGGCACGACCAACCAAATCGAAATCATAGCAATCTCCGCCGCGTCTACGAATGCATCCGCCACTTCCACGTACATCAAGGCGCAGCTTAGCCGCGAGGATCTGGAGCCAGCGACTGAAGTCACACTCGAGGATTGTCAAAAGAACTACCAAGATGCCGTGGAGAACCTTGACGACTCTGTCTCCGCAATGCTCGCCGACGCGCACGCCGATGTGGACGTCTGGCTAAAAGCTGCGATCAGCGCCATCGAATCATGTGAAAACGCGTTGGAGTCACGTGCCGCGAACGATGCTGAGCTTTCTCAGAGGAACCTTGTTTTTCAAAAATTGTGCAAAAATGCTTTGGTGATTAACAAAATCTTAACTTGAGTTTATTACTTTAGTCCTCGAAATTCGAATTTAATGTGTAATATTTCCGTGTACTATATGTTTTTTTTTGTCATCTGTTTGTTTTTTTTTTAACTAAGAAGAGATAATTGCATCAAAAATAAGTACATTAATACGAGATTATCTTCCTTTTTGTTGTGTGTGAGAGTTTGTGACAAATGTTTTTGAGTCTTTTGACAACAAAAGAACAGACGAATCTGCTACACAATTGTTCCAAGTTATAGATGAAGATCTACGAGGCCCAAATTGTGAAGCCCACAATCCGGAATTGGGTCATAATTTGTGGTTTACATGGTTATCAAAGTAAAACCATAACCGAAATTAAATAATGTTGATTATGTTATGCATTTCTTCAATTTGGATTTGTTTTCCAATCAGATACTGTATATCTTAAATGAACATTTGATAAGTTTCCTTTAGTCCATTTATTTTTAAACATCCCTAGGCTTCAATATAAAATACCGCAGACACTATGATTAGGCGGTGTAGAAAAAAATGTGTAAAAGCAAAACAATGGTGGATGGTTAAAAATCCAATACAAATTGTGGAGATCTACTCGACCCATCATGCAGTTTTTCACTTTTTCTAGTCAAATTGTTTACCAAACTCCAACTTCATCGTTGACCTACCATGTTCACAACTTAACGAATGCAATGATTTTATTTATCAATATTTCTAAACTGGTGTTTACATTAAAAACAAATTAAGGTGGACTAGAATAATCAAGTGTCAAGTTTGGAGATAATCAAGAGACAAGTCTGATATTTTTCGGAAATGTACGGGCACGATCGATTTGGACATCATTTCAAAGAGGTTGCTTGTAAGATTGGGTGTTGGATAGATTCTAGATTCAATGTGTTACATAATGACAAAACACAGATACCTTTCTTCTCCATCTGGACCAGTTATCTTTACACACTTGTTCCATGCTTTAATTTTCTCTGTCCCAATAAAATCAAATTTTTCTTTTATTCATCACTCAAAAAGGTATTTCACATTATAAATAGTTAAATACCAACTAGGTATTTAGAAATAACATTTAATTTTGAATGGTGAATTAATTCAAACAATTTGCACATCAAAGGTGAGATCATTGGAGAAAACTTGCACTCTTGTATAGGAATTCAAGATTCCAGTTAGGCCCCACCACTTGTTGCCTTTCATTTTAACAATGATAGAATCTTGCTTTCTCCTTTTGAAATATCTATGAATACGATTATATTTTATCAACCAGCTTGATTATGCTTAAAAACAAGAAAAACAAACTTTACTAATCATGCTCCGGTATTTAAGTATGATCTCAAAACATATAAACATGATTGTAAATTCACATAGTTATATAAGGATTGGGATTTTACTGAACACAAAAGCAAGTGTGCCCAAGGAAAGAATAATACTAATATATACACATACGTTGAATTTAGAATATGTGAGATGTATGGGAAGATTCAAGTTGAACAATCAACAATCCGATGAAGTTGTAAGTTGCGAAAGAGTGGGCAAAAGGAACCAAGTTGACATAGAATGCACGCAAATCTATGTGAGTGCTGAAAAGAACACTTAACATTAATCAAATCAAATCTTCTTTGTCACGCAAATTTAATCAATAAACAACAACTACTGTATATGAATAAAAATAATTGTAAAGTAGATTTGCCTATAGAAGCACACAAATTCCAAATGCCTTCGTTACACTCCAGTGCTAACCTCATAATCAATAGAAGAAACTCTAGACTCATATCTTTATAATAAAGACTAATTAGTAAACACTCACTATATGTATACACTATAAAGTATACTAGCATGTTATTAATCATGCATTAAAGTTTTAGATGACACATACAATCCCATACGATTTATAAAATTCAATGGAAGTTAAAGAAAAACGCCAAAAATCATTCCATATGAAGACTATATACAATCAGATCAATCTCTAGTTAATAATAGGTACACACATCAAAATAAGTTAATGGGGGTAATCAAGTAATTCACAATAAAATATCCAAGCCAAGAAATAACATAAAAGTCTAAAATTAGTTTTGAAGAGGAGACTGATAAAGGAGACACACGCCTCGCAAAGAGTGGCCAGTTTGAGAAATAAGCCAAGGAGGAAGGAACAATACCATAGGAGGCAAGGCACCAAACACTTTACTTTATCTCTCTCTCTCTCTCTCTCTCTCTCACTCTTCCCTACACCCAAAAAGCAAACGAACCCTTTGAAATGACGTAAAAGCAAACCAAAACACATACTTTGCTTCCCCGGAATTGGAATTGGAATTGGAATTGGAATTGGAATTACCAATCGGAGCAACGCTAATGATTCCTCCATTAAACAATTCTTCTCCCCTAAACCCCAAATCTCAATCCTTGTCTCTTTGATTCTGCTTTCGTTTTGCACTCGCAGTTACATATACTTGGTTTTCTAAGTGTGCGAGAGGAGTGTATGCAAAAGTCTTCCCCTTTATCATAACCAGCTAAACTAAATCCCCCAATCTCTCTCTCTCTCTCACCATAACTTAAAAATCAGCACTGGATCATAAGAAGAAGAAGAAGTGATTTTTTTGAGTATATGGTAAGAGGAAGAAGAAGAGGAGAAGAAAAGAGGAAAGCTGGGAAAGTCAGGGGAGAATCTGCTGGAGGGATTGTTTGATTGCATCCATGACATCACTGCCGCTTTGGCTTTCGCGAGGATGACCGATTCTGCTTACAGAGTTGACTCCATTTCCAGGCTCGCCCAATGGCGTATCCTCAACCTCTCTTCCTCCACTTACCGCAAATCCGATCCTTTCAAGATGGGTCTCTGGAATTGGTACCTCTCTCCCTCTCTTCTCTCTCCTCTTTTTCCCTTTCTCTTTCACCTGATCAATAATCAACAATTTTGATTGAAAGAAAGTGGGCTCCTTTTTGTGAATTGATTTGATTGATTGATTTTTGAATATCGAATTGAAGGCATTTGTCTGTGGAGAAAAGCAAGATGCTTTTGAATGTTAAGCTGTATCCAGAGGTGTCAAACCTTAGCAGAGAGAATCCACCAATTGCTTCCTTTGCTCTTCGTGTTGTCTCTTCTGCTGCTAATGATCGCAAAGCTCTATCTCATCCAGGTCCCAAATTATCTTTGCTTCATTTGATTCACTATTATGGTAAAGATGAATCAAAATGCTGACACTGTTCTCTTGAATGCAGAAGTAATAGATAAGAGGATCAAGACTAACGAAGATTTCATTTGGACGATTGAAGTTCCCTTAACTGGCAAAATCATCATCGACGTCGAGTTTCTTGACTTGAAGGTCCTCTCTCCACATGTAAGTCTCTCATTTCTCCACAGATCTTGCAACAACTGAATCTTTGGTTGAATACTTGATACATTGACCTGAACTGGGCAGACCGGAGAGTTTAACTCAATTTGGGCTGACGGTTCAACGGAGAATCAATCGAAAGAGACAGCAGTAGCATCCCTCGGACGTATGTTGACAGAAAGCATTTACACTGACATAACGATCAATGCCTCTGGTGGAAGCATCGGAGCTCACCGAGCTGTTCTCGCCGCACGTTCGCCTGTTTTCCGCAGCATGTTCTTACACGACCTCAAAGAGAAAGAGCTATCAGCGATCAACATTCCCGACATGTCTCTCGACGCTTGCCAAGCTCTCCTCGGTTATATCTATGGAAATATCAAGAACCAAGACTTTCTTGTTCACAGATTGGCTCTCCTCCAAGCGGCTGATAAGTATGACATCGCTGATTTGAAAGACGCGTGTCACTTGAGTCTGTTAGACGATATCGACACGAAGAATGTGCTTGAGAGGCTGCAGAATGCTTATCTGTATCAGTTGGTGGAGCTCAAGGGTAGCTGCATGAGGTATCTTGTGAAATTTGGGAAGATATTTGAGATCCGTGATGAGTTCAATGTGTTCATGCAATCCGCAGACAGAGAGTTGATCTCTGAAGTCTTCCATGAAGTTCTCAGTACCTGGAAAGGGTTTTAGAGGGGAGGAGAAAACAGAATTGGTATCAGTGTGTTATGCCTATTGTTATACAAGAAATGTTTTTTTTTGTGCAGAAGGATTTGTTTGGTCTTTTATGTACAGATTAAAGTATTGTTGGGTGGTTTTATCTCAAAACCCCACAAGTATTATTGTCCTTGCCAAGGTTTTAAGAACAGCAACGTGTAAAAATTAATGATTTGATTGAATCCGAGCTTCTTTTAGCTTCAACTTTGAATGAATTGTTGATCTATAACATTAATATGATTATTCTTATCAGTCTTATGTCTTTTAAGTAAAAGTTGAAATCTACTAGCTGCACATTTTCCAAATTCACGATTCTGTGTTGCAAACAGGTACTAGTAATTGATTAGTGGGTTATTCTTAAGTTAGGCCAAGCTAAAGAAGCTAAGCATATTCTCCCATAAACTGTAACAATTCATCTTATCTAACAGAACCAAAACTATAAGTCTCAAAAGAGGAAGATATACGCACCTCTTTATACATTTAACAGTTAACACGAGAACCTCTGCTACATATACCAGAATATGTATAAGGTTAACAACACCTTTCCACCACTGAAATCAATTGCTATCAACGTGATTTCAGATCGCCTTCCATCCCAAAACTTAACAACAGTTTTTATAGGAATTTCTGGGACTCCTGAAGAAATTTTTCAAATGGAAAACTGAAATGAGCAAGCATACGAGACAAAGACTATTTTTTGCGTGCTCATCATGGGAACAGCAAATAAAAATTCAGGAGACTTACTTTCTTGTAACGATCACCACCATCGCCTTGTTCATCTTCGGATTCGGATCTAGATGGCGAATCTTGTTCATAAGATGCGGAAATGCCAAGAATATCATCTTCTCTTTCCCGGGCTACTTTTCGAATATTTATAACGTCTTATGTATAAACTAATGGGCCTTATGGCCCAATTAAAGCGTATAATGAGCATTGCAGTTTACACATTTGATGGGGAAACGGAGTCGTTTCACGCTGTGACAATAAAGCCCTAAACCTTCCCAAAGTTACGAATCACCAACAGACTCGCAAACTCTTCTTCCTCAGCCGTCGACATTCTTCAGCTCTTTTCTTCCTTTTCTTATCAAGTAATCACCTTTACGATCTAGTGTTCGTCCTCTTCAAACTTGTAGAGATCCATAGATTTTATTTTTCAGTTATCTCGTTCCCGTTTGAAGCTGTATTTTGTTCTGTTTTTTTATCCTCGTTTATGCCAATTTAGTTGATGAACGCATAAATTATGATAATTCTTGGGAAGATATATGTGATAATACTCTGCTTATAACGAGCTTATGATAAGTTTAACCAATTTGATGTTGCCATAGTTGTGAGATCCTTGTTATTGATTAGTGATTCTGAGAAACATTGAATCACAAGTTCCTGTTTTTTAGTGTTGTGTGGCCACAATCGTGAGATTCGTACTTATGTTGAGTATTTGCTTATGTATGCTCTTTTCTTGTAGGTTTGAATTATAATCGCCGAAGGTTTAACAAAGTCAAAATGGCAGAGACCACTGAGATGGAAATGGAAATTCAGCCTGCAACTGAAGCCGTGCCATTGCCGGCTAAGCCAATCTTCAAGCCACTGAAGGCTCATGAAATGTCTGACGGGAAAGTTCAGTTCAGAAAAGTCTCCGTCCCACCAAACCGGTACTCACCTCTGAAGAAAGCTTGGTTAGACATCTACACACCGGTCTACGACCAGATGAAAATCGACATCCGCATGAACCTCAAATCCCGCAAAGTCGAACTCAAAACCCGAGCCGACACTCCCGACGTCAGCAACCTCCAGAAGTCTGCCGATTTCGTACACGCTTTCATGCTCGGTTTCGACATCCCCGACGCTGTTTCGCTTCTGAGAATGGACGAGCTCTACGTTGAATCGTTTGAGATCAAGGACGTCAAGACTCTTAAAGGAGAGCATCTGTCCCGAGCTATCGGGAGATTGTCGGGGAAAGGAGGGAAGACCAAGTTTGCGATCGAGAACTCCACGAAGACGAGGATTGTGATTGCGGACACGAGGATCCATATCTTGGGAGCTTTCTCTAACATTAAAGTCGCGAGGGACTCGCTGTGCAGTCTTATCATGGGATCTCCAGCTGGTAAGGTTTACTCCAAGCTCCGATCCGTCTCTGCCAGATTAGCTGAACGGTTCTGATTTCTTTTTACAGTGTTATGTATTTTGAGAGTGTTTAAACGTTTTTGTATTAAATTTTGCATAAGCAAACATTATACAAGTTTTGATTGCCAATCTCTACTATAACAAGATAGTCAAGTTAGTTTTATGATCGCTTGTAGATGGTCACATACAATATTGCAAGGTTAAGGAAAAATGCCGTTGATGTTGAACATGAAATTTTTAGAAATGTAAGCAACGATAACAAGCCATGAAAAGGAACGTTGAGAAGCATGGAAACCGCCCAAGAGAAAGCCGACGAGAGCAGAGAGTAAACCGCAGAAGAAGGTGAAGAGGGAGTGTCCAGTGTCCATGGGAGAGTTGAGCTGGAAGATGGCGATCCCCAATGCAAACAAGGAGCATACGTAAGCCAAGACATGGACGGTGGAGTAATAGTAGGGGAAATAAAACATGGCTAATACAAGAATCGCAGAGTAGGTCGCACGTGTAGCGGGCAGAGGAGGCTCCTCTTCCTTGTAGATGCGAGTTTTAAGCGAGATGAGGAGCAACACCACGTACAGAGTTGTGGCACCCATGGGTGCGTGCCATGACCAAGACAATGAAAGACAGAGGCTAACGAGCGATGTGTATATGCCGCATATCGACAACATGCCTATTACTTTCCACATCGTTTCTAGACTCATCATCATCCTCCCTTTGTTTTCCTCTTCTTGTTGATTTCCACTTTGGAGGATAATAAGGGTTTCTGTGCACTCATTTATAGGCTTTTCTTTTGCGTATCTAAATTGTATCTTTTGTTTTTATCTTGTAATCTACAATATCGGGAACAGAAATTACATTTTTAGTTTTTTTTTATCATGGATGTATATATTTGTGGTTTATATACATCGTATCTTAATGCCTTGGACCATTTTGAGTAGAGATTATTAAAGGAGAAATTGGTACACTTGCGATCATGTATCGCCGGAGAAATTCTGGGACTTCGTTTATCCTTTTCAGTTTCATATGGACGACTATTTTGGGTCGATCTTTAATGATGCTGTATGTAAGTTTAAATGCTACACTTCTTTGTTGTAAACTTTTAATTTGTATCTATAAGTAAGAGACTTGCTGAAATTTGGTAAAATCTATCACTGTTTTGGGCCGAATTAGTTTGAATAGAGGGCCCAGAAATTCGGGTCGGATCCTATAAAATTTCTTGGGGGATTCGGCGATTCCACATAACGCCTCTCTCCCGTTCTCGAGACAAGGAGAGCAGTGTGGAACTGATCTTCAAGGTAATCTCCTTCATCGAATTTGCTGCAGATGGATGTGATTTCTTACTATTGTAAACTCTAGAATCCAATTTCGCTAATTTGCCGATAATTTGATGGATTTTTTTGGTGATATTGGACGGATTAAATTGACCGATTTTGCCGCGTTTAAGAAGCTTGAGTGATATATCTTCTGCTGGAAATGGCGGGTGGGCAAGTAGAGAAGCAAGTCAAATACAAGAGCTCTGTGAAGGATCCAGGAACTCCTGGATTTCTCAGAATCGTAAGATTGTTTTCGTGGTGATTACTTTTCTTATGTTTCCTTTGAGTTTCTTAAATTAATATCTTTGATAATACAAACATTCGCAGAAGGAAGGGATGTTGCTCTTCGTCCCCAATGATCCCAAATCAGAGTCAAAGCTTAAAATGCAGACTCAGAACATCTCAGGTATGTAATTCTAATTTCACATCAGCTCATAGTTGTTGATCGGATTCAAAGCTTATTGATTTCCGCTGAGTTAGTCTGAAATTTCACTGTTGTGTTCTTTGCGCTTCTTCAATCTCCTCATGGTAAATTTCTCAGGCCAAAAGTATACCAAAGAAGGATCAAATAAACCTCCTTGGCTCAATCTGAGCAACAAGCAGGTCTTTTGTTGTCCTTTTTGGAAAAGATTATAGAGACGTGTGAAAGTTAAAGCTTATCTTCCTCATCTTTTAGTTACAGGGAAGGAGTCATATCTTTGAGTTTGAAAATTATTCGGACATGCATACTTGCCGTGATTTCATCAGTAAGCTCCATGTGCCATGTTTTTGCTTTCATTGAGTATAAAGTACTGTATTTCTGCTGTTTCTTTTGAATGAAACCATTGTTGCTATGAACAGATAAAGCACTTGCTAAATCTGAAGAGGAGCCTAAGAAACCAGCTGTCTCGTCATCTGCTGAGAAGCTCAGTAATGCAGAATTCGAGCTACGTTTCAAGCTTCTTCGAGAAAATAGGTATGTAATCAGTTACCTTTGGGGTTAAAAAGTTTTGTGGTTTCATAGGTTCATCGAGTTCCTTTTAATATGAGTAGTAACACGCATGCATGATATTAAGTGAGTTGCAGAGATTGCATAAGCAACTCGTGGAAAGCAAAGTCCTGACAGAAGATGAATTCTGGGCTACAAGGAAGGTTTGTTCTTTGTGCTTTCCTTGGTTTTTCAGTTTTATCTTCTTTTGTGTGTCTTCCTAGTTACCAACTTTATCCTGATCGCAGAAATTACTTGGTAAAGATTCCAATAGAAAGTCAAAACAACAGGTCGGGCTCAAGAGCATGATGGTTTCTGGGATCAAGCCATCCACTGATGGGAGGGTATGGTAAATTTGTCTCTACCCCTTCCTGGCATCATCCCCTCTAGTTTATATGTTCACGTGCCATGCCTTTGTAGTTTGTAGGAAAGAAACAATGCACCTTGTTAACATAAGCATATATGTTGTGTTGCTGTTATATATCATACATTTCATCTGCTTTACTAACCACCTTCTGTAATGTTCTTTTTTTTCAGACTAATAGGGTGACGTTTAACTTGACATCAGAGATCATTTTTCAGGTTAGCTCTTTGGTTCACTAGGTTCTCCATTGATTTAGGTCCATACTGCAATTGGTGATACCTTTTCTGTCAGAAATTCTGCTGCTGTGTGGTTCAATGTGTATCATGTGTTTGAACTTACAAATCCCAATGCGAAACTACAAGTGAAGAATAGAGAAATTTATAACAGCTTTTCAGTTCACCTTCTATTTTGTGTTGGCTTAGTCCATAAGTTCGTTGCAAGAATACTTTAATGTTGCTTCATTCACGCTACTGTCCTTGTCTCACATATGATTTCTTCATTACGCTTTCAGATTTTTGCTGAGAAGCCAGCTGTTCGGCAGGCATTCATAAACTATGTTCCGAGTAAGGTAACAAAGACTTCATCACTATAACCACATTTGTTTATAGGTTTAATCAACAAGTACGGAGAATCTTAACTAGTTTTGGTAGTTATTTTCCTACCACAGATGACAGAAAAGGACTTTTGGACAAAATATTTTAGAGCGGAATACCTTTACAGCACCAAAAATACAGCAGTAGCTGCAGCAGAAGCTGCCGAGGACGAGCAACTTGCGGTGTTTCTGAAACCTGATGAGATATTGGCTCGGGAAACTCGTCAAAAGGTCATTTCTCTTCTACAGTTACTCATTTATATATATCTTATGTGAGAACAAAACATTCGTGGCATATTCATCTGATTTGAAATGTCATGTATGTAGATTAGACGGGTTGATCCATCTCTTGACATGGAGGCTGACCGGGGAGAGGACTATAGTCATCTTAAGGTAAGACACTCACTGCATTAGATATGTTGGATACAATGTCATTTGTTTTGTATTCTAGAATCCTCAGAAAGCCTCGTATAGGTTGTTGAATAAAGAAATTTATTTTCTTAATAATGTAAATTAAGAATTATGCAACCACATGTAAATGAATTAAAATGCATCGTCTTTTCCATCAGGACTATACTTTTATACTAGCTTGTATGAGAATGTGCTTGATGCTGATATCTAGAAAACAGTGATCTTAAATCTGACTCTGTACGCTGTTGAAACCTTATTTCCAGTCTGCTGGATTGTACCTTGATATATTGTACTTAATTTAAATTATCGTCAAACAGGGCCATGGGATCCAGCGAGATGGCACCAATGACGTTGTTGAACCACAGAATGGACAATTTAAGAGGTCATTGCAGCAAGATCTTAATCGTCATTCTGCTGTTGTATTGGAAGGCAGAAACATTGGTAAACACTTCTTTTTCTGATTCTTACATCTGATATTAATAGATAGCTACACTCTGACTCTCCAACAGTTAGTAAGTTCATAAAGATTAAAGATGTACTTTAGCCTTTTGACAGTTCTTGGTGTAAATATGGATTGATGCTCACTAATCCTTATTGATTGGGGTAGCAGATGTTGATTCAGAAGACACGAGGCTTGTTGCAGAGGCTCTAGCTCGGGCCAAACAAGGTTTTTGCTGTTTCATTCTGCTATGATCTACTTTTGATTTTCTCATTTGATCGATGACCGGTGCCACGCCTTATATTCATCTGACTTCACTATCTATTTATATTACCCCTGATAGTAAGCAAAGCTGATGGAGAAAGCACCAAGGACGCTAATCAGGAGAGATTGGCGAGAATGTCTAGGGCAGCAGAAATGGAGGATCTTCAAGCACCACAAAACTTCCCGTTAGCACCGCTTTCTATCAAGGTTTGTCTTTCTGTCGTCAAAAGGTTTTCAATGCTGATGATATATATGCTTCAAAATCCTCATTCCCTGTCTTGTTTGAAATCAGGACCCTCGCGATTACTTTGAATCTCAACAAGGGAACGTCCTCAATGAACCTAGAGGAGCAGGTTCATTAAAGAGAAATGTCCATGAAGCTTATGGATTGCTAAGAGAATCCATTTTAGAGATTAGAACTACAGGGTTAAGTTACCCGTTGATTAAACCAGAAGTTTCCCTCGAGGTGCTATTCTGTCCCGTGATAAAATGTGTGCCGACTAAAAGAAACCATGGCCTAATGCTTTGTTGCCTGAGCTAAGATTTGTTAACCAATTCTCAGGTTTTCAGTTCGTTAACCCGGACTATCTCAACTGCAAAGAATATTATCGGGAAGAACCCGCGAGAGAGCTTTCTGGACAGATTACCAAAGTCCACCAAGGATGAAGTTCTTCATGTATGTCCCAAGTAACCTCTAGCTCTCTATATATACAATATACTGCTTGGTGAAGTGGCTAGCCTAGAGATTCTCTTGTCCCCTCAAATGCATCATACCTTTTTCTTGATTTCTCTTCATCTACAGCACTGGACATCGATACAAGAATTACTCAGACATTTCTGGTCATCTTACCCAATAACAACCACATATCTTCATACCAAGGTAATGTTGCTGCTATTTCACAATCTTCTAATCCCAGAATTTGCTACATACATAGAATCATGAGCTTTCTCCGGGAAAATATTCAAACTTATTGGATGATGTTTTATATTATGCAGGTTGCTAAACTGAAGGAAGCAATGTCGAATACGTATTCGCAACTCGATGTAAGCTATTATGAAATTCTTCTGATATAATAAGCAACTAGATGTTAGAACAGTAGCTCATAAACATGAAATTTGTGTTACGTAAATTCGGTGTGTACTATTTCCATGATGTTAAACTGCATTTGACTCAGGCAATGAAACAGTCGGTGCAAACTGATCTTCGGCATCAGGTTTCTTTATTGGTTCGTCCAATGCAGCAGGTTAGCCTCTTCCAATGTAACTGGTTAAGTCTGTGTATTCTCCAAACGCGTTGTATGATTGTAGATTGAAATCTGAGTGATATTAACCCATTTTGTCCTCCAGGCTCTTGACGCTGCGTTTCAGCACCACGAAGCGGACTTGCAGAGAAGAAGCGCAAAGAGCGTTGGAGGCGGCAGCGGTTGAAGTCCATATGGTGGGTGCGTTTTCGAGATTTTTCATTAGTTGCTTTCTGTCTGATCATTGAGATACAAAAAAAGGCGTTTATATTGTATAATGGAAACTCGTCGATCTTTTTTGTGATTCATAGATTTTTATTTTATAATGAAAGATAATGATACAAATTGTATGATTTAATTGATTTAAATCACTTTTTGAAAACTTTTTTACTTCTTTTTGATGATGTGGAAACTTAAACCTAAAACCGCGATTTATATTGCGGACGCTCTAAATAACTTAATCTCTCCGAATATGTCAATTTGGCAGCGCAATCAGGTTTTCAGTTCAAGAGTTCTAAATAATCACAAAATTGGATAAATAATCAGAAATCACAGAAACTAATCAGTTTACACTCGGAATATGTCTATTTGACATTGCAATCAGGTTTTCAGCTCAAGAGTTATATATCACTTTTCTCGTTTTGGCTTACCTTACCTTCTTCCACCGTAAGCACATAATCCTCATCCCGCTCAACAGAAGCATCAACTGTTTTCACCGCTCCTCCTAATGCTGAGAGAATCATAAAAAGAAAATATCAGAATCACATCGGAGTGTAATCAGTTTACACTCTGAATACGTCGAATACATCAATTTGACATTGCAAGCAGGATTTAATCAACTCAGGAGTTCTAATCTCGTTTAAAACGTAAACAAGGAAGATCGACATTTGCGCTTAGCGGCTGAATCTTCCACACTCAGTCCCGAATCTTCAACAGCTTTTATTTCTTCAACCATCTTACTGACGTTTTTCTCTATTTCTGCAGTGATTTCGAAGAGAAATTTTTACTAGTCAGAGAGAGACGGTTAGAGAAAGTGGGAACGGTTTTCTTCTTATAGCGGGAGTTGTAGACTCTTGTAGGCCATAGGGAGAATGATAGCCACGCGCGTGTAACACCTTATTTTGTATGCACGTATTAAAAAGTTCATGGTGCTAAATTTACATTGTTTGTTAGTTTTTATACAAAAATACATTGTATGATACTAGTACGCAATCATGTCACACAAACCAACTATGCAACCTCTTTGTATTAAAACAGAGAATGCTACCAATCCTCTTCTGATGCAGTCCATTCATTTATACTATCTTATAGCACAATCATCTCACCATAAACCAAATTTGCTAACAAGTTCTGGTTCAATCGGATTCATAAGCATTCAAACGATATGAAATTGATTTTACTCTAGGCCCCAAAAGCAGATACATTGTGTAATGAGGTAAGTAAACATGTCCAATGATTGCACATGTTTTATATCATTTTAAAACGAATGGTTCGTCGGGGTTCAAGGCATTTCCAGCTCAATCAGATATGCAATATACGTAAATCAAGTGACGTCTAGTGTTTGATTTATTAAAATAACTGTTTCTTTTGGATAGAAAATAGTAGTCACTGGTTTTATTGAAAGTTATAGATTATGTATCCTTGCTCTCATGTTGACATTTCATGCTCACTTTTTTTCTTAAAAAGGAAGTGAAACTTACTAACTTATTAGTCATAAACTGACAGCTATTAAAGATTGGATGTTAAACTTTAACTTGGCTTAAAATTTTGTTAACAGTGGTATTTTTTGAACATTTTTCTCGGTGTGTATTTAAAGAGCTCTATCTGTTGGTGAGATAGCAATCATAAAGTTTAACAGAAGGAGACATTTAAAAACTTGTGTGACGACACACATTAAAAATTGTGAATGCAGTGACGAAACTCGTGAATCTAGTCTTTCCTTGTGTTGAAGTTATTTTTTTCTGACGCAAGAATCCATATAATTTTGGTTACAATGGCGCATTGGTAATAGATGTGAGAACTTATTTTAGAACAACCGTCCAATGGTCGTGCATGCGGTGGGCCCAGTCTGCTCTTTAGATCTGCGCCGCTCTTTTTCTAATAGTTTAACTGACAACTCTGGTCGTAGTAGTTATTTTCTAGAGATGTATATAATTTTCATTTGAGTAGTTTTTTATTTCATTTTTAAAAATAAATGCATCTATTAACATTTAATTAATAACAACATCCCAATTGCTCGCTTGGTTCATATCGTTTATCCATTTCTAAGAATTAGAAGCATTTTTGTGAATTTTAATCTGATTCATCATGTTTTATTAACTAGTTTCAGATTTTTTTTAAGTTCAAAATAAATCTAGATTTTCATGTTAGCGTATATGTATATCTTGAATAAATTTAAATTGTTATTAGTATTAGTATGGTAAGTGGACAAACGTGTTTTACAATCCCTTACTACACGTTATTTATAAGCAAAAAGAGAGAGAAGATTGGACATAAAATAACAACATAACATAAACATCAGATTCGACACGGATTACACAGTCAGCAGTCATATCCTTCATCATGAGTTAAATAAATGTCAGCACTTACATTCGCGTCCACGTTAGCTATATAAGCTTATGATTATCATTTTTTTCTTAAAAGAAGTTTGATTAAGATAGTTGAAAAACAATAAAAAAAAATAGAGTACGTTTCCAGATTTATGCCATACAATCTCAACACAAAAATTTCTCCTTTTTTCAAATAAATATACCAAATTATAAACGCCATCTCGTTCTATAAATACGCTTTTCACGCTACTCTTGTCTAACCTACGAGAGTCGTGAGTCTCGAGGTTTCATTATTTTTTTCCGTATCACCCAGATTTTGATTTTTTTTTCCGTTCAAGGAACAATGACCGTCGGTGCCGGAATCAGCGTCAGCAACTCCGACTTGGTGGTGTTAGGTCACCGTGTTCTTCGCGGCGTCCCGGAGAATGTGTTGGTAACTCCAGCTTCAGGAAACGCTTTCATCGACGGCGCGTTCATCGGCGTCGCGTCGGATCAAACCGGAAGCCACCGTGTCTTCCCTTTCGGGAAACTCGAGTACTGTCCCTACTCATCTACTCTCATTTCTTACACATCTCTTTATCTGTTGTTAAATTAATGTAAGCATTTGGCAATGAAACACTTTCAGAGACTTGCGGTTTATGTGTGTGTTCCGATTCAAGTTATGGTGGATGACGCAAAGAATGGGAACAAACGGGAAAGAGATTCCTTGCGAGACCCAATTTCTAATCGTAGAAGCAAACAAAGGGTCTGATTTAGGAGCTGATCACTCTGCTTCGTACGTTGTATTCTTGCCTATACTAGAAGGAGATTTTAGAGCTGTTCTTCAAGGGAACGAGTCAAATGAGCTTGAGATTTGTCTCGAAAGCGGTATAAATCTACTTATTTCACACGGCTAGATTCGTCATTCGTTGGTTTGTCTCTGATGAATCTCTATATGGTTTGAATATGGTTAGGGGATCCAAACGTTGACCAATTCGAAGGGAATCATTTGGTTTTCGTGGCTGCTGGATCCGACCCTTTTGATGTCATCACGAAAGCTGTCAAGTATGTAACGTTTCTTACCTCAAATTCTTGATTTGTTTTTTTAAAGGCTTTCATTATTCTTGAATTTCTTTACATCCAATTTTTTAGTCTTAAAGAATCTTTTGTGCTACTATGATATGGCAGGGCTGTTGAACAACATCTCCAGACATTTTCACACCGCGAGAAAAAGAAAGTAATGAAACTTGTAAAACTTTCATATTTATTTTTAAGTTTCAGGTGATCTTTAATTATAAAACCAAAAATTTCCCTGTTATTGTTTTGGTGTTTTAGATGCCAGATATGTTGAACTGGTTCGGTTGGTGCACATGGGATGCATTCTACACCAATGTCACTGCCAGTGACGTCAAGCAAGGTCTTGAGAGGTACAATACTTCATTATTAGTCTCTGTCCCTGGCTCAGAATCATACTTTTTTAGATGGCTCTTACATGTAACAATTCCATGCAGCCTTGAAGCCGGTGGGATTAGCCCAAAGTTCGTTATAATTGATGACGGATGGCAATCTGTTGCCATGGATGAGACCAGTGTTGAATTCAACGCTGATAATGCTGCCAAGTAAGCTCTCTATTCGCAAGCATAATAATCACATTAGAACATATTTGGATGTCTCTAGTCTAATCTCTGTTGTGCTTCTTTCAGTTTCGCAAACAGATTAACACACATAAAGGAGAATCACAAGTTTCAAAAAGATGGCAAAGAAGGCCACAGAGTAGACGACCCTGCATTGAGTCTTGGACACGTTATCAAAGACATCAAGAGTAACAATTCCCTCAAGTATGTTTACGTTTGGCACGCGATAACCGGGTATTGGGGAGGAGTTAAACCGGGTGTTTCCGGTATGGAGCATTACGAATCAAAGGTTTCCTATCCAGTTTCTTCCCCAGGAGTTATGTCCAACGAGAAATGTGGCTGTCTTGAAAGCATAACCAAGAACGGACTCGGTTTGGTGAATCCTGAGAAAGTCTTTAGCTTCTATAACGACCTTCACTCGTACCTTGCATCCGTTGGGATCGATGGTGTCAAAGTCGACGTACAGAACATTCTTGAAACTCTTGGAGCTGGACATGGCGGTCGTGTGAAACTTGCAAAGAAGTATCACCATGCTTTGGAAGCTTCCATTTCAAGAAACTTCCCTGACAATGGTATTATCTCTTGCATGAGTCATAACACAGATGGTCTCTACAGGTGAATACTCTAGACCTCTAAAGTTATCTACAATCATTTCAAATCATTGTGATTTAATTTCTTTCTTGTAATATAATGATATATTCAGCGCAAAGAAGACGGCTGTTATAAGGGCATCAGATGACTTTTGGCCTAGAGATCCTGCATCGCACACGATCCACATTGCATCTGTTGCGTATAACACACTCTTCCTTGGCGAGTTTATGCAGCCGGATTGGGACATGTTCCATGTACGTTAACTTGATACAACGTTTTTAGAACTTTGTTAGAGAATCAATGTGAATCTATATTGTGTCGTCTGACTGCAGAGTTTGCATCCGATGGCTGAGTACCATGCAGCAGCTAGAGCGGTTGGTGGATGTGCCATTTATGTCAGGTAAGTCATGAGATTAAAGAACATTCACAAACAAACAAAAGTAACTTAGGCTGCAAGTAATTAACTCTGTAGATATTTCAATTCAAATCTTTGTTAATAGCGACAAACCGGGACAACATGACTTCAACCTCCTAAGGAAACTTGTACTTCGAGACGGTTCCATACTTAGGGCAAAGCTTCCGGGAAGACCAACCAGTGATTGCTTCTTCAGCGATCCAGTCAGAGACAATAAAAGGTATATTATATAACCTAATTTACCTTTCTTGAGAAAGAAGCTTCAAGGATAAAAAATAATTAAACAGTTGATGACTTGGTGTTGATAAAATCTTGCAAGTCTTATGAAAATATGGAACCTGAACGAATACACCGGAGTTATTGGAGTCTTCAACTGTCAAGGCGCTGGGTGGTGTAAGAACGAGAAGAGATACCTAATCCATGACCAACAACCTGGTACAATCTCTGGTTATGTTCGAACCAAGGATGTTCATTACCTTCATAAAGTCACTGCATGTGAATGGACAGGTGATTCAATCGTCTATTCGCATCTCAAAGGTACACAAGCTCAACTATCAGTCTAAATTTTTATGATATTTTTAAGTGGAAAATTCACTCTCTTGTTTTATGTAAATTTGCGTAATTATCAGGAGAGTTGGTGTATCTCCACAAGGATACAACTTTACCAATCACATTGAAATCACGTGAATATGAAGTTTTCACGGTGGTTCCCGTGAAAGTGTTTCCCGATGGAACTAAGTTTGCTCCGGTGGGGCTTATTGAGATGTTTAACTCTGGAGGAGCCATTGTGAGTTTAAGATACAATGACAAGGATGGGGCTAACTTTGTCGTGAATATGAAAACTAGAGGTAGTGGTTTGTTTGGGGCATACTCGTCTGTTGGACGACCGAAGAATGTTACTGTGGATTCCGAGGATGTTCAGTACCGGTATGAACCGGAATCCGGTTTGGTTACATTTACATTAGGAGTTCCGGAGAAAGAATTGTATCTTTGGGACGTCACTATCCAACTTTGAGGATCGTCAACGTGCTCTGATTGGTTGTGTGTCCATTCATATTGTAATCTGTTTATGTTAATTTGTAGCGGGTATCTAATAAAACGGGTTGGGCCGTATTGGACTGCTTTTGATACATCATCTATTTTTGCTTTTGATTTCGTTTAATAGTATTTTTTTTTTTTTTAATTGTTTCATCATCTGGTGTATTGAGAAAAATACAGAGATTTTATGTCCATAAGCTAAGGAATCGAATCGATTAAAAATAATGGGGATTACGTGAGGCGGTCGATAATTCTTTATTCTCATATGATAGCACGTCATGTTTATGGGTCCACTATTAAGATTTAAGCTAAGAAAATGGTTGATCTCTTTCTATATTCAAATCTTAATAATTCAGTATGATTAGAACTAAGAGCAAAAAAATGGCCAATCAAAGATTTGTTTGGACAAATTAAATTATTTTTTGGTCTATAAAAAAAAAGGTTACCCTTTAATTATCATCTCTCGGTGTTTTGAAAAAGAGCGAAACTTGTCTTCTTCAACGGATGAAAAATTACTAGAGAGAGAGGAGAAGGAAACTTCCTTGCTTACGCTCTTTACTGAAATCTGAGATCTCATCACAACCTTGCACTAACAGCTCACTGAGATCACAAATCTCGTGTACCGAGCTATTCCTGCCTCTTCAAATAGCAAACCTGACGACCCAACGATTGAGGTTTTAAGTCTAAGCTTCTCCATTTCTCCTCCAGCGGATCGGAAGAAGAAGAAGAATTCAAAGTAGTTTTGGGTCTTTTGCTTGTTCGTTGAGTTATGCTGGATTTGAATTTCCGCAAGTCTTTCTTCTCTGACCGTTTCGTTGACTACTAAGGTAATCTCTCGAAATCTCTCTGAAAGCTTCTTCAATTCGTTTGAAAATCCACCCATACTCTTTCGGCTTCCTGCGATTTATTGATTCGCGATACTGAGTTAGCGCCTGAATTGGACGGAAACGTTTACTAGACAGCTGTATTACACAAAATCGAATTGGATTTGAACAAAATTGCAAGTACATAAACGAAACGGTGCTAGTGTTGGGCTGATTTCATAGAAAGGTTATGCTTAGATCAATGCATTTTCAACTGAATGATACGAGCTTGTTCTGGATTGATTTGTGTCTGATGCGTAATTGAAGGTCTGGGTTTACAAGTTTTTACAAGTTTCTCCATCTCCAGATTCTAAAAAGAAGGCAAACATTGTAGTCTATGGGTTGTTGTAAAGTGCCAGCTCTTATTCAGGCGCAGGTAGAAGTAAGTTAGTTCACCAGATTACCTCTTTTCTCAATTATTTGGGGCTTCTCTTCTCATTCTCAGCTTAATGGAGAGATTATTACTGTAAAACAGATGGGTTTGGTTAATGAATCCGAGCACAAAAGCCTTTTCAGACGAGAATCAGATTCCCCGCAAAGAAAAGCTGCTTCTTTGATGGAGCAAGGAGGATCGTTTTCTGCAAGTTTTGGAGAAGGCACACCTAAATCACCTAAGAACACTGTGCTACAGAGCTTCAAGATTGTGATTTTGTCGAATAAACTCAATCTTCTGTTGCCTTTCGGTCCACTGGCTATCTTACTCCACTATTTGACAGATAATAAGGTGAGCGATTATTATAGTTTCGTATATACTAGATTCTGCAGTTTCGTTTCTTCTTGTTATGACTCAAGAAATGATTCTTGCTGTGGCTCAGGGATGGGTCTTCTTGCTTAGCTTAGTTGGCATCACACCTTTGGCTGAACGTCTCGGATATGCCACAGAGTAAGCCGTTGCTCGAATTTGTAGCCCCTAAGTTATCATTTTTATTAGTAAGACTAATGGATAAGTAAACGTTTATATCTTAACAGGCAATTGGCTTGTTACACAGGTTCAACTGGTATGACACTGATTGTTTTCTGATATTCAATTATTTTTCAGTACTGCTTCCATGTTTTGACGGTAGAAAACTTTTCACAGTTGGAGGCCTCCTAAACGCTACATTTGGGAACGTGACAGAGCTGATCATATCGATATTTGCTCTTAAAAATGGAATGATACGCGTTGTACAGCTGACGCTGCTCGGCTCGATTCTGTCTAACATGTTGCTTGTACTTGGCTGCGCCTTTTTCTGTGGCGGGCTTGTATATCCCCGGAAAGAGCAAGTCTTTGATAAAGTAGGCTTATCATTCACTTGTTCTCTTTCTCAAATCAATCCATTTTAATGTTTCTGAGCTTATTTCTTCTGCAATACAGGGGAATGCGGTTGTGAATTCGGGATTGCTTTTGATGGCTGTCATGGGGCTACTCTTCCCTGCTGTTCTTCATTACACTCACAGCGAGGTTCATGCTGGCTCATCAGAGCTTGCTCTCTCAAGGTTCAGCAGTTGCATAATGCTCGTGGCCTATGCTGCTTACCTCTTCTTCCAGTTAAAGAGCCAGCCAAGTTCGTACACCCCTCATACCGAGGTTCGTTGTCTTCCACCTTTTGGTTGCTAACTTGCTATCTCTCTCTCTCTCTCTCTCTCTCTCTCTCTCTCTTCAACATTGGTAAGCGCTATAAATAACAGGAAACGAACCAGAGCGAAGAAACTTCAGAAGATGATGAAGATCCTGAGATCTCCAAGTGGGAAGCTATCATCTGGCTTTCGATCTTGACGGCTTGGGTCTCTCTTCTTTCCGGCTATCTTGTCGATGCCATAGAGGTGAATAGTTCTCTGTATTTCATACTTGAGAAGATCTTATCGACTTTGGCTTATGGTTTTGTGCTTTTGTCCTGAATGTGTAAAAGGGTGCCTCAGTCTCATGGAAGATACCAATCTCGTTCATCAGTGTCATCTTGCTTCCTATAGTTGGGAATGCGGCAGAGCACGCAGGTGCTATTATGTTCGCCATGAAAGACAAGCTGGTAGGCAGACAAGTCTCTTGCAGTCTGATGTCTTTGGTTTCTCTTCTTTAGCTTCTAAATTTCTTATATTCTCCGCTTTAGGATCTGTCTTTGGGAGTAGCTATTGGATCGTCGATTCAGATTTCTATGTTTGCGGTAAGTACAAGAAATGTGAAATTGGATCTGGTGTGGTCTGATCATTAGCTGACAGAGTTGGTCTGATAGTTTCCAGTTTTGCCTTATTCGCATTTAGGTTCCGTTCTGTGTGGTGATCGGATGGATGATGGGTGAACAGATGGACCTAAATTTCCAGCTATTTGAGACGGCTACACTGTTCATAACTGTTATAGTTGTAGCCTTCTTTCTCCAGGTAGGTTCATAATCTCGAAGCTGAAAATATGAAACCAATCTTGACTTGATCTTCGTGAATGTTTGTTGTTGCTATGTTATGTAGGAAGGGACATCGAATTACTTCAAAGGATTGATGCTGATTCTTTGTTATTTGATAGTAGCTGCCAGTTTCTTTGTACACGAAGATCCTCATCAAGGTTATTCCCTATTTCTTCCATCTTCATGACTTCATATATATTTCTGCCGAAACGTCTGTGAATGGTTTCTGAGTTCTTGTTTATTGACAGATGATATATAAAACCAAGACGAAGAAACACAACTACGGTGCGCGTGTGTTTGTGTTTGTATCCGAATATGATCTCAAGAACACACGATCTTACATGTACATTTGATATTCTGGAGTGATAATTTCATAAGAGTTTAAAAGTTGCCCCATTTTAAATTGTGTGCTTCTCTTAGGTGATTAGGGCTACAGTTTTGTAAAATCACAATGATAATTTTGTTATCTATTTTGAAACATATATTGAAGCATGAGTCATCGCACGTATAGAACCATTCCTTGGCATCTAGTTTTGTTTTACAGATTACATGTTACATGTATAGTTTTGTAAAAAGGGGGATGACAAGAAAGAGAAATGCACGTGGTTTTGCGAAGAAGCAAAACGACGAGAAGTTACACTCGTCATTAGCAAAACGAGAGAGAATGAGCTGTAGCTATGTCGATCAGTTTCCATACCTCCAAAAGTATCCCCATGTGGGGACCATATAATAGGCCATAGGCAGAAAGAACTAAACCACACGTCGTTTTTTTTCTCATTAGTCTGGTCCTTTTAATATCTTTGGTTCAACAACAACATTCACCAAAGCAAAATGTAAAAACAATAGTAGTACATACTACATACTCCACCACCATTCAGTTACTTAACCAAAAGTTAAACAGTAAAAGTTTACATTCTTTCTCTGTTTCTCACGTTGTGGGGGCCCATTAGCCTATCAAATCAGTAGGGGCCACATCTCTTGTCTCGTGAATAGTTAAAATCGTAACAGTTTACCACTGTAGACAGAGAAAGGAAAAAGAACAGTTTACCGCCACATATACCAACTCTACTGTGCTGTACGGATTTATTATTGACCTTTAAATATTTGATTCAATACGGTTTGACTTGCTAGTCCAGATTAGGGCTCATAGAAGTATGTGTTTTTTTATAATTTCCATCGTTTGACCTAAAGAAGAAAAAAAATCCGTCGATGCCCTTCATTATTAAGCATGAACAAGCACATAATGTTGTCACGTGTACATTGGTAATTGGATTATTGAAAGTTATACTTTACTAAAAGGAAATGTTTATCGATTGTAGCAAAATAATTCACGGGAAGAACAGAACAGTTCAAAACTTGAAAAGGTGAGAAGGAAAAGAGAGCAAATATAACCATTTCTCAAAATAAATAAAGCAAAGGGTTGACTCCATGGATTAAAGAGACCGTGTCAGACCTGTGCTCAAAGCGTTACTAAACCCCAATATATAGATCTTGTTAATTTTCTAATATATGGAGTCAAAATCTTTATTATAATGAACAAATATATGTTGTCACCTTTGAAGATATCATTTGTTGAAAAATAAAAGACTCATGCACATACATAAACACTGATATTACATCAAAACCCCTATAGATTTATCGGGATTTATCGACATCAATTTGTTGGAGGATGAAGTATTACTGAATATTTGATAATTAGGCTGTGAATGGGAACAAGTGCGGTGCGGAATCAAGTGTGGTTTTACCAAAACCGCTTTTAAAACACGAATCACAATTTTCTTACAACAATTTGCGGTTTTCAAAAAAAATAATGGAATCCGCGAACGGATTTCGAAGCAGCAAAAATAGCCTAACAGATAACAAACCGCACTTTAGAATCTAACCGTGGAAAAGACCAGCGGTCCACAAAAAACGCACTGGATAAATATTTTTCTCCAAAAATATTTATTTTTTAAACAATAAAAAGATATTATAAATAGATATATCTTTAGCAAATAATTCACCATTTTAACACGTGGATTCCAAGACCTAAAGTTGACAACAAAACCATTTAAATATTATTATATCCTTACTAAGATACATGTATCATGTACGTAAATATATATGTATATAAAATACATATTTGTATTATACAAGTATAATAGTGAACATGTAGATCATATTTAGCAGACATTTTATTAAAGAAAGTTGTTGAAAAATTATTACAAAATATTTATAGATTCAATTCTTAAAACTATTCAGTTAATTTTGAAAAAACCTAAAATCTGTCATATAAAAATGTTTCTTCATTATTAATAAAAATATAATTTTAGTTTACATATGTATTAATTTTTTAAATAAAATTATTACTTAATTATTTACTTACAATTAATATTCCGCCCCGCTTTTACTTTATTCACCAATCAAACATTATTTTGTACCGCTTATTTTATACTAACCGCATTTGTTCCGCAGTCAAGTTTTATCCGCATTTATTAAAACTAAACCGTACCGCACTCTAAATTTACTTAACCGCACAACACAATACGTTGTTACCATTCCGAGCCTTAGTATAGAGACATCAAAGAGAAGGAGGGGTGAGACTGTGAGAGGGATAGAGATAGAGATAGGGATAGGGAGAGAGAGTGTGCACTTTTTCTTTATAACAAAGAAGACCGGCGCATTTTACCTTATTGTAATAAGAAATTAAATTCAAGAAAACTATATAAAAAAAAATATAAGAAGAAGAAGATTGCTTGTGAATCAGGAAAAGCAAATCTCATTAGTCTTTAAGAAAAATAAACTAAACCAGATTCAGGATGTAAAATGTGTGATTTTGGAAAAAAAAGTAATAACAAAGTGGAAGGGTAACGAAAACGACCAATAACTGCAGAATATTTGGGGCTTTGGAATGGTATAAATTGTTATTATCATCGCTGTCACTCTGTGAAGAAAATGACATTTCCTTGGTTCTTTTTTATTTATTTACTATCAATTTTGTAATTTATTCAAAATGACTTTATCAGGACTGCACTGCAAAACGTAGATTTTGCCATCTTCTTTGTCACAATGTCAAGTTGCTCTCAATTCTTGGATTCTCTCCATCACATCCAAATCTTTCTTTTATATCTTTCCCCTTGCATATCTCTATTTTTAAGTTTTATTTTACTTTTCGGATTTTTTTGTTTTGTTTGGTTGTTTGATCCTCCTTTTCGAGATATATACACTGATATTTTTTTTTTATAAACAGATGCAAACGTTACTGTCGTGTCTGCAATTCACAAGAGCGTATATAGAAATATACTAGCTTTTTATGATGTTTATTCAAAAACTCCAAGTGCATACACACTTTTAGATGCTTTTAGTTCAGCATTAGATTTTTTATTCGGTACAGATTTTGTTGTAGCCTGTAGGTATTGAAAAGTGGTCAATTTGATTTTCAGCTCAGACTTTTGCTCTGCTTATACCAGACTAGTAAACTTTTATCTAAACTGATCAAAATACCCTTTAGCAAACATCGAAGGGAATATGTGTTTTAATTAGTTTTTAAGAAAATAAAACTTTTTTAAAATACGCATATTGGATGTATGGAGTATATACAACGTGCATACTGCATATATGTAAAAATGCATTATACTTAACTTTTTATTTATGGGCCACCGACTACTTACATAAAAAAAAAAAAAAAGAGAATGAAAAAACTTCACCAATAATTATGTAATTAGTACTGTGGTTATTTGCTGGTGGGAGTTTCCGAACAATGAATGCTTCTATGATTTTATCTCAGAATTATTTGTCATCGCGCAATTGAAGAGTAAAGTGAAAAATTTAATGGCGAATGATGGTTTCATGATGCGTTTGGACAGCGTAAGAGACGACAGTGTCTTGTGTCGTTTTATTGGTATGTAGCGGTAAAAGTAAAAATCATTTGATAATGATGTTAAAAAAAAAAAAATCCCCGACTGAACTACAATGTCCTACGCTGTTTTTTTTGTTCTAAGGTACTGTTCTGTCTGATTAGACCATTCTCATTTATTATTGCTGGACCCCTTTTATTTGTATTTTTTCGTATGAATCTTGAAAGCTGTAAGAAAATAAAATAGTGAAAGAAAAAAAGGGTACAAAATTGTTGCAATGCAAAAGTTCCACCACTGACCACCCTCAAATACTATTCTAAAATCAGTTTGAAAACAATTATACAGAGTAAACGATATTGGGGAAAAAAACATATCTGAGTATGTACTACAGTATTGTGTATTTATTAGAACACATTAATTAATACTCCACAATCCTAAATGTTATTAATGCTTTAGAAATCCAGAATCCTAGTATGAATCTAAAATGATGGGATGCATGCATTGAATACAGTAGACTGGGCAATCTCGACACGTGTCCATATCCACATGTGGTTGTACGAAAAGTCAACTTACTCAAATTAATTACCACCACCCTTTTGTTCTAATCAAACAAAATTCCTTTTCTTTTGGTGAGCAAACACTTTACCGTTCTTCTAGAAAATTTCCATGGAAACTTTACCAATAATAAGATCATATCCGTTACAAAGTTAATCAACCTTTTTTCACAAACTTAGTAATTGTCATTTAAGTTATTATTTGTTTGACTACCCTTTTTATTTGTAAAGTATGCAGGATAATAAAGTAATCCATTTTAGACCCATTATATTACATCTTCTAAATCATACACGTTCCAACTATAATTTGATCATATTTCCTAAAACAAGACTCAAATGGATTTGATCACGTTAACTGTAGCTACATAACATGTAAAAATTGCAAATTAGAGAACTCTAGCTAGCAATATCTATCAAGTGGGTTAATGGTGGTCTTAAGAGTAGTGAGAACTCAAAGTTGCTATTTTAATTCCATTTAGAAAAGGTATACACCTTAAATGTTGTATCATCAACAAAGATTCAAAGTTATTTGGTTTATCAATTAAAAAGACTAGCCATATAAGCGAAATAATTTCTGCATCAAGACTTATTATACATAACATTTTGGTCGAGAATAGTGTTTATATAAGAGTGATGATGTGTCTACACTACCTACAATGTACTTTCCATCTATTGAACAGTTGGGAAAACAATTTATTGGCGTTGAATTTTAATTTTGGTTGAGCAGGAATCAATAATTTAATACTGAAATGGGGGAAGCAAGGAAGAAAAGGACACGCATGCAATAAGAAGGCAGACCAAAGGGTAAGAAAAAGCAAAGAAATTTCACCTTCCCCATTGTTTACAGAGAAAAAGGGACCATTGGAGTTGGACCCAACACTAAAATACCAAACCAAGAGAATTTTTATTATTCAGAAAAAGAAAAGAGAATATTTATTAAGTAGCGAAACTCAAGACTAAAAGGAAGCAGAACAAGTAAGTATAGAAGAAGAAGAAGAACAACACACAACACGCGAGCAAATAAATATCCAGATCTTTCTTCCCTTTCTCTCTCTCTCTCTCTCTCTCTCTCTCACCGCATCTCTCTTTTGTAATCGAAGCAAAAAAGCCTTTTCTTGCTTTGCTCTGTATTCTTGCGTGTTCCTTCTGTTAACTTAAACGTGGGGTTTCTACTTCTAGCCGCTTTCTCGGATTTGGATTCCGATCGTTTTGAGATAATTGGAATCGGAGAGAGATCCTATTCCATCAAGGTAAATTCCAGACTTCAGAGTCCTGTTTCACTTCCTCATTTTGGTTTGTTTGTCGGTGGTTCACTGTTACCCGAGAATCGAGGTTGAGATCCGTATTTGTTTTCAATCGGCATTGCTGCAATTTCAATCGTATCTTAAGTTTTCGAGTGTCGTTGAATCATTGAGCGAACTGAAAGACGAGTTTTTGATGGTTTTCGATTACTGTTTCATTTCTAACGGTTTCGTCTCATTTAAAGTTTCGAGGTTGCATTTATGGCCACCTGAAGCAAATGCGTTTCTTTTTCTTCTTAATTTCTTTGAGAAGACAAGTGTAGATATTTAGGACTCTTAAATGCAGTGTGAATTAATTCATAAGAGCAGATCTAGAGCTAATTTCCGACACAAAGCTAAAAGCTTCTTCATTTCTCTTTCTCTGATCTGCTAGAAATTATCGAGAAGAACAAAAAAAAAAGGTTTATTTTTCGTTGTGGTAATGGCTAAGGCAAATATCTTGCGGGTGCTGCTTTAGTTCTTACGTTCACGAGGAATCTCCGGTTTTAAGTTTATGGCCGTGTAAAGAGTTTTTATATTTAATGCCATCACAAGAAAATTAATCGATTTAATTTCTCAAACTTTGAGTAACCGTTGCCTTTTGTGTCTGCAGGTTTGTTTGTCTCACCAGTGGTGGTCTTATGACTCACATGCATGTCCTCTGAATCCGCTTAGCATCTCAAAGCTTTCCCTTTTGAATTTGATATGTCAGGTAAATTTTTATTGTTTCTTCTCCTTCCATGTCTGATGCTTTGGCAGATACTTATACTTTGATTTGTGTATTGAAGGAGTTGAAGAAAACGGAACCATTGACGAGTTTAGGGAGAGAAGATCAGACTTTGAAATCTCAGAGGACGAAAGAAGGCGCTCAAAGATCGGGAATTTGAAGAAGAAGGCCATTAATGCTTCGACCAAATTCACTCATTCTCTCAAGAAGAGAGGGAAGAGGAAAATTGACTACCGGATTCCTTCTGTCTCCATTGAAGATGTTCGTGATGAGAAAGAGGAGAGCGTTGTTCTTGAATTCCGCCGTAACCTTCTTGAGAGAGACTTGTTACCTCCTAAACATGACGAATACCATACTCTTCTGAGGTTAGCTTTGTCCTTCTTTAGTAGCTTAAGCTTAAAATGTGATGCCATTGCTAACTAAACTCTTCATACTGAGAATGTAGATTTTTGAAAGCGAGGGACCTAAACATTGAGAAAACCATCCAAATGTGGGAAGAAATGCTTAGATGGAGAAAAGAGTATGGAACAGATACCATACTAGAGGTAAGGACTAAGGAGCCATATATATGAAAGAATAATTGTTATTCAGTATCAAGCTCTTACTATGATTTTGATTTTTCTATGTACTTGGATGGTAGGATTTTGATTTCGAAGAGCTGGAAGAAGTTGTGCAATACTATCCTCAAGGCTATCATGGAGTTGACAAGGAAGGAAGGCCTGTCTACATTGAAAGACTTGGAAAAGCTCATCCCTCTAAGCTTATGCGTATCACCACCATTGATAGATATCTAAAGTACCATGTACGAGAGTTTGAGAGAGCTCTCCAGGAGAAATTCCCTGCATGCTCGATTGCAGCGAAGCGTCGAATCTGTTCCACGACTACAATACTGGATGTGCAAGGACTGGTAAAATTCATCAAGTTCTTGCCAAGTTTTGGAAATTTTCTGCATTGTGCTATGTTTCTAGATTCTTATCTGTGGAGTTGTCATGTTAATGACAGGGCATGAAGAACTTTTCACCAACAGCTGCGAATCTTGTGGCTGCCATGTCGAAGATAGACAACAGTTACTACCCTGAGGTACTGGAGTTTCTCAATTTACATTTCACTACTTTTTCACATGCATACTGGATTGTTACAAGTCATCACATTGTTTTGCAGACGTTGCACAGAATGTACATTGTAAATGCTGGAACGGGTTTCAAGAAAATGCTTTGGCCTGCTGCTCAGAAGTTTCTTGATGCAAAGACCATCGCAAAGATACATGTACTGCTTTACCAGCCTAGCTTTTTTCTCTTTGGTCTACTATTGCCATGTGTAGTTTTTCTTAGCTCTGTTGCTGCAGGTGCTAGAACCAAAATCTTTATCTAAGTTGCATGAAGTCATTGACTCAAGGTAGTTTTTGTTTCCATTTAAACCTCACCTTGGAAATTTCAGATATCATGTGTAGCCAATACTTACGAGCTCCACTACTCTGTGCTTTTAGTCAATTGCCAGAGTTCCTCGGAGGTTCATGCTCTTGCTTTGGCGATGGAGGCTGTCTTCGCTCTAATAAAGGACCCTGGAATGATCCTGAAATAATGAAGGTAAATTGGAACTTTTAAGATAAGAGATAGTTTTTAGTCCGTACTGGTACATCATGAAGCTCATATTAGATCTATGCCTTGATTAGCTCATCTACCATGGAGAATCATCGATCTTTAGGCAAATCACAAGGAAGCTGAGTGAACCGCACAACTCTTCCTCCTTCATAAGTATTCATCCATCAAAGGTAAATGGCTCTACTAAGAAGCTGATTTCTCTGTTGGAGCTAGAAACTTTTTTCACCAGTAAATATAACAATGCACCTTTGGATTTCAGGATATGAAAACTGAGACTTCAGCAGCAGAGTCAGTATCTTATTCTGATGTTCCTGCTTCTCATGTGAATCCAGCTTACGAGGACGTAAGTTCTTGTGTTGGTAGTATCACAAACCACACTATCGTTTCATAATAATGTACTGACAGGAACAGTAATGATCTCATGCAGGCTAGGGCATCGGATGTTAACGGCTATTATAGCTGCGACGACAAGTTTGCCTTACCTGACAAAGCTGCTAACCGAAAAGGCCATGAAAGGCAATCCCATTACCAAATGCTCGAGCTCGACCAAACAAGTCTCGGTTTAAAATGTGAAACATCTCCACCAGGTGCTCCAATCATCCGATGGCTCCATGATTTGAGAGGAACAATTGACAGCATAAAATCTGAGAACCTGGCCAAGAGGATACTCTCGTTAATGCTGAGACTAGCTGCGGTTTTCCGTTATATCCCGTTGGAGGTTTCGAGAAGCCAGCGTACAGTTCCAACAGAAGATGAAAACAGAAGAAGCAGCCTCATCCCAACTCCTCCTAGAGAGCCAACAATGAAAGAACGGATTCTTCCGTGTTTGGAGCGGATTCAGAAACTGGAGAAGAAGTACGAGGAAATGAGGAACAAACCTGCTGAGATTCCAGTGGAGAAGGAGAGAATGCTCATGGATTCTCTAGACAGAATAAAATCAGTCGAGTTTGATCTCGAAAAGACAAAGAGGGTAAATATGTTTTACCTTCTTGTTTGTTATTTCATTCACAAACACTTATGATTGCAGTATGGACTTTTAAGTCTTAACACGTTTTGTTCATTGGTTGCAGGTTTTACACGCCACAGTGATGAAACAGATTGAAATAACTGAAATGCTCGAAAATATACGGGAGTCCCAGCTTCACGTAAGTCTCTTGAGATTATATCTTTTAGTACTGAAGGATATTGCAGTGAGCTAACACTCTCAGATTGTTGTTATTTGTGCAGAGAAGAAGATTGTTCTGTTAGTAAACCATAAGAGAGAACATCTGAGTTTTGCATAAATACACGTTGCACATAAAGTGAGAGAGAACAGATTCGACAAGACATGTTAGTTTCTTTACCTTATTTCTCCTCTAACTTGGGTCATGACATCTCATAGGTCCATCTGCTTCCACTTTTAAGTTAAAGAAAAAAAGAGAGGGAGAGAGAGAGAGAGAGAGAGAGAGAGAGAGAAGAAGATAGGGACAGAGCAAATGTAGATTGAGATCAGAGTTTAAGTATCAGTCTGATTTCATACCCTTTTTGTTGTAATCTCGGTGTAGAGAAGAAACTACACTTGAAAACAGATAAAAGTATAACATGTTGTAAATCTTTTTAATTTATGAAAACGATAATTCGAAGAAAAAAACACTAGTACGAACCTCTCTGTCTTGTTACTCTTTGAAGAATCCACGTCATTTGTTTAACCTGAAAGCAACAAAAAAAGAGTTGATATCATAATTTAGGAATCTGATGTATACTTACTTATCTTGTAGTGGATTTGCAATTGCTATGATTGGAGTTTAAATTGTCGAGGTTGCAGATAGGCTTCATAGCAAAAATTATTAAATTGCTAAATCTAATAATCATCTCAACTCTTTCGAAAGCCATGCGACAAAGACAAATGAGCCCCTCGTAGTCTGAGCCAGATTTTTATTGGAGTCTGGAGAGTTTATAGATATGGTAGGGTAAAATCGTAAACTAAATGTTCTCACTTAGAGAAAGTTTGATTTTAAAAAATGAAGAATTTAAATGGGAAAAAAATAGGGACCGTCCTTTTCCAGTGATGTAGTTGTAGCCTGTGATCGAAGATAAATTTCTCTCTTCTTCTCTCTCTCTCCTTCTCCGTTCATGTTTTGGACTACTCGCTTCCAATCGATCTCAACGCCACTCCAATCATATTTTATACGACCCGAAACTTATAACTAGTTTCTTAATTTTCCTGGATTTCGCGGATAATCCTTTTTTCAATCTTCCCGAATTGCATCGCCAGGTGATCCTAAGCTTTTGATCCTTATTTCAGTTTTTGAGATCGTGCTCGTTGTTCTCAATTCGATATTACGATTGTTAGGATTTGTACTGTTAATTGTTTTCCATTTGGTTTCTCCTTCTGCGATTATGTCGGCTTTCTCATTGGTTTCGATTTCTGGGCTCCATGGTTTTTGGCGCTTCTGCTTTGTGAATTTGAAATTTTAGTGTGTTGAAATCTGATGATTATGTTTTGTTGATGTTGCGGTTTCGCGTTGGAGAACGGTACGAATTCAAATTGAAAAAATTTGGCATAGCCTTTCATAACCTCTGTACAGAGAGAATTGCATGTTTGATCTTAGTTTCAAGGTACTGCGCTTGTAGGATATTGTTACTCATCGAATGAATATTGTCTTCACTGTGAATTTTGTGGATCTTCTCTTAGATGGAGAGGAAACATGTTTGTGCAGCTCAAGCAATATGCACAGAAAATTATAGTCTTGTGAAGTCCTAACGTACATGGTGTTGTTGTTCATTAAAAAAGAAAAAGGACTTGTGACATAAATAGTATTTAGTGAACGAGTAGGAGTATAAAGTTTCTTGCTATATTATTGGATTCTACTATTGTGGTCCTTGGCTTTCACAGCTCAGTAATCAAGGTGGCTTTTTTTACATATGCAGGTGCCTTGTTTTATCAACTAAAGAATGTCCAATTACCAAGGGGAGGATGCTGAGTACATGGAAGATGTAGATGATGAAATGGAAGAGGTAGATGATGATTTAGATGAGGAGTTTCGTGGGGATGACATGGCTGCATCGGATTCCGATGTCGACGAGTTTGACTACTCAGTAAGTTTGCCTATAATGAAGTCTAATGTGTAGTCTGGTTTATGCTTTTCTTAAATGCCTTTTGTGAAATATATATTAGCTAGTGTCGATGAATAATTCGGAGTTTAGCATTTCTGCAATCTCTTACTCTATTGTGTGGATTCTTTTGGTTTCAGAACAATAAAATAGCTGATACTTCAGCTGAACAAGCCCGGAAAGGGAAAGACATCCAGGGGATTCCTTGGGACAGGCTTAGTATTACCAGAGAGAAATACAGACAAACTAGACTAGACCAGTACAAAAACTACGAAAATGTCCCTCATTCTGGGGAATCCTCCGGGAAAGTAAGTCTTCCATGCTCCGACACTTAAAGTTGTTGTCAACTTGTTTCACTTATATTGGTTTTCAACTGTTAAATATCATGTGCTTCATGTACTACAGGATTGCATGGCTACACAGAAAGGGGCCAGTTTTTATGATTTCTGGCGGAATTCAAGATCTATCAAATCAAGTATTCTTCATTTCCAGGTTATCATCGAAGCATAGCTATCTTTTCATTCAGTGTTCGCTTTGGCCGTATTTATTTGTTTGATTAATGAGGAGTTACAAATTGCTGCAACTGTTTGTACTAAAGTGCTTTTCTTTGTACTTTGTATTGTAGTTGAGGAATTTGGTATGGGCAACTTCTAAGCACGATGTTTACCTAATGTCACAATTTTTGGTTAGTCACTATTCTACTTTGACATCCGCAAAGCATGAAGTTCTCAATGTTCAAGGTCATGTTTCCCCATCCGAGGTTTGTTTTTTTTTTTCCAAAATGATGAAAGATTCTTTTATAATAATCTTCATCGGTTAATTTGGTGAATTTCCTTTTTCTGTTTCTTGCGTGGGTGCAGAAACATCCTGGAAGTTTGTTGGAGGGATTTACGAAAACTCAAGTGAGTACACTTGCTGTGAGAGATCAATTTTTAGTCGCTGGCGGATTTCAAGGAGAACTTATATGCAAGGTAAGCTCTAGACTCTTACGAATCATGGATTTCACATACACGCAATGCAATCTAAGCAAGGAACTTCATCTGTTTCCTCATTGATTTGATTTCAGCATCTTGATAGACCTGGTGTGAGCTTTTGTTCACGTACAACTTATGATGATAATGCTATCACCAATGCAATTGAGATTTATAACAAACCCAGGTATTTGCTTGTCTTTTGCTCAATGTAGTTTTTACCAGTTTACATTTTACAGCTTCTAACTTACCTTTTGGTGCCTGTCTGTCTGTCTGCAGTGGCGCGCTTCATTTCACTGCCTCAAATAATGATTGTGGAGTCAGAGACTTTGATATGGAGAGATATCAGCTTGTTAACTATTTTCGCTTTCCTTGGCCAGTGAATGTAAGTCCCTACTTGTTTATTGATACTTGGTTCTTGCTTTGGTATAAGTCGATGTGTAACACTTATGGAATCTGATATCTTCTTTTACATTGTGAGATTATACTTATGAATCATTTAACGAAACTAGATCTATGTGTTTATAATCAGCACACATCTTTGAGTCCTGATGGTAAATTACTGACGATTGTGGGAGACAACCCGGAAGGTCTTCTGGTAGATCCCAACACGGGAAAGGTGCGGATTCTATCTTCTATGTTCAATCATTCTGAATCAAAACTCTCTCTTTTTTTTCTTTTTTCAGTTAACTTAGTTGGAAATTTCCTTCAGACACTGGGAACGCTAGCTGGACATTTAGACTTCTCCTTTGCCTCAGCATGGCACCCAGATGGGATCACTTTCTCCACAGGAAACCAAGACAAGACATGCCGGGTTTGGGACATCCGTAACCTGTCTAAGTCAGTTGCTGTCTTGAGGGGTAACCTTGGAGCGATCCGATCCATCCGCTACACTTCCGATGGGAAATACATGGCCATGGCTGAGCCGGCTGACTTTGTCCATGTCTACGATGTCTCAAACGGGTATGAAACAGAGCAAGAGATCGACTTCTTTGGGGAGATCTCCGGAATATCCTTCAGCCCCGACACGGAGGCGCTCTTCATCGGCGTTTGGGACCGCACTTACGGTAGTCTCCTTGAGTTTAGCCGGCGCCAAAACTACTCGTACCTTGATTCGTTTCTATAATCAGCCGACTCATCATCGGAGGAATAAATGTGCGTCACTCTCTCGTGGCTTTGTTAGACCAAAGGAACAAGATAAAAATGTGATAATAGAGATCTCTAATGGTGTAAATGATGTGTTGTGCAAGTACTAGGGTCTAGGAAGTCATCTCGTCACAGAGAGTCCATTTTAGTTAGTTGATTTTCTTCTTATCGAGTGTTGAGATTCATGTATGTGTGTACAGTAAGTGTTGAGGTTCGGCTTGAGTTTTCATCAAACTTTTAAATCTCGGCCAGTCCAGGAAAAGTCAAACACGCTTTGATCCTTTTGAGCTGATTCTGTGTTAAATTTCGACGGATTTGTGGATCAAATTGAGCGTAAAGAAAGTAACGTATTATATAAGGAGAACCGTCTAAACTACGAGTGCTATATTGCAAATATGTAGGTTAGAAAAAGAAATTTGCATAGTTTCCATTGACTGTGGACTAAATTGATCTAATGAAAACTATTCGGCCTATTAAAGAGAACAGTCTAAAACTACGAGGGCTGCAACAAAACTTATTTGTCTGAAAAATCTCATAATCCAGAAAGAACCAACGAGAGAAGGCCACATCATCAACCCAGAATCGTATCCTCCTCACAAACAAAATCTTGAATCGTCTCCTCACAGAAGACCCAAAATCATAAATCCAAAACCACTCATTTCCTTTTGCACTGAAACTCTCCAGAGAAGCAAGAAAAATGGCGACAAGCGCATCTGCTTTGCTCTCACCATCAACCTTCTCCACCGCAATCTCCCAGAAAAACCCAAACTCCATCTCATTCCACGGTCTCCGTCCCCTCCGACTCGGTGGTTCCTCCTCCGCCTTACCCAAGCTATCCACCTCCGCCGGGAGAAGATCTTCCTCCGCTGTCGTGAGAGCCGAGCTTAGCCCCTCAGTTGTCATTAGCCTCAGCACCGGTCTCTCCCTCTTCCTAGGCCGATTCGTCTTCTTCAACTTCCAGAGAGAGAATGTGGCGAAACAGGGCTTACCGGAGCAGAACGGGAAAACGCACTTCGAAGCCGGAGATGATCGTGCCAAGGAATACGTCAGCCTCTTGAAATCGAACGACCCGATTGGATTCAACATTGTCGATGTTCTTGCTTGGGGCTCTATTGGACACATCGTTGCTTACTACATCTTGGCCACTTCCAGCAATGGATACGACCCAAGCTTCTTTGGCTAATGTTCTTCCTCTGTTATTCATTTCAAATCTCTCTCTCTCTCTTTTGTCTTTCGTATATGTATATGTTTGACTTGTCCCGCAAGCTATCTATCTTTTGTTTCTTCTTCTTCCTCTGTTCTTGTCTTGTCTAAGGATTCTCCTTCGCTTTGCATTTGTTATGTTTTCGCGAATCAAGAAGAAGAACATACACAATGCAAACACAGATTAAATATTCATTTGCTCTGAAGAAGATTTCGATTTAGTTTAAACATTTGTGTTGGTATTTTTCAAAAATATGTTCTGAAACCTTTGAAATTTTGGAAAATGAAGAATAAGAAAAATTGCAGAAAGAAAAGTAACTTAATCCAATGTTAAAATTGCCAAGATTCCGCATCCAAAATCTATGGCAAATTCAACAACTTATTATAAAATAAAAGTTGAAAGAAAAAAGAAAAACACAAAAACAGATAAATAAAGTTTCAAACAGAGAAGACAACAGCATAGATACATAACACACTACTGACTCTCCTCAGAAGATGTCTCCGCCGCATCATCATCCGCCGCAGCATCATCTGCCGCCGCATCATCTTCCGGTGCATCAGTCTCCTCCACCTCAGGAGAATCCATTGAAGATTTGTACTGTGACATGTCTCTCTTATACCTCTTCACATCCTCATACCCCATATCTTGATAAACCTGTTTACACAAATCCATTAAATATCGCTCAGACTTAAAGACTTGGTTTAGAATCATCAGTTTTATTGTAGTTTGTGTATAACCTTTTTGTCAGAATCAGAGAGATTGGTCCACATGTGGCCAATATCCTTGGTGAGAAGCTTTTCTTGTCCAGCGTACTCAGGTTTAAGCTTACGGTACTGCTCCGAGAAGAAGAAGTTGTAACCGCTTCTGTGTGACTTAGGTCTCTGAGAATCTCCCAGAGACAGTTTTGCCTTCTTCTTGTATCTCCGAGTTTCAGAAGAAGTCTCAGCAGTCTTGTAAAGCACTCCTTTAAGCTCTTCTGACCCAACCTTCACCGTCACAAAGTACCCTTTATGGAACTTCCCATCGATCACTCCGTTCACCGCGCAGCCACGTCCCAGTTCTTGAGTGCCTGAGAGAAAGAAATGTAACGAATTTAGCAGCTGAGTTTACAGGGAGAGATTCGAGTGTTTTAGTACCTTCGTCATCATTTTCAGATTTTGTGACAAGGCGATTCATTGCTTCATCTATGAAATGAAAAAAGGAGAAAGATTATGTTAATCTCAGATCTCCATGCAGAATTAGATTATAAAAACATGATTAGTATTATTATAATTATCAGACCTCTAGCCCAGAATAAAGACATTGGCTCTTTGAAGTAATGTACATGCTCAAACTCAAAGAGAATTTTCCGGTAATACTTCTTCAAAACAAATGCTGCATTTGTTATTTGCTTCTTAAAATTGAAGTTTCCAATAACTTGTTTGCATTTACGCTCCTTGATCACCTAGACCAAAGAAAAAAAGGATGTTAAAAAAAAACGTTTTAAGATTGAAAACTTGAGTGTGAACTCGTATACCTTTTCAAGACCACCTCGAGTTGTGACCTCGATGAAAAGCCGATGCAGATCCAGACGGTTTCCTCCCACAATAGGAACCCTTTAACAAATCATGAACGAAATGGCAAAATCAGAATCATAATTAAACAGTCTTCCCCATGAAATGAGATCTTCTTTAAGAGAATAATAGATCAAAAGATGTATAAAAGCAATTTCCATTTTCCAACATTTCAGTTTAGCACAATCTGAGATTAGCGGTAACCAAAACAGCACATTCCTAAATCTTTTCATGGCCTACCATTCCTAGAAAGTTTCATCAACTCCTCAAACACTTAAATCTATGTCACGCTTAACAGTCTAACACAATACGAGTCATTATATTTATTATCACCCACCACATGACAGATGTTTAACAAAATTTCATGAAACTCTGATAAATTTACAAATAACCATATAATTTCATGAATCTGGCATAGACTAGGGTTTTTCATCCACGATTGTAAACCAATATTTCTTATAGAAAACACAAAACCAAAAAAAAAATGTATAATAAGGGGAAAAAAGGCAAAACTCACTTTAAACTTCTGTGAGAAAGTGTTAGAAATTTTGTGAGCGTATCCCAGAAAAGATTAGGGTTTCGGACAAGATCTTCATACGAAGGAGAGGAGTTGACGTCCATGTTGTTGTCCATGTTGCTGTCCATGTTGTTGTCTGAGTCGGAGGAAGAACCATAAGCGGGTACTAGTTGGCATTGCGTTTCGGTCGACATGTTTTTTTGAGAGGAAATTAAAAGGTTGAAAAACTTTTGCTAATCTTTAAAGGTTACGAAAATTATCTTCATACAATAGTATAAATTTTCATGATTTGGATTAGTTTAAGGGAAAGCAATGTATTTTTTGTTTTGTAATTTGGAATTAGAGGACTAGTATTTATATACAGTTTTTCTTTTATCTTCACTAAATATAAAAATTTATTTCATTTCATTTTTTTACATAGTCTACACACATATAAATAGATTTAAATTTATGGCTAATAACAAAACGTTGAATACATTAATAAACTATCTTCATCTATTGTATATTTACTTTGTTTCTCTTTGTATATAGTCGACGCGTGCACATGTAAATAAATTTAAATCTATGACTAATAACAAAATGTTGAATAAGTTTTAATTATTTTTGGTAATTTTCTAAAATATAGTCAATGGATAGCTATTAATTGATATTTAAAATTATGTCATGTGAATAAAGTTTTTGTTTTTATATATAAATTTTGAAAAGTAGCCTTTTTAGATACTTATTTATTAATTATTATAGCTAATATTTTATTCTAAAAAGAAAAGGTTTGATAGTGAATAAAAATCTATTTAATTTATATCTAAACTAGATCTTCACCCGTGCTTGAGAAGCACGGGATATTGTAATTTCTGAGAAAAAAAACTTTAAGTATTCATATTATAATTATGTAAATAAGAATATATTTGTGATAATTAATTAATTATTGATGAATTAATATTATTAGATTATCTAATTTACTATATTTGTCATTTGCTCTTTAAGCTTTATATTAAAAAGAAATGCCACAATCTATAAAAAAAAAAAAGTTAAAATGGAATTTGTTGGGTTTTGTTTGGCCTAAAGCCTTAAAGGATACTTTGGATTGTTGGTTTTCACTTTCCAGTCTAAAGGAGTGATCGTTTTCGTTCTGAAATTCATAGATTTGAGATGTATAATGTTAAAGCGGGATTTCCTTGTTCGCATAGATTTTTTTGTGTAATCACTTCAGTACCGGTCTAATTAGCTACAATAACAGTTTGTTTATTGTGCGTTTGCTGTAAAAGAAACATCACAATTTCTTCTCTGTTATAGTAAAATGAGTTGATTAAAGGAGGACAAAACCGAAATCATTTATAGCTAAAAATACAGTACGTAATAAGAGGTGAGTACACACATAGGCACAAAATATTCAGCTCCAATGAAGAAAATTCGAAGGATTTACAACTTCCTTTTCTTGTATAAAGAGGTCATCTGGATTCCGTACGACGGCATGGACCAAACAAAACAAGACACCTGTAACGACCCCAAGAACCAGACTCTTGAGGCAGTCCGTGAACCACAATGCCCATAGCGAGCCAAAGGTCAACCCGACGACGATCACACAATCGCCGATATTTGTACCGTACAAAACCAAAGGATGGTCCTTGCAAAAGTAGAAGAGCAACCACATGATTGCAAAGGAGGCAATGGTAAGAAAGGCCGTCACATCACCGATCAAGAAGAGTGTGACCGAAACCGCCGTCACGAGAGAATAGTTAACCGTGAAGTGTCGGAGGTTGAGTTTAGCACGCGAGATGGCAGAGGAGAAAGAGCTTGGTCGGTCGATGGAACTTAATGGTAGAAACTCCGACCACCAAGGACGGTGGCTAGTAACAAAAGCTATAAGTTTTTGAATCGACAGGGAAATGACGTCAATAGAAGAGAGACTAGTCTCCTCCGTCGTGACTGGAAGATTTCCCGCCGGTGCTAACATCGCCGGAAGCTGCTTTTGAGTTTTCTGGTCAACCAATTTAATCGAAATGAGAGCTTTTAGAACTTGAAATTATACTTGGCAAAAGAATAAGTGCGTGACACGTTATTACAACGGGCCGCGTCATATGATAAAAAGCCCAAATATTTTGTTGATAACAGTATGGGCCGATCCTGACTAAAGGGCCCAAATTGGGGTCGGGTCTCCTCATTTGGGATTCGGTTTGGCGATTCTCTTCACCTTCTTCTCAAAACAAAGAGCAGAGCCAGGCGACTGAGAAAAACTGGATTCAGGGTTGATTAATTAGTTGACCATAATACCCCTTAAACTCACCTCCTTCGCCAAGGTAACTCTCGGCTCTTGTTCGTAATCGTCTATTGAAATGGGATTCGTTGAGTCGTCTTAGATTCCAATTTGCTAAGTTGCAGAAATAGTTTGATGGGTTTTTGCGATACTGGGAACCCGAGACTCGCTGGACTATTCCTGGTGAGATTTCCGTCTTTGAATTTAGGTTTATCGAGCCCGGTTAAGTGGCAGAGATGATGAAGAGACATCAATGCTGGATTGAGCTTAATTATGAACTCTGTAATTCACTCCGGCACAATTGCCGCTATCCGTAAAGCTTCTCGCTTTCTCTTCACCTCGAGGAAGTTCTGCGATGGCAGAATCGGAGGTGGTGTTGAATCCGATGATGGTATCGAAGAGCCCTTGAAGATAACATGGGAATCTTCGGAGATGGATTGTGGGTTTGCTGAGGAATACGAAGAGAGCTCCGGTGGTGATAAATTCTCTGTTCGGAGGAGGTTTCTGGAGAGTGATAAGCTCAATGCGTCCCTGGTTCTCGATACGTTACAGCAAGATTGTCCCGGTTTCAATACGAAATCAGCTTTAGACGAGTTAAACGTTAAAATCTCAGGACTTTTAGTGAGAGAGGTTCTCGTTGGGATCTTGAGGACTCTGAGCTATGATAACAAGACGAGATGTGCGAAGCTAGCTCACAAGTTCTTCGTATGGTGTGGCGGACAAGACTGTTTCAGACACACAGCGGATTGTTATCATTTGCTTATGAAGATATTTGCAGAATGCGGTGAGTATAAAGCAATGTGTAGGCTAATCGACGAGATGATCAAAGACGGTTATCTGACGACGGCACGGACGTTTAATCTGTTGATATGCACTTGCGGTGAAGCTGGCCTTGCGAGAGAAGTCGTTGAGCAGTTCGTCAAGTCGAAAACTTTCAGTTACCGACCTTTTAAACACTCGTACAACGCGATTCTGCATTGTTTGCTGGGAGTGAAGCAGTACAAGCTGATTGATTGGGTTTACGAGCAGATGCTGGAAGACGGGTTTACACCAGATGTTTTGACTTACAACATTGTCATGTTTGCAAGCTTTAGGTTAGGGAAAACGGATAAGCTTTACAGATTGCTCGATGAGATGGTTAAGGACGGGTTTTCGCCGGATTTCTACACATACAACATCCTCCTCCACCATTTAGCTACAGGGAACAAGCCTCTCGCTGCTCTTAACCTTTTGAATCATATGAGGGAAGTAGGAGTAGAGCCTGGTGTTATCCATTTCACTACTCTGATAGACGGGCTGAGCCGAGCTGGAAAGTTAGAAGCTTCCGAATACTTTATGGAGGAAATGTTGAAAGTTGGATGCACACCGGATGTGGTGTGTTACACTGTTATGATTACTGGATATGTATCAGGTGGAGAGCTAGAGAAAGCAGAGGGCATGTTTAGAGAGATGACGGAAAAGGGGCAGCTCCCGAATGTCTTCACGTACAACTCGATGATCCGAGGGTTTTGTATGGCCGGGAAATTCAAAGAGGCGTGCTCGTTGCTCAAGGAAATGGAGTCTAGAGGGTGTAATCCTAACTTGGTGGTGTATAGTACACTGGTGAACAATCTTAGAAACGCAGGGAAGCTTTTAGAGGCTCACGAGGTTGTCAAGGACATGGTGGAGAAAGGGCATTATGTTCATCTGATTTCAAGGTTGAAAAAATATAGAAGATCTTAGTGTTTTTTCGTTGTTTTTGTTTCTAAAGCAATTTTGTGATATCGATTCGACTTGATCAATATATAGCTGTTCTCACATCTCAGTTTATCATGTTCTTCTACCCTTTCTCAAACATGTTTTACAACAGAGAAGTTAATAATAACCACTGTTTACAGAAATTAAAATAAACAATAAAATGTAAGAAAATTTAAAATCGTCGACAGCAGGGTTCGAACCTGCGCGGGCGAAGCCCAATAGATTTCAAGTCTATCTCCTTAACCACTCGGACATATCGACTTATGATTAAATTGTTAATAAACAAACTATATTGACTAAATATTACTTTACAATAAGGAAATGAGCCCAATAAAGGCCCAGAAATGCTGGCTCGGATACTCTAGTTCACACTGAGGGGTCTCTTACGACGCATGCCGCGTGTTTCGTTATCGAGACGGTAAAAAATGTTCTCGGAATCTGATCAAATCTGAAGAAAACCGGCGAAGAATCTCTGAGCCGTAGACGGTAGATCATATTTCAATCCCGGAGACGAACTGTGAAATTGTTGCCGTCTTGAACTAATCACGGTGAGGGGATAATGTTTTGCTGGTAACCGAGGCTATAAATTAGATATGTCATCGGGAGGCGCCGGAGAGTACAACGAGGACAGTCATCTGCTGCGATCCACCGACGGTGATGAAGTCGGCATTGGCAGAGGAGACGGTGATCTCGATGTTGAATCTCAGTCTCCGGTTGTCAGAAGTGGAAGCGGAGGAGTTAGAGATCTGTTCAAGCATCTGGATCGGAGATTTTCTCTCTCCGGGCGTCGTCTAAGCAGCTTCAAACGAATGGAAAATAGCAGAGTCGATAGAGATAAAGAGCACCACCTCCCTTCTTCTTCTTCCCCGTTCTCGGCCGGTGTGGTTGGTGGCGAAGTCGACGGCGCTGGTAACAGTAATTTACATAGCGTCGATGATCGCGATTACCGGAATGATGAGTACGGGTTTGATGATGGCAGCGACGTGCTCGGAGATAGTGCTCCACCTGAGTGGGCTCTGCTTTTAATCGGATGTCTTATCGGTGTTGCCGCTGGAATTTGTGTCGCCGGCTTCAACAAAGGGGTACGATCTTACATTTATACATCAGATCTCGATCTGCCTGCTAATTTGATTTAAGCTGTACCATTTCGATTGCTGATTCAACAGAGTAGTGTATTTGTCTAGGTTCATGTTATTCACGAGTGGGCATGGGCTGGTACTCCGAACGAGGGTGCTGCTTGGCTTCGTCTGCAGAGACTCGCCGACACGTGGCACCGGATTCTTCTAATTCCGGTCACCGGGGGTGTTATAGTAGGAATGATGCATGGTTTGCTCGAGATCTTAGACCAAATCAGGCAGTCCACTTCCACTTCTTCTCAAAGACAAGGCGTCGATTTTCTTGCTGGGATATTTCCGGTGATAAAGGCCATCCAAGCGGCTGTGACCCTTGGTACAGGATGTTCACTGGGTCCCGAGGGACCTAGCGTCGACATTGGCAAGTCCTGTGCCAACGGTTTTGCGCTTATGATGGAAAACAACAGAGAACGGAGAATAGCTCTCACTGCAGCTGGTGCCGCTTCTGGGATTGCATCAGGTATAATCTAGACCCTACCTCATTTCGTCGCACTTTCACTTGTTCATGGCTGTATATTTGATTTACCCGATCTTTATTCCTCGGTACAGGTTTCAATGCAGCTGTGGCTGGTTGTTTCTTTGCTATTGAGACCGTTTTAAGGCCTCTACGTGCCGAGAACTCGCCTCCATTTACCACAGCAATGATAATATTGGCCTCTGTTATATCATCGACTGTGTCAAATGCATTGCTTGGGACTCAATCAGCTTTCACAGTCCCCTCATACGACCTGAAGTCCGCTGCAGGTATTTTCGTTTGCTGTTAAACTCAATTGCAAACTTTCCAGTTAGTCTTGTGGTTTGTTTTTTTAGTAGCTAATGATATATCAGACAGAATCTTGGTCTTTATTTGGTTAAGTGAGTATTAGTTTATAAGTTTCTGAGCATGTTTTGACTTGTCCGCAGAGCTCCCTCTGTACCTAATATTAGGCATGCTGTGCGGTGCTGTCAGCGTTGTTTTTACTCGCCTTGTCACGTGGTTTACCAAGTCATTCGATTACATCAAAGACAAATTTGGCCTTCCTGCTATTGTGTGCCCTGCATTAGGTGGTTTAGGAGCTGGGCTGATTGCTCTCAAGTACCCCGGCATTTTGTACTGGGGTTTTACGAATGTAGAGGAAATCCTGCATACTGGAAAGAGTGCTTCAGCTCCTGGGATCTGGTTATTAGCTCAGTTAGCGGCAGCCAAAGTTGTGGCCACAGCGTTGTGCAAAGGCTCGGGGCTTGTAGGGGGTCTATACGCACCAAGTTTGATGATTGGCGCTGCCGTTGGTGCTGTGTTTGGAGGTTCGGCTGCTGAGATAATTAACAGAGCTATTCCTGGTAATGCTGCTGTTGCTCAACCACAAGCTTATGCTCTGGTACTGTATTCCCTTTTGTTGCAGGCCCTTGCTTTATTGCAGCTTTTTCTAATTTTGAATAATCTCCAATTCCGGTTGTTATCAAATCTCATCAAGATGCCTTCATTTTATGCGATGTAGGTTGGTATGGCAGCGACACTAGCTTCCATGTGCTCAGTCCCCTTAACATCAGTATTACTGCTGTTCGAGCTAACCAAAGATTATAGAATCTTGCTTCCGCTCATGGTAAATATTATCTTATCCTTTTAGTTTTAACAGTGCTTAACATATTGACTTCATCTTGGTTCATATTGGTTGTTGATTTGAACTAACAGGGAGCGGTTGGTTTAGCAATATGGGTTCCCTCTGTGGTAAACCAAGGCAAAGAGAGTGAATTATCTGATGGTCGCAGCACAGGAAGAGGATACTCTTCTCTGACACCTTCCGATCGTAAAACCGAAGGCGTTTGGAGAAACGCGGATAACGCAGACTCCCTCGAGCTTACAGTCATAGAGAACCCTGACCACAAATCCTTTTTGGATGAAGAAACCATTCTTGAAGACTTGAAGGTTTTGCGGGTTATGTCAAAGAACTACGTGAAGGTTTCTCTGGGAACAAGTCTAAGAGAAGCAAGAAACATCCTCAAAGACAGCCACCAAAACTGCCTTATGGTAGTCGACGACGATGATTTTCTAGCCGGAATCTTAACACACGGCGACATCAGACGTTACTTGTCCAATAACGTGTCCACAATCTTAGATGTAAGTAGTAATAACAGAACAAAGTCTCATTACCTTGCTCTGCTCTTTAATTTTTGTTTTTCTTGTAGGAGAACACATGTCCGGTTTCATCTGTGTGTACGAAGAAAATAAGCTACCGAGGACAAGAACGCGGTTTGCTTACGTGTTATCCAGACGCGACGGTTGGTGTAGCCAAAGAGTTGATGGAGGCGAGAGGTGTGAAGCAGTTACCTGTCGTGAAACGAGGTGAAGTAACTCACAAAGGGAAGAAAAGGAAACTGCTTGGCCTTGTTCATTACGACTCCATCTGGACTTTTCTCAGGTAAATAGAAGATACTCAAACTAAATCGAAATTGGCCAAACCCAAAGTTAAATGTTTCTTTTCTTTTTACGCAGAGATGAAGTGAGTCGTAGGAAATCGAGAAAAGAGAAGTACGAGGAGGTTGCAAATGGGCATTGATTGTGATTTATGCACTTTTGGTATAGCTTTTTTCTTCTTCTTAATTTTTGAGTTCCAATTGATTAGAGCGGAGGAAAACATGATCATACAATAATGTTAATACACCTCTTTATTAGTTTCGGGAATATTGTTCTCACCAGAGAGAGTCACACACACATCATATAATCAAAAGGAAATCTAGTGGAATAGATAATATACTACATTTGTTGGGTAATCTCTACTTTCGAAATTAATATCACTTCACTTAACAAACCATGTTATATTCACTATTCAGAATAGACAATTTTATAAATGAGATGAATGACTTTTGTTGAATTTTCTTGTATCGTTTATTTCGTTCATCGTTTATTTAAGGTTTACATAGCATTTATTCACCTTTACAATACTTTAACAGTATGCTCATGTTTGAAAATTCATTGAACTACCTTTCTTCTGCATGAATGTGTTGTACAACTGTTAAATCATAGCTGTGAACTTAAACAGAGAAGATCTTAAACAGAAAGAATGAAAGATGCACAAAGATTATGTAATTACTGGTAATGGGCCCTTTCATTAATCATTTTCACTGAAAAGAGCTTTTTACAGTAAATTTGTCAAGAAAATAAGGACAAAAGTCGCAAAACTAATAAATAGTTGACTAATTGATTGGAATGTGATTGAATTTTCTTGGTCATATATTGGTAAGTGGGTGACGGAAGATAAATTAAAAATGCTTAGCTTTTTCTTCATTATTAGGTCGGTTCTTAATGTCAAACAAACCTATCACAAATGAATATGGTTTCAATATTCTGATTAGTACACACAATAACGAAGAGCAATCTAGTCTACCATCTTAACATCCACAAGCGTAACTAATGGAAAATATATCAATTATAATTTCAAATGATTGTTCATCGATAAATCATTTTCGATATGTGAACTTTGTATTTGAAAGCTTGAAAGATGTCAAGTCTCAAGAAACATTCATGCACTATTCGTCAATTTCCCTTTACCTAATCTTTAATAATGAAACGTTGGACCATTAAAATGTCCTTTTCCGCCTTTTTCTTATTTCTTCTTTTACAAGCTATCGACTAATAAAAAGACGTAAATAAAAATATATACACATGAAAAGGTGACTACAATTTGGACAAATAAGACGAATAATTTTGGATTGATTGGATTTCGACCATCATTAGAAAATTAGTCGCTTTCATGTTGTCGTCATCATTTCCATCCACCTTTCATTACACCAAGAAAAATAATGACAAAATTTGGTTAAGGATGATTTTTGGGAGTAAATTTGTAATTACTGATTGTAGATCTTTATCAAAAAATATTAGACTGGTGAATAACTTTAAATATAACTTTTGTGAAACATTTTGAGATTTTCATGTTTTGGTAAGTTCTTTATCCAAACTTACATTTCCTCACACAAATTTATTTATACATATTTGTAAAAGCTAAAACAGTCATAGATATATGATTGTTTTAGATACAAAACTCATTTTTTAGATTTACTGCGGATTTCTTTTACTTTATAAGACTATACTTTATTTTAGTTCTTGAATAACTAACTTAATACTCCATCACACTAAATAAAAATAAACATTAGCTAGTGGGCATGGGAGAATCTTTGGAGCAGAAAGAGGTCGCAAAATATGCGCTCGTGCGGTAGAGTATACTGACAAAATCGGTTCCCGGCCCAACCCTACGGCCCACGCGCGTCGAAGCCGTTTCGGCTTTTCATAAAACCCCTTGCTATTTTAATTCTCTCATTATGTAACCTATTAATAATTAATTGATTTTTTATGACCCTTGTCTTGTCTTTTTCCTCGCCATATATTTTTCAATTCAAAACATTTCACACTCCGACCCTATTGAGTCATTTACATCGGACATCTCACAAGCTAAAAAAAGTTAGAAATAATACTCTTCCCTTTTCTGTTTTCTATGTGTATAAACAATGTTATATGTTAAAACTTCAAGAATGTTGTTTGTCTTCTTCACATAATCTCTAGCTCATTTTTACATGTGAATGTCACGGATTTTTGGAATAAGTGTTATACTTTATGCTTTATTTATGTAATGACTCATAACACGATGCCAAAAGAAAATACAGTAAATTGTTAGACTCATAACATTAAGGAGATTTTTTTTTTTTGTTTATCCGCAATCAACGTTACGTTTTCCCAATTTCTACACCATGATCGTACATGGTTTTAGGTAGAAATTAGATAAAATGCGACGGTTGCCAAAAGTTAAGCGGCAACTATACAAATGAAGAGAACACGAGGCTGCAAAGCTAATATACACACGGAAATTACAAGGACCACAAAGCAAATTAAGAACCTTATTTGACAAATTATTTTTTTATTTTAAATTTAATAAGCTAGTGCTTCGTGCCGTGTAGGGTTAGAAAGTTGCATAATGCGTAGAAACATACGAGAACTACGGGAAAAAGTAGGTCTTTATCGTAATTATCGTCAAATCTATCATATTTTATTTTCTTTGTCGATAGGTTAGAGAGTAGAGACTACTATTTATATGGGAACGAGAGACCTATATCTATACGTGCCGGGTAATTCATCTAACCCCAAAAAGGTTAGATAAAGACTGATAATAAACTTATTAGAAACGTTAAATGAATCGAATCCAAAAGTCCCATTTAAGATCTATCACCAACGGGCAAAACCGCAAAAGAACAAAAAAAATTACAATCTTCCAATGTATCTCACATTTTTTTTGTTAGTGGGACTGGAATATGTACACTAATTCATGTACTGTTGAAGTAATTAACATGTACACTAAAAACCATTAAACTCGCTGTGAAAATTTAAAAGACAACTTTTATAAAAGCAGTATAAATGAATAGCAGCAAATCAATATGAACAAAATAATTTGAAACATTTAATAATTAGATGGAGATTATAAAGAGAAAATTAATCTTTGGAATCATGATTGTGTCTTCCCTTCTTTTTCTGTAGGATTATGTCTTCATTTATCTGCTTTTTCATTTCCTACTTTATTTTTCTTTCTTTTGCAATTTTCTCGCAATGAGAAAAGAAAAAAAAAATAATTAGAAATAACTAAAGAAATCATTCGCTTTGTACAACTAGAGACCTTTGATATTTCTTTCCAAACAGAGAGACATAAGAAAAGAACCCATCAGCTCCTCATTTACGCAAGATAAAAGAAAAGGAGAATTTTTTTCTGGGAGAAATCTTGCTATTTTCCTGGAAATTCACTTTTCTCCTTCTCTCTTCTGGGTGAATGGTCGTGCTAAAAAAAGTTCTCTCTCTATGTAAGCACTTCTCTCTCACTACCGAATCTTTAAACCATCTGATTTAGGAAAAAAAAGAAATTCTAAATTTGTTTTATTTTTTCTTTTTGAATCCGACAATCTCTGCAACATCGTACTTGAGAGCAGAAACAGTATCTATGAACTATCTCTGTTGACTGTTGTCTTCTCCATCAGTGAGACTCTGGCTCAGTCTCTTTCTATATTCTTCTTCCGTCACCGTCAAAGTCGTCTCTGTCAAACTTAGGTTATACTCTTTGTTTCTTCCTCTACGTCTCTTCATCTTCTTCTCCAAAAAAGTCTCGTTTTTTTAGATCAGCTTTTCGTTGAAAATAGATTGTTTCTTTGTTGCTATTCTGAAATCTCACTCTGTTTTCTCTTTCTTCGGTTTTTCAGAGGAATAGTGAACAGTAAAGGAATTAGAGCAAGACAAAACAAGATCTTACTCAGACTCTGCAAGGCATTTAATCAAACACATGGTAGACCAAATGAAGCAGAAATGGCTGTTAGTGCTGATCATTTGTCTCTCTGCAACTTTTCTAATGATGAGCATTAATGGGAAAAGGCTAATCAGCGATGACGACTTCAACGAAACAGCTCTGTTAATGGCGTTCAAGCAACTCTCTGTGAAGTTTGATCCTAATAACATCCTGGGTAACTGGAAATACGGGTCGGGTCATGGTTCATGCTCATGGCGAGGCGTTTCCTGCTCCGACGAGGGCCGGATCGTCGGGTTGGACCTCAGAAACGGCGGACTCACTGGAACTCTAAACTTAGTTAACCTCACGGCGTTGCCCAGTCTCCGGAATCTTTACCTGCAAGGAAATTACTTCTCTTCCTCAGGAGCTTCGTCTGGTTCTGGCTCCGATCCTTCCGGTTGTTCTCTTGAGGTTTTGGATTTGTCTTCTAACACGATTTCCGACTATTCAATGGTTGATTACGTTTTCTCAACATGTTCGAATCTGGTTTCGGTTAATTTCTCCAACAACAAGCTCGCCGGGAAACTGGGATTTGCTCCGACGTCGTTTAAGAGTCTGAGGTCCGTTGATCTCTCGTACAATATCTTATCGGAGGCAATCCCGGCGAGTTTCATTGCGGATTTTCCGGCGTCGCTCAAGTATCTCGATCTGACTCACAACAATTTATCCGGCGATTTCTCCAATCTCAGTTTCGGCATCTGTGGCAATCTCAGCTTCTTCAGTCTATCGCAGAACAACATTTCCGGCGATAAATTCCCATTTAGTCTACCCAACTGCAAATACCTCGAGACACTGAACATCTCTCGGAACAATCTCGCCGGCAAAATCCCCGGAGATGAGTATTGGGGAAGTTTCCAGAATCTGAAGCAGCTCTCTCTCGCTCACAACCGTTTCTCCGGCGAAATTCCACCGGAGCTTTCTCTACTCTGCAAAACTCTAGAGACTCTCGATCTCTCCGGAAACGCTCTCTCCGGCGAGCTCCCTCCACAATTCTACGCCTGCGTCTCACTACAGAGCCTTAACCTCGGAAACAACTTCCTCTCCGGCGATTTCTTAACCACCGTCGTGAGCAAAATCCCCGGAATCACTTATCTCTACGTAGCGTACAACAACATCTCAGGCTCTGTTCCGATTTCCCTCACCAACTGCTCTAACCTCCGTGTCCTCGATCTGAGCTCGAATGGCTTCACCGGAACTGTACCGTCTGGTTTCTGCTCTCTGCAAAGCTCGCCGCCGGCTCTGGAAAAGCTTCTCATAGCCAACAATTACCTCTCAGGAACAGTTCCTATGGAGCTTGGCAATTGCAAGAGCTTGAAGACGATCGATCTCAGCTTCAATGCTCTCACCGGTCCGATTCCAAATGAGATATGGACGTTGCCGAGTCTCTCCGATTTGGTCATGTGGGCGAACAATCTCACCGGAACCATCCCTGAAGGTGTTTGCGTCAAAGGAGGAAACTTGGAAACTCTCATCCTCAACAACAATCTCTTAACCGGTCCAATCCCTGACTCAATCTCCAAATGCACCAACATGGTTTGGATCTCTCTCTCCAGCAACCGCCTAACCGGAAAAATCCCTAACGGAATCGGCGATCTCGCCAAGCTAGCAATCTTGCAGCTGGGGAACAATTCCTTATCCGGCAACGTCCCACACCAGCTAGGGAGCTGCAAGAGCCTCATCTGGCTAGATCTCAACAGCAACAACCTAACCGGAGACCTCCCTGGTTCGCTAGCTAGCCAGGCCGGTCTAGTAACGCCCGGGAGCGTTTCCGGTAAACAGTTCGCCTTCGTGAGGAACGAAGGCGGAACGGAATGCAGAGGCGCAGGCGGTTTAGTCGAGTTCGAAGGCATCCGCGCAGACCGGTTAGAGCGGTTTCCGATGGTTCATTCGTGTCCGGCGACACGAATCTACTCCGGGATGACAATGTACACATTCTCAGCCAACGGAAGCATGATCTATTTCGACGTCTCTTACAATGCTGTCACCGGTTTCATACCTCCAAGCTACGGTAACATGGGCTATCTCCAGGTACTGAATTTGGGACATAACCGGTTAACCGGAACCATACCGGACAGTCTTGGAGAGTTGAAAGCGATTGGTGTTCTTGATCTCTCTCACAACGATCTTCAAGGTTACTTACCTGGCTCTCTCGGGTCTCTCTCTTTCCTAAGCGATCTTGACGTCTCTAACAACAACCTCACCGGTCCGATCCCATTTGGTGGTCAGCTCACAACGTTCCCTGTCTCAAGATACGCAAACAACTCTGGCCTTTGCGGTGTTCCTCTGCGCGCATGCGGCTCAGCTTCTCGGCGTCCCGTTACATCCCGCGTCCACGTCAAGAAGACAACCGTTGCGACAGCTGTGATCGCTGGGATCGCGTTTTCTTTCATGTGTCTTGTGATGCTGCTCATGGCGCTTTACAGGGTGAGGAAAGTTCAGAAGAAGGAAGAGAAGAGGGAGAAGTACATTGAGAGCCTTCCGACTTCAGGAAGCTGTAGCTGGAAGCTCTCTAGCGTTCCCGAGCCGCTTAGCATCAACGTGGCCACGTTCGAGAAGCCGTTGAGGAAACTCACGTTCGCGCATCTTCTTGAAGCCACGAACGGGTTTAGCGCTGAGACTATGATCGGTTCTGGTGGGTTTGGAGAAGTCTACAAGGCTCAGCTGCGAGACGGGTCTGTTGTGGCGATCAAGAAGCTGATCCGAGTCACGGGGCAAGGCGATAGAGAGTTCATGGCTGAGATGGAGACAATCGGAAAGATCAAACACAGAAACCTCGTGCCGCTTTTGGGGTACTGCAAGGTCGGTGAAGAGAGGCTTCTTGTATACGAGTACATGAAATGGGGAAGCTTGGAGACTGTTCTTCACGAGGTTTCGAAGAGAGGTGGGATCTATCTGAATTGGGCAGCGAGGAAGAAGATTGCGATTGGAGCTGCGAGAGGGTTAGCGTTTCTGCATCATAGCTGCATTCCTCACATAATCCACAGAGACATGAAGTCGAGCAATGTTCTTCTTGACGAAGATTTCGAAGCAAGAGTCTCTGATTTCGGAATGGCGAGGCTTGTTAGCGCGTTAGACACGCATCTGAGCGTGAGCACGCTCGCTGGTACTCCGGGGTACGTTCCGCCGGAGTATTACCAGAGTTTCCGGTGTACGGCGAAAGGGGATGTGTACAGCTACGGAGTCATACTTCTTGAGCTTCTCTCTGGTAAGAAACCGATTGATCCAGGGGTGTTTGGAGAAGACAATAACCTCGTGGGGTGGTCGAAGCAGCTTTACAGAGAGAAAAGAGGAGGTGAGATTCTTGATCCGGAGCTTGTAAGTGAGAAATCAGGGGACGTGGAGCTGTTTCATTACTTGAAGATAGCGTCTCAGTGCTTGGATGACCGACCGTTTAAGCGGCCGACGATGATTCAGGTGATGGCCATGTTCAAGGAGCTTAAGGCTGATACAGAGGAAGACGAAAGTCTCGATGACTTTTCGCTCAAGGAAACTCCGTTGGTCGAGTGATTAGGGAAGCCTTCAGAGAGAATCGGGAATGCTTTGTTACTTGTTCCAAATTTTGGTGTCAGTGTATATAACAGAAGAAGAAGTAGACATTGAAGAGTGTGATTGTAGTCGTTATGCTTCTGATTTCGCTGGGAAGGTTTTATCTTTAGTTAACTTGTTAAACACGGTAAGAGAAGTTCCTCATTGTAAACTTTTGTATGTTTCCACAACAAAATTGTTCGGTCGTGGCGTTTATTTCTGAACTATATTTCTGTTAATATTTTTGGCTCATTTATACTCCGTACCTGTACTTCTGATTTCTTGATTCTGGGTCGCAATTTCAATCAAATCTCAGGCACATTGCATATACTCCAAAAATGCAAGAACATAATTTAGGGACCCAAATATTAATGAAATACTAAACGGGCTAGGCCTTATTTGAAGGCCCAACATGCTCAAGGACTCAAGGTAGGACAAGCATATAGGTCTGCAGTTGTGTACTTGTGTGATCATGGTAGGACAAGCATATAGGTCTCTATACGATACTCATATTATTACACTAATTTTTTTTTAATAAATTTGATATATACTTAAATAGGTAGGAAAGAAAAATAAAATTCATTCCTAAATAATATTCGTTCACATAACGATTAATCTCCGTAAAATAGTTAATTATCCGTTAATAATTTTCTTGTAATTGTTTTCTTAGAAGTTTTATAAAAAAATCCTATTGCATAGATACACGTCCTAGATCCTATTGCATAGATACGGTGAATTCACCAACTTAATTACCTCCTCTTATACTTATACACGAAGAAAACTTCTTTCCTTTCAAAACTATGCATGCACTTGCCATATTCCTCGGTCAACATTATGTTGGTTATGTTTATGCTATTTCCATATTTGTGTTAACCAGTAAACCTACGAATGTTTAAGACGAACCTAACATTAACCAAAATCTTTTGGTTTAGAAGGGCAAGATCAAACCGGTTGAATCACCAACGTTTAAATGATAAGATTCTTACAACTTATCCAATTAGAGTGTACAAGTGTACAACCATTTTATTTTTAAAACTATAAGATATTATATCAAAATCGATTAGACTAGCTAAACATGTCTAACTGAGTTTTAAAAGTATTGAAAAACACAGACAATGGTAACTAATGATGATTATATTTTTGATAAGCCAGAAACCACTATTTAAAAAAAAATTGTTAATTTTTTAGTTAACTAAAATATACGTCTAGCATAGATTTCATTTTAAGTTTCCATATCGTACTAATCATTAATCAAGTTTATTTATGCAATATTAAAAACATTAATAATTGGTGTTTCAGATACAAGGACATTTAGTTATTAATAAAAATTAATAACTAATGATGATTATATTTTTGACAAGTCAGAAACCACTACTTTAAAAGAAAATTGTTCTTTTTTTAGTTAACTAAAATATACGTCTGGCATAGATTTCATTTTAAGTTTCCAAACTATACAACCGTGATCGTACTAATTATTAATCACGTTTATTTATGCAATATTAAAAACATTTATAATTGGTGTTTCGGATACAAGGACATTTAGTTATTAAAAAAAATTAATAACTGATTTAATTTAATTATGTAAATTATAATTTTATATGAACTGACCATGTTCATTCAGAAAAATAAAATTATTTTGACTATCATAAGAACTTAAACGAACAAAATTTTATTGGATTTATATTTAAAATTATACCATTATTCTTGGTAAATATAAAACCACATAAAATTAGAAAACAATTTCGTTTGTTTTCACTCTCAGTAATATTCGGTATTGTTATATGATATACCGAACCGAAGTAACCGCTATCACCAAAACCAAATGCGATAAAGTACAATTGATATAACTCTTTAGGTAGTCTAAACACTTCGATGACGAAAGTTTGACCATATAAATATGCTTCCAAAATAAATTGGATACCGAGTTTTATTATATAAGCACCATCTTGCTCCTATGTAACACACATCTCTTCTAATTCTTCTTCGCTTAAGGTTTCTCCTTCAGTTTACATCTATACATTAATTGAAAATTTTCACTAATTTATCAATCATGTAGTTCTAAATCTCACAAATTATCACTTTAACATTCTCGTTTCTCTTTTTTTCTCAGAGATATATTTTTTAAAAATGAGTGATTTTGATGGAAACTTCATGGAAATGACGTCGTTTTGGGCTCCACCGTCCAGTCCTAGCCCAAGAACGATATTAGCCATGCTGAACCAAAGCGACAATGTTCAAAATCCAATCACTGAGATCTTCCCTCAGACCAACTTATCAACTGATCATCATGAGTCTGAACAAAGATCTAGTCTTGGCGAGAGATTAGCTGCAAGAATAGGATTTAATCCCCCAAGGCTCGAAATAGAGGACATGAGTCCTTTTGGTGCATTTTTCAGGAACTCGACTGTTCCTACTCCTCTCATCCCAATCTCTCCAGGATTCAGCCCATCAGCACTGTTGCAATCTCCAAATGTATTCTCTAATTCCTCAGAGGTGAGTAACACTGTCTTTTTTTTTGTCTTTGTGATTGTTTAAAATAAAATACATGATATCTAACCATATAATAAAAACAGTTAAATTAAATGAATCTGTGATTGAACTATATTAATTGGGAATAGAATTACGGTTGTTATTTTAATTATGTTTGCGTGTAAAAGATATACAAAGTAATATTATCTATCGGTAAACACAGAATCTATCATTTCCTTTTTTTACGTTTGAATTTTTTCTTACCTATTTGCGTTTACAATTTAAAAATGTTTTTTATTTTATTTTAATGATTGATTAATTTTCACCGCCGAATACAAACTTTACGTTTATGAAAATGATCATACTTTATCATGTTGTACCGGACTAATAAATATATATCGGTTTCATAGATTCTAGATACCATGAATATAAACTCCTATAGCATTGATGATATAGATAAGAAGGTTTCTATTGTGTTTTTATTTCATCTACGTTTACGTTTACATTTATTTAATGTATGTGTTTCTTTCCAAATGAACTAATTATGATCTCAATCCTAACTGTTTACCAGATTATCCCTCCTCCTCCGTCTCTAAACACCAATGACGGACACCCAGAGACGGTGGAAAATTCCGGTGACGAAGGCCACGCAGCGGCGATGATATTCGACAACGATCCTCCTCAACAGCCGCTGCTCGTTGATCTGCCTTCTCAAGAAGGTAATATAGTTGCTTGTGTCTCAAGTAATCTATCCTAATGAGTTTGCTTCCATTCTCTATTTCCCCAACTTTTATTTATAAGCTTTTCTTTAACATGTAAAACAGGCACTGATGATATTATTCCAACGGAAGAGACGTCGGTTAATGTCCCATCTCATGAATCTCATGTTGAGCCAATTGGTGCTCCTTTAGTCGCTTCTTTCGACTCTGTAGAAGTTGACGAAACCAATATTATCAACATGATCTACGTTGAGAGTCCGGGCGAGAGTGAGAGCGGGGACGATGACGATGACGATGAAGATACAGATGGAGACACAGATGAAGACACAGATGAAGATGAAGATGAAGACGAAGAAGAAGACGAAGAAGAAGAGGAGGAGGACGAACACCACGAGGTCGACAACATTGCTGATGAAATAGATGACGGACCATCATCTCCAAAGAGAAGGTTGCAACAAAAGTTTTAACATCGTAATCAATATACTAACCAACATCTTAATTAAATTACTTAACCATTACATAAAAACTCTTACAGGAAAGTTGATTACTCAAGCATGATTGGAGCCACAAGAACAAGCAAGCAACAAAGGATCATACTTCAGATGGAGAGCGATGAAGACCATCCTGACGATGGTTACCGCTGGAGAAAATACGGCCAGAAAATTGTCAAAGGGAATCCTAATCCAAGGTTTGTTCATTTTGTCTTTCTTATTTTCATTACTGATTAATTAATTTTTGTTGTTGAGTATAATTAAATATATGGTGATAAATGCAGGAGTTACTACAAATGCACATACATTGGGTGCAAAGTGAAGAAGCATGTGGAGAGAGGAGCAGACGACGTGAAGGTAGTGGTGACTACGTACGATGGGGTACACGAGCACCCTGCACCAGTTTCACGCACGAGCGCTTCCGGTTCAAGAAACCGGTCTGGAGATCAATTCGGTCGAGCCGCTCGGTTAGGCAGGCCACCTTCTTCCTCTCAAGAAGACAACATGGCTAGGCCTTTTTCTTACTCGTCGCCGGCCCCGCAGAGTGATATGACACAGCTCTACATGACCGGACTCACTAAGCTGCCGACTCTACCGGTTAACCCGAGCTCGGGTTTCATGTACCGGAATGACCAACCCATGACTGGCGATGTGGTGGTACCCGACGGTGCAAATGTTTACAGTGGGATCATGAACCACCTTTTTCTTCAGTTTGGTGTCAACTTTGCATAACATGCATGTTACCCGTTTTCATTTTCTTTTCTTTTCTTGCTTTTATACAATAACCATATACAAGACTACTATAGCTAGTCCTTATCATTTTATTCATGATATATTCAATAAAAATTATTTCTTTCATTTGACTGATTTAATTTCTAACAACTAGAGTCTTAATCCCTTAGTAAGATGCTAAATGTAACTAATTTCATCCACATTCAACAAAAAATTGATTTACTTAAAAATCGAACATAAATTAAACTGAGACTGAATTCGACCGAAAAAAGTGAGCTAAAGTTTGTAATCTCGGTTTACGTTGAATTTGTTTATAAAAACAAAACCCAAACCGAAATTCGGATTGAGTTTTCTTCAAACCGAGCGTCAAGAACCCGGGAAAGTCGGTAAGGATACGACTAATCCTGCGTCCAAACATTGTCCCTCGTCTTTTTCAATTCAATCGTGTCAACGGCTGAAAAGGGGAAGAAGATGGATGAATTGGAGATTCTGGAATTAAATTGAATAGGTAGAAGAAGGGAAAAACATAATTCATCATCATGGAGGATGTGACGAGATCTGTTCTATTGGAGGAGATTCTGAAGCGTTTAGATCTCGAGAATCTCTGTTCCGTCGCATGTGTTTCCACCACGCTCCGCTCCGCCGTTGTCTCCGGCGTTCTCCCTCATCTCACCTCTCTCGATCTCTCCGTAAGTCTCCGATTTCTCTTCAGTTACTTCTGGAAAAAGGTGAAATTTATCGAAATTTTCGTTTCTCTTTGTTTTGTTTAGGATTTCTCTCCGGACGAGGAAACTCTGAATCACGTGATGCGTGGTTGCATCGGACTCAGGAGCCTAACTCTGAATTGTCTCCGCCTCAATTATTCTGCTGTGCTTGGGGTTCTCGGGCCACATCTCCTTGAACTTCACTTGCTCAGATGCTCACTTGTTAATTCCACCGTCCTCACTTCCATCGGCAGCCTCTGCCCAAATCTCCGGTACATTTCCATGTTCCTATGAATTTCAATAGATGCCTCATTGAATTCTCGTGCTTGTGGTTGTTGCTTGTTTCTGCAATCTAGTAGTTTGGTAGACTGATAACTGACAAAAAAGTCGCATTTTTCTAAATTTATCACCTAAGGTTAGGGACTATTGGTTAAATCCATATACAGAGAGATCATCTGATTCTACTTCATTTATAGAATCGAATCCAACGTGCTGATTATCCGTCTTTCCTTAATGACAATCCTTTAACGTATTTTGGGATTACCTACGGCTTCTGTCAATCATTCTTTCTTGACAAGAATTCTTTAGTGATTTATCAAGCTATAGAAATGAAGTTAGTGGCAGCGAGTAATCATGAGTTTTTGGGTTCAATGGTTACAGGGTTCTTACCCTGGAAATGGCAGACCTGGATTCACCCGTTGTTTTCCAATCCAACCTGAGGAAAATGCTTGAAGGGTGTCCGTATCTGGAGGTAATTTGTTAAAGCTTCCCTGAGGCATTGGTCAGAAGAACGCGAGAAAGTGTGAAATTGAATTGGGTTTTATATTCTTGTGATGCTTTGCAGTCTCTGCAACTAAATATCCGAGGCATCCTAGTAGATGCCACCGCTTTCCAGTCAGTTAGGTTCTCCTTGCCACAGACTCTCAAAGCTCTAAGGTTACAGCCACTGCTTGAGTCCGAGGCAATTCTCCTCATGAACAGATTCAAAGTCACCGGAAGTTATTTATCTATGACTGATTATAGTCCCTTGCTTTCTCCTTCGTCACCTTCTTTTACTTTGCAAAGCCTGTCTCTTGTGCTGGACTTGATCTCTGACAGGCTAATCATAGCTATCACAGGTTCTCTTCCTCAGCTTGTTAAACTTGACCTTGAAGACCGTCCTGAAAAAGAGCCGTTTCCGGACAATGACTTGACTTACACTGGGCTTCAGGCTCTGGGTTATTGTCAGCAGCTCACAAGCCTCTCTCTGGTTCGAACTTGTTACAACCGCAAGATATCATTCAAGAGGATAAACGACATGGGTATATTTCTTCTTTCCGAGGCTTGCAAAGGTTTAGAGTCAGTGAAACTCGGTGGGTTCCCGAAAGTCAGCGATGCTGGTTTTGCGTCGCTCCTTCACTCATGCCGGAACCTGAAAAGGTTTGAAGTACGAGGTGCCTTCCTGTTGTCTGATTTGGCGTTCCATGACGTCACAGGCTCTTCTTGTTCTCTTCAAGAGGTCAGGCTCTCCACGTGCCCTCTCATAACCAGCGAAGCCGTGAAGAAACTAGGGTTGTGTGGCAATCTTGAGCTGCTCGACTTGGGAAGCTGCAAAAGTATATCAGATTCTTGCCTCGGCTCTGTTTCAGCTCTCAGAAAGTTAACTTCTCTGAATCTCGCAGGAGCTGATGTGACCGATAGTGGGATGCTTGCACTCGGTAAGTCAGATGTTCCCATCACGCAACTGTCTCTCCGCGGCTGTAGGAGAGTCAGTGACAGAGGAATTTCTAATCTGTTAAACAGTGAAGGAACAGTCAGCAGAACACTATCAACACTTGATCTTGGTCACATGCCAGGAATCTCAGACAGAGCCGTCCACACGATCACGCGATACTGCAAGGTCTTAACAGAGCTAAGTCTCAGGAGTTGTTTCCACGTGAAAGATTCTTCGATAGAGTCGTTGGCTACGAGGGAAAGACAAGTAGAGGGAGGAAGCAAACAGTTGAGAAAGCTCAATGTCCACAACTGTGTGAGCTTGACGAGTGGAGCACTGAGATGGCTGAGCAAGCCGTCCTTTGCGGGTCTGCATTGGCTCGGATTGGGACAGACACGGTTTGCTGGTCGAAAAGAGACGGTCACGGATGCGATATGCCGGGAGAGGCCGTGGCTCACGTTGTGCTTTGATGGGTGTGAGCTTGGATGCTATGATGGTTGGGAATTTCACACGCCTCAACGTCATTGAGTAAACTCGTCTTCTCACTAGTTTATGTATTGTATAAAATCATTCTGAAAATTGATTCAGCAGAATGTGTAATTTATTTGTTTTAACTTTTAAAAAATTTGACTGTAAAGTGTAAACTAAATTTAAGCGTAAATTAATTCCGACAATGCAGAAATAATATGTCAAACTAAAATGCATATATGCTCATAGTGTCAATGAAATATTTTGTACTGTTTTTTTTTAAATAGTTATTAGCAGGAAAGAATAAGATTCAAGTGCCTATATAGTAGCCTTGGCAGATGGCATCAAATACTTAAAATCTGGTGCCAAGCCAACTACTGAAGATTTGACTTATGATTGATTAAGTAGTCAAATTAATGGAGTATGATAAACTAGATACCCATTTCTCTTCTGATTTATTTAATTAAAAGAGGGCATATTGTATCTACACATTGACGACAAATGTAACCTTAATCAACATCACGTGTCGGTCTCACAAACCGAACACCCGAAAACCAGAGGATTGTCTTCTCCTTTACAATTCGTTTTTCTGGATTCTTGTTTAGTTCACTATTATGCACTCATCTGTATATTTTTCTAGTATATGTCAAATTTCCCTTTAATATTTAGATATAATTCAGTCACATCTCCTAAAGTTCCTTATGTATAGAAACTTCCAATCCAAAAATAAATTTATATTCTCTTGATCTTGTATATGTAAATTAGTGATAGTTATTTTCCAACTTTCTGGAGTAAATAATCAAAATTTTATAGCGTATATTTATTTCAACTTAACTAATATGAAGAACTATAACCAGAAGTATTCCCATAATCTTGTATACGTACATTGGCCTTTTTTTCTTTGAACTACAATTATTTAACCTTAGCCAATAGATTAAGCCTTTGGACAATGTATATAAAAGGGAAAAGTAAAAAAAATGTCAAGAAAAATAGATTGAGATTGATGGATGGAAGTAAAAAGAGAGTGGGTGTGTGTAGAAGAGAGCATGAGGGATTGCTTCTGTCAGTAAGCATATGAAAATGATATAATTCACCAAAAACCCTAAAGCATTTTCTCTTCTTTTTTTTTTATGCGAATTTAGAAATGATTTTTTTTTTCATATTTTTTTTTTTCATATTTATATGCAACTTAAATTGTTGGGTGAAGTTTGGGTTTCTATCCACACGCAAAATTGTCTTTCAGCTCATGACGACGTACGTCATCTTCTTCCCTTATTTGTTACATTAATTTCACCGTCTTGTCATAAGTAATTATTTGATGTTTGATATCTGAGTAAAAATGGGTGTAGGGTTATTAATGTTTTCGTTAACAGTCAATAGAATTGATTCCCTTTCTTATGCATGTGTATAACTATCGCTAATGTCTTGTATAAAGCAAGATATTTATACAAGTTCTCAAATCGACGTTTAAAAAATGCTCTCAATTTATAATGTATGTGGATAGATGAATCTGATCATTGCATTTTGAATTCAGACATAACTAGACGCGTGTGCATATGTGTAGGTGTATAGATATGTGTGCAATGTTTCAATCTTTTGTATATAAATCAATAAATGTGTTAGGGCAAAGAGTGAACAAAAGGGTAAGAAAAAAAGGGAAGAGAAGGGTGGCAACGAGACACAAGACGAGAGAGATACCTAAGATCCACTGCTTGTGTGCTTGTGTTCCATTATTTAAAAATTACCGCATGATTAATGATTAAACAAACCACCCTTTATATTAATTAAAATCTAACACAAGTATAAATAAGCACACCCTTTTGTTTTAATTTTGACAACTTTGATGCTTTTGTTTCACCCGACAAATCGGCACCTTTTAGGGTTTTCATTGCCTGTTTCTTCCACAAAGACAAATCCCTTTTTTCACCCCCCATTAGTTTACTATCTCTCGATATAATATTAATAATTACTTAGAAGTTAGAATTATAAGTGATCCATCAGTACCTAATTTCTTGGAAATAACGAAAACGCATCATTTTAAAACTCGACAAAGAAAAAAGAATTTTGGGGAAACAAGAGGAAGCCAGTGGTTGTTTGATTATTCCTCTGAGATTTCTTCTGTCGACACTAACCCT